AGTTTGAGGGGGGATGAAAGTGAAACAATCACATTGGGCCAGAATGCAAATGAAGACCAAGGCCCAATACAAACGAAGAAAGCAATCGAGCCCATTATTACTCAACAACGGTTGTCTTCTTCCTTTGCAACAAAAGACAAAGGTACCATTGTACAGAAAAGTAGAACGGAAAAACCAGCTGGAGAAAACTGTATGATTATACTGAATAACAAATTTGATTCTCTCTTATCTTTAGAGAATAGCTAGATGTTCGACACTTGTAATCAGATCCTAAGATCAGAGAGTTCCTTAAGGTGTATAAAAGGAACCTCTTTGTAAGAAAAGAAATTAAGTTGAATAACATTGAAATTTCAGTTTAAAACTCCGTTCTTTGTTTATTCACAGTATGTAGTTATTAGAGAAGTTAATAATCTAAGTGGAAAATCTTTGCTTATTGACACTCTTGCACCCAACTTTGAAACTGAACAAAATTGATTTAAAACTAATACAGGTTAAAAAAGATAAACAGTACTATAGCACTTGGGAGAAAAATGGCTACACTTCCGTAGACAAAATGGCAAGATTATTTACGTCTCATTTCCATAGTATTTTTCTAGATGAACTGTGGTAGATAAGTTCTTAAACCCGAAATTTTTAACCGCACCGGTCCTTAGAATGATTTATTTATTTATTTATATGATATGCTTTTTAACTGTTTTCTTTGTGTTGCATTTTTGTTTATTTTCCTCACCCTTTTTTTCTTGAACCTTTTTTCCTCAACTTTTTCATATTGCTCTCTTTATCAGTGATGTTTTTGGACGATAAAACTATGAATCAGAACAATATTTCTACTTATCTATATCCAACAAAAATTATTGGGAAATTAACAAACGATTGGGCACGTGCTATGACGAAAATATGAAATTGCAAGATTCATACATAACTGGAGTGGTCGCACAAGTTCGAATGTAGATTTTGTCATAAACGTAATTCTAATTTTTGTTTTCCCTTCATATACAGTATAGATAATGGTACAACGAGTCAACGACTCTTCAGGTTTAATATGAAGATTTCATAAGAAATTTAAATACGTTTCTATAGCTTAATGATTGATGTTTTTAAAATCATATTAAACATTATCTTGCGCATGTATCTATCATCTAGTTTATGTCTATATGTTTTTTCTATGTCTCACGCATGTACATGTTAATTTAGCGTTTTATTTTGTGTATAGTCAAGTTGAAATATATTAATTATACCATATAAATATGAGAATAGCAAAATTAGATTCTGTCAACAAAACTGAAATCTTTGAATTTTTATATAATTCACTTTTTGTCGATGTATGGTTTGCTTACGTTTTAAACTTTTAATACTGCTTTTTTTTACCCACCAAAGTCGCTTGGATAGACAAAATATATATTATTTTTATTTTTGAGTTCTGGCTGATTAGTATTTATAACGTGAATGCTTCATATAGCTCTTACAACGTGAAGCAACAAATGTGGATCCCAGTTGCTACACAAAAGACAATACGTCGATGACCCATGCGATTCGGCTATATAAATTAGTTTGACCCTAAGATTATCAAAACTACATATTTGTTTTCCTGTATATAAAGTATTAACTTTAACATCGACAGTGCTCGATACTTTAAGACGGAGTTTTTTAATCATGAAGAAGACAAAAACGAAAAATTTAAACTATATATGAAGATCTTGACAAACGATAAAATATCTATGAGAATCATTATTCATTAATATGTTTTCATCTCGACTTTTACTAATCATTGTAATCGATATGGCAGATATAGTAAAGTTTTATTTTTCTGTGGTTTCAACTTAATTTCTTTTTTTTCTATTTTAAGAAAAGAGCACTTGTAAACATGATGATTAAGTTAAAAAAAAATATAATGCTTCGATCATTAGGAAATTAAAAGCCGAAAATCACGGGAGAATGTCAAGAAGTTTGATTTGTAAAATTAAAAGAAAAATGAATACATATGGTGAGTTCTTGTTAAATCTCTTGACGAGTTCAAAAATATTTCACATATCCAATAAGTAGGTAATATACTAATATATATAAAGTGTTAACTTAATTCATTACATTGTAAGTAAATGATCAAAAACTACAATTAAGCGTTCGCGTTATAGCAGAAATGAATAATAATAGTATGAAAAGTAGTTAAGGAGTACCCATTTATTACAATTTTGCAATAGAGAAAGAGAGGTGGGATGTTCTTAATATTGTTGTGTAAAGACTCTTTGTTTCTCACCAACCGTGCCCTACTCGTGAGTCGTGAAGTTGCCAACCTAGAATCTTATAACCCCAAATTATTTGATTGTATTATATATTTGACCATCCGGCATTGATATCACGACCAACGTAATAGCTGACCACCTAAAGAATCTATTTTTTTTAAAAAAAAATCTCGAATTCGAACGTTGACGATAGAAAAGAGCTTAATAAACCATATTGTTTAATCATCAGGGACTAATTATTAACATCAGTAGCACCATCAAGTACGTAGTAGTTTATTAACATCATTAACATCACTGATGATATAATTTGCCTATTGACTAACATAAGTAGAGAAACAAATCAAGGAACCAACAAGAGAAAAAGGGCCCAAAATGATTGCCAAACTATTACTACTACTTGTATAAATTTATAGTTGGAAGGTTGGTTAAATCTACTCCACCTTTTTTTTCCAACTACTTTATTTCTTTGTTTATGCCTGTCACTTACCTTGCCTCCAAAGTAGTTTCACCATTTCCATCATATAATTTGACTGAAATTGAAACACGATAAGAAAAATTATTATGTCACATTGGAAAAATTATTAAACTTGTTTACAAACTATATTTGTATTGTTACCAAAAAAATACGTTCCAATACATTTTAACTTATAACAATTTAACTAAGAGTCTAAGATGAACATAAGCTTAGAGCATTTTAGGCAAAATGGTTGTCACCTTTGCTCTGCTTCTTTCGCATGAGGTGAAACATGTAAAGATTTAGATCAATACCAAGAAAAAGAAAACAAGACATGCATCTCAAATATTAACAAATTGTATTTTTATCCGGTATATGCCGTGGGATTGGATCTAACATTTTAAAAACAAAAGCAAGTTATACACTTATACTATACGATAGACTTGAATAATCAAAACATCCAAGAGATTAGAATGTTTCTTGTTTTCCATATTTATTTTGTTCCTACGAAGTGTTTAATGGGCCTATTTCAAACATAAAGCCCAGCCTATTCGACCATATTTCCTGGCTGGCTTTCTGAGTTGTCTGGATTTTGGGCTCAAGAACCAAAAAATTCTTGAAGAATCTTGTTCACCTAAAATAAAACAACTCAGAAGATTGATGCTTATAATGATAATAATCTGATTAATCAGAACCAATTCAAGCCGAAACAGAGAGAATCAAACAAAGTAGAAATCAACTCTTGTATATATTCAAATATATAGTGCATCAAACAAAAAATATAAAATGCAAGACATGTTTTAAAGAACAAAGATTCATTATAAACTTAAACCCTTCAAGGATGATTAAGAGACAAATATTAATTAACCATTTAATAAAACAGACTACTGAAAGTAAACATGAGTAAACTGAGACTGCGTAGACAGAGTATAGACTATCTTTGCTTTCAAAAACAAAACATTGTTTCTTGTAAAACATTGTCAGCATTTGTTGTGTATAGGATCGGATCCTCTTCCAATCATTCGTTTTACAGATTGACATGGATCAGACATAACGAAAGGAGAAGGTGCCAAGCCTCGATTTGTATCTAAATTTCCTTCCTTTGATGATGATGATGATGATGATGAGGACTCTTCAAGAATACGCAGAGGATGAACAGACAGAACTTGCAGCCTCATCTCTCTGTCCCATCTTAGACCACAAGCTTTATCCGTTTGAAGTACCAAAAACGCAATGACAAGAAGCAGAATCATTCCTCTATGTCGAACTGAAACACCCATTTTGAAGAAATCTACAACGTAACTAGCTAATAGCTTCTGAAAGTATATACAAAACTTGGGAGACTATATAAAATGGAGAAGGTTAAAGAAGAAGAGAGAATTTTTACTATTTCTTTCTTGGAATGTAGAGAAGATTGGTAAGAAGGAAGCATATATAATAAAGGCTGGTTTTAGAAGAACTCTCTTCTGACAAGTTTGAACCAAAAAAGGTTTACACTTGAAACTCTGTTCTTGGGAAGCTAAGCATATCTCTCTCTCTCTCTCTTTTTTTTTTTCTTTTTTCCATATCAATACTTTTTCTATTTTGCATATATGTATATGTGAAATTCCTGATTATTGGATAAGGTTAATGGTGTGATACATACAATCAGAGATAGAGTTTCATAGGTGCAGTCTTGTGTTGCTTTTTGGGCATTGTCCTTCACACAAAATGTCCCTATCAAATGGAATCACCAAAGAGCTTTGAGATATCTTTGGAACATTCTCTTTTGCCTGACATAGACAGCCTTTACATATATATAAATATATATATATATGATGTAAAAAGAATTTAATAATTTTCGCACAAAAAAAAAGAGAACAAATAATTAATATGCCAAAATAAGCAAAAACCAAGTCCAAGAAAGAATAATAAAATATGCAAAGATGAAGATTTGGCTTGACAGAAATTATTCAAGAAGAAGCAAGAAGGCCGTCTTAAAGGAGGATAAAGCGTTTATTCGAAAAAGAATAAATTGATATTGATGAAAAAAGAATTAAAAACAGAAAAAAAAAAAATATATTGAAGGGGAAGTTGGTTTTGAAAGCTTGTGTTAATACCAACTTTTATAATTCCAAGCTCTTTTCTCCATGCGATAAAATCGAGTCTTGCTTCTTTGAGCACACTGGATTTTTATCCTTTATGCTTTACTCCTTTGTTTTTTCTCCCCTTTAATTACTTAGCCGTTCCCTCCTTAGTTTGGCAATTCAAACTTAAGACTATGGATCCATTTCATGAATTAAAAGCATTTACGTCAAGTTGTTATAACTATAACTAACTTATCATGAACATTATGAAACCGTTTTTATAAAAGAGAAAGTGGAGGATCATTACATATCTCATAAACATCTAAAGTTGGTTTTACGGTAATCGAAGTAATGTACGATGAAAACAGAAAAATGAACTTTCCACACCTCAAAAAACAAACCTATGATGTACATTCTCAATACAAACACAAACACATACTCTTAATATAGATAGATAGTAAAACATGTGAAGTGAGAAACATCAAATGCCTCGTCTTTTTTTTTAACCAGATGATCAATCATCTCTTCCACTCGACCGGAGTTGTTTTCCCTGCAAAACCCAAAACCAATCCAAGAAAAGTTAGTTGAGAGGAAAACGCCGAATGGCTACATAGATTTCCTTGTGAGAAATCTTGTTTGGTTTGTTTAGGACACTAACCGTTGCCTTCCCGTGATGAAAGAAGAGGTTTCTCCGTCTTCTTCCCGGTTTTGCCACCTGAGTTTGAGACTCTTGTTGTTTTAGGAGAATCAGAAGTGACTCTTGCATTATTACCTGACGATGGTAGCGAGTAGCGTCTAGTGGCCTTCTCAGCTCCTTGTTGCTTAGGGGAAGACGAGCCTTGTAGCCTCAGCTTTGCTTTTGCGGATTTAGTCGCTTGCATATAGCTCGGTATCCCCGGGCTATTAGTCTGATTCCCATTACTACTCTCTTGACACTCGACGGTATGAGTAGTGGCAACTGAAGAAACCCTTTTCCCCGATTTCTGATTCTCCTTCCCAGCTGAATTCTCCTTGTTGCTCTGTTTGGGAGTTCTCTCTTCTTTTTCCTCAGTCGTTACGTTTTCTTGGCTCTCTTCGATTTTGTTGACCAATGTGGCATCAAGTGCTTCATTGGTTTCCAATGGTCCATGAGTGTGGACTAACTCCTCAGGCAGTTCCACCACAGTCTCAGCCACCACAGTCTTTTCATCAAAGGCATTCACAGGTCCTTCTAAAACCGGAGCTGGCTTCTCAGTCTCCTTCTGTGGAACCGGTTGAGGCTGGATAGAGTTCTCAACTACAGGGTTATGTACTTTCCTCAAGCCACGTTTCACTTTCTCTAGATCAACTTGCGGATTTTCTGCTGCTGCTTGTAGTTCTACTGTTTGGCTCGTTGAAACTTTGCGGAAGCTGCGTTTGGGTTTCTCGAACTCAAATGGTGTCTGTGCAGCCGAGGGATTGTCGAGACTTGAAGTAGGGGATTTGCGAACACTCTTCTTCGGTCTAGCAAAATCGCCCTCGACCATCTGAGAGTTGCTGGCAAACTTCTTCTGAGTTTTCCTGACTGATGTTTTCTTGGGTTGAGGAACTGGTTTCCAGAAGCAAGATGCTGACCAGTTCTCTAACCAGATTAAGTTGGAAGAAGAATCGTTGTCGAGGTGAACAGGCATCACATTTGGAGATGAAGCTAGAAGCTGATAAGAAAGACAACATTACCTACCAAGATCTTCTCAACTCCTAGTTTCAAACACTGTAATAGCCAAAACAAGCATATACCTTCTGAGCAAAAGCATTTGCAGTTAGCTTCTTGATTCCAAGGTAAGTGTGTGTGTCCACAACAGAGTCCTCAGCGAGTTTATTCTCCTGATAAGAGTGAAAGAAAAAAAAAGTTAGCATTTCTTAAGTAAGAAGCTAATCAGCAAGAGAAACCGAAATCACAGAGTAAGTGTGTGATTAGTATTACTGAATGCTGATGATTCAAACGGCATTTCCTATGAACTTCAACTCCAATATCAGAATGTCTGATCTCTCTTCCTCGAGCAAGTGCTTGCAATCTGACAATTCCCATAACACAGCACAGAGTCGAAACAGCTTGCCTCCGAACCATGTGACCACGGATAAGTGCTTGTAGCCTTATTATACCTGTTAATGCCCAGAAAGCACGTCGAGCCTTCACATAGAGAGCTCATGTCAGCTTACAAACAAACAAGATAAAACACCAAGAACTACAAAATCAAGAGCTTAGAGATATTACCAAGTAGCCTCTAAAGGCAGCCTGCACAGTTGTCGCTGCAATCTCTTGCTGAATCTTGTCTGATTCGGATAGCGAATCATCAGGAACAGAAGCAGCGGTCGGAGAATCTGTTGGCTGGACATCAGGAAGTTGTATATCTTTGCCCGAAACCTCTTCATGTTCTATACTCTGTGTCTCTACCATACCACTGGTATGGACTGTTGCATCTCCAAAGGATGGAAGATCCGAAACCACATCAGACTCTTCGATCCTTGAAATAACCACTACCTCGTTTCCATTCACAACTCTCTGCGCAGACAACAAAGAGAAGCAAATCAGAAAGGGACACCATAGACAACGGTAGAAAGAACGGTATATGTCATGTAAGGAATTTTAGTCCTCTACGGCAGCCATTACTGTACTAATGCACAAAATCTTAATTATTCAGATTATGAAATCAATTAGTTTTACCATATAACATTTTGAAGGGAAAAAAAAAGAGAGAGTGAATGTGTTACCTCCTTGTCTTTAGAACCACTGGATTTAGATGGTTTCTTTCCAAGTAAAACACTTTTTAACCACCTTGCAGGCTTTCCCATGATGTCCAAAACCACAATTCAAAACACCTGCATTTGTCCGAGCAATCACAAAAAAAAAACTATGCTCAAGCAACAACCACAACACTTTCATCACCAAAGATTGCAATTTTTTGGTTTTTTTATGAAAATTTTGGGTCCATACAAAGCTTGAAGATAAAGAGATACATAAGCTCGTTGTAACAGGATTCATCATACTAAGCTCAATGGATCAGCCATTTGTTTATAAAGCTATGTAAAGATCCAATCTTAGAACCTAAAATCATTTGTTCATGAGTGATTTGTTTTTTTTTATATATATAACCAGCTCTAATAATAAGATTAAATAGTGGATCACAATCATTAAGCAATGAAATCAAACAAGAAATAGAAAGAAAATGCAATGATTACCTTAAAATCACCCAAAATTGCAATACGAAGAAAACTCCAGAAATTTAAAATTACCGAAACCAGATCTGGAACTCACCTTGCAAGTAAATGAACTTGATCTCAAATCCACACTACCTGATCTCGAAATCAGTAGTAAAAAAAAACCCAAATTAATTATAAAAAAAAGACTAAGGATCCTTGATTTTTTCTTAAAGAAAACTTCACAGTACTAGAACTATTTCGAGAAATGTCGGTCTCAAATTCGAGCACATGTTAGATCTCCTGTCTGAATCCGACAACAAACTAAGAAAAAGACAACATTACCGTGAATGATTCAGTGACAGGATTAGCTAAAGATGCTTTTCATTGGCAATCTCGCTAGAGACTAGAGAGCATCGGTGAGGCTCTTCGGTGGTTTAGTTTCAGTGACGACGAAGAGAGAGAGAGAGAGAGAAACAATATTCTTTAGTATTATTTTAAACTAAAAAACTGCAAACGAATCTCCGAAATTCAAATGGCGCACCGTTCTTCTACAGCCGTTGGATATTTACTTTTACATACAAAAAAAGAAACTAACTCCATTTTCTGATACAGAGCCCAGGAAAACAAATCAAAACTTTGTGGTAACAAATTGCCACCCAATTAAGAATGAACAGAACTGGGAAATGATAATAAATAAACAATTAAAGAAGGGTGAGAAAGTTTGGAGTGGGTAGTCCCCAGATTGCAGTTTACTTCGGGAACAAGTGTAATAACTCAGCTGCGTAACTACAAAGCATTTATGGATAATTACATTCTCGCCCTTCTTCTTCTTCAACCTTGGGCGAGTGATGCGCGTGTTGATACAGTCCTCGTGTAGCTGCTCTAAGTATAAAAGGAACGACTTTTATTATCCGGCTCTGTGCGTCATTTCGTTTGTGTTGTTTGAGAAGTTGAGATACTAAAGACTGAAGAAAAAAAGAAGCAGAGTTTTTCGTTTGGCCAAGTCTTTTGTATTTGCAACGATAAACCTACATTGACAAAAAATTATATAGAAGAAGAAAAGAGAAGATTTAATAATCCATAAAGACCACTTAGTCAAATACAGATTTTAGTAGGCTTGGTGGTGTACCATCCCTAAATGGGATTGAAAATTTGTAGCGAGAAGAATGACAAACTCTCAAAGATAAGACCAAAATTATACTTTATAAAATAGATGAACTAAACCAAAGAGAATACAAAAGGCTCTGGAGAACAATTAAAAAGTGAAACAGGGTTGTTTCAAAACCCCATCTAGACTGATAACTGCGAAGTTCAGATTTGGGCAGCTCCAAGATCGAAACTTTCAGCCACATGAGCCACAAAACAGCAAAGTTTTGACTCTGAAGCTAAACCTTCTGCTACTCTCTCAACAGACTTTAGCTCTTCATGCAAATCCGAGTACAGAACCAGAGTAGAGAAGTTCTCATCGATGATAAGCCCCAAACATCTGGTTACGTCTTCCAGTTTAGGAACACAGTTGCATAGTTCCAAACCGAACATGTCGGCGGCTTCAGGGCATGGACCAGCTTGAGGGAACCTCTCGTACTTCCTCATCCATTTAGAGAGGTACCGAATGAAGCTCCTCATCTCACCGCCACTCAACTTGCTGACCGCAGATGCAAACATGACTTCGTCGACATTACGCGAAGCCAACAAGTAATGAAGGCAAAGCTCAGAGGGTGAAAACCCGTCGTGAGCAACCATCAGCAAGATCGAAGCCTCTTCAGCAACTTTAGACTTCTCTGATATCTCTGCGTCGCTCGCCTTTCCAATAGCCAACAAAGCCTGTCCGTCCCATTCTTCTCTTACCTTGACCATAGTGCTAAGTGCTTCCTTTGACGGGCAGAGAAAATACTTCAAGATCGAAAGCAGCTCGGTTGCACCAAGATCTGAAGCTCGTCTGATCACAACACAAAGCAAATCCGAACGTTGCTTCTCAACGAGGTTGCTAACTAAATAAGAGTTCAAAGAATGATCAACCAACGAGTTCGAAATCAAGGTTTCCGCTAGCTCCCACATCTCTAGACGAATGCAACTTTTCAAAACTAAACCAGATACGTCTCTACCCATCAGAAACCCAGTGTTCTTCACCATGCTCTGTATATCTGGACAAGCTTGATCTCCAAAGACTAACCCAGCTACATCTGCACCCATTAGAAGCTCGGTGTTCTCCACCAGATCCTTCATCTCTCCGTCCCCAACCTTTGAAACCCCAATTTTCTCACCCAATTTCTCAAGAAGCTCCTTCAACATCCTGACAAACTCATCTTTGTCAAACCTGTAGGTATCCTTCAGCTTCCTCTTCAGCTTGGATGTAAACTTTTTACCCAAATCGATGAATTCAGCATCGTTTCCCGAGATTTCCCACCCAGATATTGGATTGATAAGGGTACCGGTATTAGGGTTTTCTAGCTTCGGTTTCACATTCGCGAAGATGCCTTCGTTGCTAAGAGGGAACGGATAATCGGATTGCGAGTCGGCTCGATCCTGAGTCGCTGCAGCGTTGGAGATAACTTCGACCAGCGTCATTGCGAACTAAAAAAAAACCAAACTTTATCCAAAATCTGCAAGAACAAAGAGAACCCATAAACACTAAACCATAAATCTCGTAGATTATGCAAACATAGGCTATAAGAGAGTAAAAATCTGAAACAACAACAAACAGAGGAATTCCATGGAGATTACTCCCAAAACAACAATCGTTTATCGATCTAGAGCAATCGAAGTTTTACCTTCAAGAGAGAATTATAAGTAGCTATTGTGTAGAGAGAGTAAAATCGTTTCGCCAAGGCTCGACCTGTGAGTTTAAGAGAGGTAAAGGTGCCGGAAAGGCGAGCAATTAGGGTTTAGGGTTTTGTGATTGGAACCGTTCTTCTGTATTTTCTGTGTTTCCAAAGATACCCCTGTATTCGCTTACTTATTACATTTTTATTGGATTTGGGCAGCGACGAATTTAGCTGATGTCATCGAAGTCTTAATAACTACTGTTTTTTTTTTGGCCAATTGATGAAAATGTTTATATTAAAAGATGAAACAATTAAGACAGGAAAGGAGCTTTAAAACTTCGTCAACAGGTTGACTAGCTATTGTAAAATGTCAATGGCATATACATAACTCTACGCAACCAGCAAAAGTCTTTAGATCGTGGTCCACTTATTTTTTTTGCCCATGTCCACTTAAATATGAAGCTGTTAATATTAATCAGATGTCCATGATGAAAATATACAACATGTTGATGAACTTGATTACAACTCTAGCCAGGGTTATATATGTGTAAGTTACGAATGTGTATTATATATGACTAATTGAATGCCAAGTGTTCCAAGTACCAACCATTTGGGAAAACTCTAAAAGACTTCGTTAAACAAAGAGACAAACTGGTAAACTTAAATATAATTATGCAATTTGGAATTTTTTAAATTTTTATTTGGAAATTTGTTTGTAGTATGATTTTACAATTGCAAGATGATTAATTATATATTGTAGTACTCATTTATGTATTGGTTTATATATTTACAGTTTTATAAGCTCGTATTCTTGATTATTGATATAATAAAATGTGCATAACAAATTTATTTGTCAGTGTCATGTCACCAACGTATGACCTTTTTAGATCATATTTTGGAGTGCTAAAGGGTAGAAACACATGTATACATATCTTCAAACATGTACTATATATAGGAGATTTGTGTAGTTAAAATCCAGATGTTCGATCTCTATTGTCAAATTATTTCCAAACCGCTAATAATTAACTTAACATAGTTCCACTTACACAAGACATGAAGAAGTATTACCAAACGTTATATTGCATTAAAATTTAGTCCAACAAAATTTATGTGATACTAACTCTATATAATAAGATATGATACAATAAGGTGCATATAATAAAATCCATTAATTAAATTAGTTGATTTGAGATAATCTTGTAACATGTAATCAATAAATTTCAACGTTGTTCTTTAGCAGCAACGTTGGCGGGTGGGTCCACGATTTCGGCTCCAAACCTTAACAGTGTGTATTTGTTGAGACATTGTTGTGTACATCATTAAGCGTTGAAGTTGAATATTTCTCTTCCAATTAGTCGACACCATCGATCCACGAACAATATTATTCATTTCTTTTTTCCTAATAAATCGGATGCACAATTAATTGTTGTTAATTTAAGTACGTGTGTTGGTATTTTGTTTAGAAGAGAAAGACCTACTTGATATATTTAAGATCCCATTTCAATTTTGGTCGTACTTTGTTATTTTAACTTATTTGTCTTTAGTTCAATTGGATTGGCTGTTGACCTTTCAAAAATTGAGAGTTGCGTGCTTGTTTTTTTTTTTTTTGGGTTTGAAACATCAATGCTGCCAAAAAAATGTGTACATAGAAATTGTAGAAATATATAGTCTTAGTCCATATATGTACAAATGATTTTACTTTTTAGTCTACAAAACTGTTTCATACTGATAATTTATTGATTTGTAATTTTGGAATAGATCGTTAAACCAAAACATGAGACTATTTCGTTTTATCTTATTACATACTCGCTATATGTTTAAGATAAATTTTCGTTAACTGTTTTTGTAATATAGAAATCATGTTCTCTGAATATTAATATAGACAAACTTGCATATTTTGTGAATTATTTAATTGGTATAGTCAAAGGATGTATAGGTTGCATATATAGAAATCAACAGTTCCCAAAAGAATTTATAAGAGCTTACAAAAGAAAAATATCAAAGGAGAAAAATGGAGAAGGGATCAGATTTCTTGAGGAGTACTGATCATGGAAGAGAAGAAAGCCATGAGGAGATGAGAAAAACTGATTCGTTTCACGATGATACTCATCACGACGACGACGATACTATGAGATCCAAGGTATCATTATTTAGTTTTCTTAGAATTTTAAACTAATTATATGCCATATATATACATGCATATATCAATCCTTGAAATCACCACACACATATATTTTACAATCTACTCTCATGAATTGTCTTGATTAATCGTTTGTTCTTTATCCAAAACCCGTTAATCACTGATTCATCTTAATCATGGAAGCTTAAATTGACTTCTTAAATTATAATTAGCTAAATCTTCGAATCTATTCTTAGTTTTGTCTTTTTCTGTTTTGATGATGGGTTCAATTTTCTGAATCGAGTTGTATATCTTTTTCTAGATTTATTAGATCATGTTTATTATGTATACCAGAGAATAATATGCACAAATATATCAATAACAACAACAATAATTATGAGGAAGAAAGTAAATACTTTTATGATTTTAAAGGCATACATACAGTATATATCAAATCAAGGAGAGATTAACCAAACAATGATTATAGATGTTTGTATATTTTACATATTTTACATATTATAAATGTATGATGCGATCAGCTGGACTCAACTAAAGTCGAAATGGAGGAGGCAAAAGAAGAAAATCGAAGGCTAAAGACATCATTGAGTAGGATAAAGAAAGAGTTTGAGATCCTTCAAACACAATACAACCAATTAATGGTACAACATGAAGACCCGAATAAGTTATCACCAGAAGGCCATCATCAAGACAAAGAAAGAATTAGCGAGGGCGAAGAACTTGTCTTGTTGAGCCTAGGTAGACGGTCGAAATCACCGGTTCCAAGTGGCCCAGTGAGGAATAAAGAAGAGGAAAAGAAAAACTCTATGGATGAAATCAGTGATGACAAAGAGATTGATGAACACGACAAACGTAGTGATCAGGAGTTGTTGAGTATGGGATTTGAATACAAGGATTTGAGTAATCCTAACGAGAAGTTAGAGATTGACCATAATAAAGGAACGACGTCCTTGGAGGCTAGTAACCGTAATAAGATCCCATCAGAGAATAGTTTTGGGTTTAAGAATGATGGAGATGATCATGAAGATGAAGAAGAGTTGTTGCCTCAAAACCTTGTTAAGAAAACTAGGGTTTCTGTGAGATCAAGATGTGAGACTCCGACGGTTAGTACATTTTCTTCACATCTTTAATTTAGTATATAATGAATGCTAACATATATACAGTATATTCTTAGTTCTCGAAGGTTTTTCAAAAAAAAAAAATTGGACAAATCTTTATGGATCACAATACATTCATCATTTCAACTAAATGCCAGTATCCATTTTAATTAGCTGAAGAGTAAAACTACATTACCATGTGAACTGTTAAAATAGTTCACATCTTGAATTTAAAAAAACAAAACAAAAACCGTCTTTTTAGAAGAAAGAAATAGTAAAATAGTATACAAAAATATTATAAGGTATGACTTTTGATATTATTGGGTTTGTGTTTAATTGATTGTGTAGATGAACGATGGATGTCAATGGAGGAAATATGGTCAGAAAATAGCGAAAGGGAATCCATGTCCTCGAGCTTACTATCGTTGTACCATTGCACCTTCCTGTCCTGTAAGGAAACAGGTAATAAAACTAGGGGAAACTAAATTAACAATTCCAAATAATACAATATATGTTGTCAAAACTAATCTAATGTTTAAATTAATTATTCCCCAATTTAGGTGCAAAGATGTTCAGAAGATATGTCTATACTTATCTCAACATACGAAGGAACGCACAACCATCCACTTCCCATGTCCGCAACCGCCATGGCCTCCGCCACATCGGCTGCAGCCTCCATGCTCCTCTCCGGAGCCTCCTCCTCCTCATCCTCCTCCGCTGCAGCCGATCTTCATGGCCTTAACTTCTCTCTCTCCGGCAATAACATCACTCCGAAACATAGATCACCTTTCCTCCAAACCTCTTCTTCTCCTTCTTCTTCAGGCCATCCCACCGTCACTCTCGACCTCACAACCTCCTCCTCGTCGCAGCAACCGTTCTTAACAATGCTCAACAGATTAAATGCTCCTCCTAGTAATGCCTCAAAACCTAATAGTTATCCTTCAACCAATCTCAACTTCTCAAACAACACCAACACATTGATGAATTGGGGTGGTGGTGGTGGTAATCGCAGTGACCAGTACCGTGCAGCTTACGGCTACGTTAGCACCCATCAGCAATCACCTTACCACCATATGTTTCAAACCCGAACCGCCGGGTCATCTTTTGACCCATTTGGAGGATCATCTTCATCTTCTTCACATCCTACACAAACCAATCTTGATCATGTTGGAATCAAGAATATTACTCATCAAGTGCAATCTTTACCGGCGGAAACAATCAAGGCGATCACGACAGATCCAAGTTTCCAATCGGCTTTGGCGACTGTTCTATCTTCCATCATAGGCGGCGATTTAAAGATGGATAATGTGACTAGAAATGAAGCCGATAATAAGAGCCCTTAAAGACAGCGTGCTCTATATATACCCAATACGGTGATATATGTGTTTAGTTTTACTAGTTTCCTAGTTCATCATACTTTTGGTTGTTTAATCAGAATTTTAATTTGTGTTGGAGTTTATGGAAGTAATCTGTACATGTGAAACATTTTGTTGTTTAATGTGTACATGTCAAACTTAGAACGAATAAATAAAACTTGAAACCCTTTTAAATGCAGCTGGGCGCATTTTTGGCTTTCAATCATAGATTACAAAAAATAAAAAAATTAATGAGTCTCGAAAATATGTGCAAGGTTCTAAATTAGGAACTCTTTAAAAATTGAATACTCTATAACGTCGTGATCTTATGCGGTATAAGTTTGATCATTGAATCTAGCTATTGTATGTAGTAGATTGTTTATGGTAATGTCGTAACAAATGATATATGAAAAAAAAAAGATTATCCGATGAGTATGTATATATCGTTCACAATTTCTTGTGTTTCGCATTCGTTTGGAACTAAAACATTCGTGATGATTACTTTTCACGCTACGTGCCTGGCCCATAAAATTTCTCTAAACAGGCCGAATCGGCCCAAAACATATTTTTGACGACGAAAACTAGCCCGAGATGTCTTGTTTTTTTCGTGCCCCAATTCTTCGTCTCTCTTTGGATCAATCAAATATGAGAGTTTTATTTTCTTTGAAATCGATTCGTCTCTTTTTGGATCAATCAAATATGAGAGTTTTATTTGTAAAGAAAACACCAATAGTGCCAAGCACTAGCCCAAGACCGTAATACCCGAGAGATCCGAAAGAAATAAAGACCCTCTAAGTATGAATAATAAGATGAAAGAATACTTAGAGAAAACTTGAAGGAACTTTAGAGAGGATAAGAGAACTTATGAAGAACACTCTTTCTTTATTTGTTCAACTTCTCTTGTTTACAGATGATGGAGTAGTGGGCTATTTATAGGCTCCACTTATTACAAAATATCTTACAAACATTCTCCTAATCTCTAGAATTTTTTACAATAATATCTGGAATTTTAACTACAACATCTAGAATTATCTATAGAATTATCTAGATATTTAACTAATAGAATTCTCTAGAACATTTAAGAAAGATGATGATTTTTAATGATGTTTCTAGAGATTCTAGAACTTGAGCTTAATTTTGGGCCTAATCTAATAACTAATAATTATTTTATAAACCCAAAATTAAGCTTAACCCAAAATCAAGTTTAACTTCAATACTCCCCTTTAAACTTGATTTTGTCAGTCATCCCGAGCTTCGAGCGAAGTAACTCGAACTGACCTTTTGGTAATGACTTGGTGAAGATATCCGCAACGTTGTCCTCGCTTCGAACTTCCAAAGCTTCAATTGTCCCATCAAGCACCTTCTCTTTTATGAAGTGATGCTCTAACTCAATGTGTTTAGTCCTCCCATGGAACACCGGATTATTGGCCAGCTTGATCGCACTTTGATTATCTCCATAAATTGCAATTGGCTTATTGATTGGCTCGAACAGATCTTCAAGGAGTCTCTGAAGCCAAATACACTCTTGAGCTGCTAGAGTTGACGCTTTATACTCTGCTTCAGTTGTAGATAACGACACCGTTGCTTGCTTCTTACTGCACCATGAGACACTTGTGTTCCCACATAGGAAAACATAGCCTGAAGTTGATTTCCGATCATCAAGATCTCCACCAAAGTCAGCATCCGTGAAGCCATAAAGAGAGACCTTGGCATTATACTTGTACACCAGACCCATGCCAAGAGTTGTCTTCACATACTTCAATATCTTCTTTGCCGCTTCTAGATGTGGCTTCCTTGGTGCCTGCATAAACCGACTTACAAGACCTACCGCGAAGGCAATGTCAGGTCTTGTAATGGTTAAGTATAAAAGACTTCCTACAAGAGAGCGATAAGGCCGAGGATCAGGTAGTAAGGACCCTTCATCGCGTTTAAGCTTTATGTTGACATCCATTGGAGTAGAGCGTGTCTTTCCTTCGTGTACTCCAAACTTCTCAACGATTCTTCTTGCATAGCTTTGTTGGCCGATGAATATTCCACCCTTTACCCTTTCCACCTCCAAACCGAGAAAGTTGTTGAGCTCTCCCAACTTCTTCATCTCAAACCTTATCGACATATCCTCTTGTAAACGAGTAATTTCTGCATCATCATTCCCGGTAATTATCATATCATCCACGTAAAGGAGAACTACCACGTGGACTCCTCCATTCTTCTTGAAGAATAGACTCGGATCAGAGTTTGATGCCACATAACCGCAGAACTGAAGAAACTGAGCAAGCTTTCCATACCAGGCTCGTGGAGCTTGTTTTAACCCATACAAGGCCTTCTTCAGCTTACACACATAATCAGGATGCTCTCGTGATATAAAACCAAGTGGCTGCTCCATCAGGATTTCCTTGTCAAGCTCTCCATATAGAAAAGCATTCTTCACGTCTAATTGCCATAACTTCCAACCAAAACTTGCAGCCAAAGATAAGAGAGAACGTACCGTAGTCATCTTGGCTACAGGGCTGAAGGTCTCATCATAGTCTTCTCCATACTTTTGAGAGAATCCCCGAGCAACCAACCTTGCTTTGAATCTATCAACGCTTCCATCTGTTTTGCGCTTGATCCGGTACACCCATTTACAAGAAACAAGTTGGGCATTCTTGGGTTTTGGAACCAAATCCCAAGTTTCATTCTTCATGAGAGCATTCATCTCCTCCTTCATTGCGTTTTCCCACTCGTCAACACCTTTTGCTTCATCATAAGATGTTGGCTCATCTTCATCTAATGGAGCTGCAAAGTAGCACGAGAAGGTAGTAACAAACTTTGGATCTCTGAACCGAGCAGGTTTAATGATGTCCCTTTTAGGCCTTTGACTAGCCGTGGAACCATGATGTTCCTCCTCATCCTCCTCTTGATCAGTGCTCCCCCTTTCACCTTGCATCTCTTCTTCAGGACCTTTTTCCTTAGTCAGAGCTGGTTTATCACTCTTGGAGGAACTCCCACCTTCTTGCTCAACTAAAACTTGAGGTGGCCCATAGAATGAGGAAACTTCATCAAAAACAACATCTGGAGACACTACGTACCTGTGTGTCTCTGGATCCATACACCTCCACCCTTTTCTTTGTTCGTCATAGCCAACGAAGATGCACTTCTTCGCCTTTGCCTCCAACTTGGTTCTTTGAGAATCAAACACATGGACGTAGCAGACTGATCCAAATATCCTGAGATGTTTCACTGACGGCTTCTTCCCATGAATCATCTCATACGGAGACTTCATGTTATTTGGGCTGAGTGGCATCCGATTTATGACGTACACTGCGCATCTCATGCCTTCCGCCCACAAGGCTTTAGGCAGATCCTTCCCATATAGCCAGCTTCTGCACGTCTCAGTTAGATGTCGAATCTTCCTTTCCGCTACTCCATTTTGTTGAGGTGTATACGGACAAGTAAACTCTCTCTTTATTCCATGCTTTTGACAAAAAGAGAGAAACTCCTTGGACATGAACTCCCCTCCATTATCTGTCCTTAAGGTCTTGATTCTCCGACCCAGCTCCCCTTCCACGGTAACCTTGAATTCTTGAAATTTGGAGAATACTTCTGATTTTTCCTTCACAAAGTATACCCAAGTGTGCCGTGAGAAGTCATCAATGAACAGCAACATGTACCGAAACCCGGAATATGAGGGTGTTCTTGTAGGACCCATCAAATCACTATGGATCCTCTCCAACAGAGCACTGCACCGTGAAGTAGAATTGTCAAATGGAAGTCTATGTGATTTTCCATATTGACAACCTTCACAAAGCTTTCCTTCATCTTGGATCTTCAGCTTCGGAAGCCCATTTACCAACTCCTTATTCACCATAACCTTTAGCTTAGTCATGTTTATATGACCAAGCCGAGCATGCCATATAGAGGCATTGTCGTTTGTACTCATCTTCTCCACGTATGAGTTGGACGCAGATAAGACATATAGATCCTTAACCCGCGATCCGGTGTGAACCACATCCGCCTTTAACTCTTTAATATTCTTCAAGAATTTGACGTCTCTTGGGCCAAATAAAACGTAGTTACCTGAGTCTACTGCATTCACCACAGAGAAAAGATTCTTCCTTACTCCAGGGACATGGTATACATTCTTGAGGGTGATAGGGCTTCCATCTTCTCCTTCAATGACAACAGTCCCTTCCTTCTCGACCCGGTGAACTGAATTATCCGCGGTAATTATGGCTTCTTTTCCATCATGGCGCTGAAGACTAGAAAATAGCTTCTCGTCTCCGGTAATATGGTGGCTACAACCCGAATCCACAATCCAATCATTTTCAAGATTTTTAGTTGTGGATATACCTGAAGATGCAGCCTCCACCGTGAAGCATTTCCCCCATTCTTCGTCTTCAATATGACCTTTTGATTCTGCCATATTTGTCTCCTTCAGCTTGACTCGACAATCCTTTTTGAAGTGCCCAAGCTTTCCACACCGGTAGCACTTGAATCGCTTCTTATCTCCAGTAGAAGATCCTTCCGGTCCATCGATGTTCTTTGCACCATCGTATTTGGATTTGGCTTTGAAGTTGTGTTGCTTCCGAGCTACAAAGGCGCTCCCCGAGTCATCATGGATTTTGACTCCTGCCATTTGCGTAGCTAATGACTCTTGCGAAGCTAACAGGTTCTCGAACTCCTCCAAGGAAGGTTGTGTAGCCCATCCTTGAACCGAAGTCACAAACGGTGTATACTCAGGTCGTAGACCTCGAATAATATACCGTTTTAAACGTGCTTCGGAAATTGACTCCTCCGGATTTAGAGTATTAATCTCTGAGCGAAGATTCTTTACCTTGATGAAAAACTCTGAGATTGAAGACTCCCCCTGCTTTGCATTCGCCAACTCGTTCTCTAACAGTTGTAGCCGAGCTTCATTCTTCTTGTTGAACAACTGATCTAACGCCTGCCAAATGGAACTAGCGGATGTGCAACTTGAGACATGCTCAAAGACTCCCGAGGATATTGACCTCTTCAATGCAAACTCCGCCTTGGCATTCTTCCGTGTCCACTCCTTTGTCGCTTCCGCTGTCGCAGCAGCTCCCCTTGGTGGTGTTGTGCTACTGCCGCCGACGACATCCCATAAGTCCTCACTCACCAAGTATGACTCCATGCATGACTTCCATAACCGGTAATTGGATTGGTTTAGAATCTCCATTCCCAACCCAACAACGCGACCCATTGACTCCATACTTAGAGTAAATCTGAGATCTCAATTAATCCGATCTTGAAAAAGAACCAGATCAGAATGGCTCTGATACCATGCAAAGAAAACACCGATAGTGCCAAGCACTAGCCCAAGACCGTAATACCCGAGAGATCCGAAAGAAACAAAGACCCTCTAAGTATGAATAATAAGATGAAAGAATACTTAGAGAAAACTTGAAGGAACTTTAGAGAGGATAAGAGAACTTATGAAGAACACTCTTTCTTTATTTGTTCAACTTCTCTTGTTTACAGATGATGGAGTAGTGGGCTATTTATAGGCTCCACTTATTACAAAATATCTTACAAACATTCTCCTAATCTCTAGAATTTTCTACAATAATATCTGGAATTTTAACTACAACATCTAGAATTATCTATAGAATTATCTAGATATTTAACTAATAGAATTCTCTAGAACATTTAAGAAAGATGATGATTTTTAGTGATGTTTCTAGAGATTTTAGAACTTGAGCTTAATTTTGAGCCTAATCTAATAACTAATAATTATTTTATAAACCCAAAATTAAGCTTAACCCAAAATCAAGTTTAACTTCAATATTATTTTCTTTGAAATCGATCTATCATTGGTGTTTCTCACTAAAATGTCATCGTGGCTTCTTTTTGAGGTAATCTTGGCTAAAAATACAATGGTGGTGCACGTTTGATAGATATATAGACACCACCATGGTGTAGTAGTGAAAGATTATATATTGTAGGGTTAAGAAGGACCAAGGTTCAGTTTTTCTCCCATGGTCTTTATATGGAAATAGTATTTGGTCTCCTCTTTTCTTTAATCGATATATTATTTATTGGTGTTTCTGTTTCTCACACATTATTAACCTAACACACCCACTCTAGTATCTTCCTATTATTTATTGATGTTATAAGAAATCATTCTATCAATGAATCCGCATCATAATCATGTCCACGTACAAGAAAATTGGGTATTTCTCGATTTTGTCACCACATACATGAATCTCTCGATTTTTTTTTTGTTTATTAACAATTTCACTAACACAAAATAACTATACTGCGTATACTTGATGACTTAACAGTTTCACTAGCACAAAATAACTAATTAACAACACATCATGATCATGTAATTCTCGATTATGGCGACATACTTTTTGTGTCGGCTATAACCTAAAAATGGTCCACCCGGTGACCCGCCTTCGTTGTGATATAATTCGTCTTCTGAATACTATATCCGTATAGTGAGAGTGTATGACTGGAACACTATTTGTTCACATGCAATCTTGTGTCCACAGCAATTAGCCAGTTACATTTATGGATGATCGAGTTTACGTTTGGACTTCCTACGTATCATACATGGCTAATATATTAGGGTTTTCAGGATAATTAACGTGGGTTAATAAATAATGCAACATAAAATCCCGTTTTCAGCCCTTTTCCCCACAAAACAAAAAATTTACAAAATTATGTTTTTCTTAGTAATGTAAACGTCAATGAAAAACTGATATTGTACTGGTTAAAAATATATGTGATATATAATCTTGCGCATTCTTTGTTATATTCTTTTGAGCTGTTGTGGCCGTATCATTTGTTTTGTCAAGTTAATGTTTGATTTTTTAAATAACCAAATCATTTTTACGAGTAGATTAATTGATTTAAATACACACGTAACATCGTTAATTTATGAGAGACAACTTGTAAGGAAAAAGACAAAAGTAAATCTTATACGTAATGTCAATGATTGAGTCTAGTGGTTCTGAAATCATCAAACCCGGAGATCACCACCGTACCAATAACACGATATACTCGTGTTATCGTGTGTTGGTTGTCAGTATTTTCATGTTCCACGTGGTGTCCATCCACAAGCTGGCATGTTTTTCTTACATTTTCACTCACAAAATTTTCTTAAAACACACATTTTATAAAACTTTTAGCCAGTACTTTTCGAAAGCTCTCTCTCTCACACACATAAACTAGATAGAAACCCATCCAATAACATGTTTATCAATTTATCTAAGACACAACTTAAACCAAAATAATACACAACTCTAAATATTATTAATATAACATATATAGAATTAGCTGATTTTTAATATTTGATCAATTTATTAAATGTTTAGAGTGGATACAAAATATAGAGATGGTGTAGTAATTAAAGGTATGAAAATTAAATAAAATGGACATAACTATAACGTACCAACCGAACATTTGCATTCAAATAATAGAGAATAACTAAAATTATATATTCAAGAAACCTAGAATTGTAAATCTTTAACATATTGCATAGCTAAATTCAAACAAGAAGAAAACAAGCTTAAAGAAGAGCTCATACTAGCTTATATCGCATAGGTAACGTTACATTTTTTTTTTTTTCGAACAACTGGATACAAATGACAAAAACAGAGAAAAAGAAACCACTCAAACACTGAATTTCATGAATGAAACCCAAAACGCAATTTAACATAATGTGGCCCCCATTTGACCATTTGACGATCAAGATTAGTTAATTAGCTAGGTTTCGTTCTTGCGAGAAGATCAAATCAACTCTATATATAATCTAGACAAAGACATACCAATACAACTCTCAGTGTCTTTACATAAACAACAGCAACATCTTATTATCCTCTCTAATAATGGCGTCGCTTCAGAGTTCATCTTATTTTCTGGGCACAAACCTTAAAAAACATAACTCCAAATCGATCTTCCAAAGCTACTCTCCGACCTCATTCACCAAATTCTCCTCTCGCGTCTCTCGCCAGGTTTTTTTTTTTTTTTGTTTGTGTAGTTTTTTCAATTTTTTTTCAGTAACCACACTGTTTTTTCTTTTGTTGTGTGCTCTAACATATATAAATTAATATTTGGAGAACCTTCTGGGTGAAACAGAGGTTCTTACTCTGTTTGCTGTATATGAACGGATGTGAGGCTGACAATAAATCACCACTTGGCACGGTAGAAACAAGAACTTTATCTTCGGTTACGTCTCCGGCGGCCGCGACGGAGAGGCTGATAACCGCCGTCTCTAACCTCAAATCCCAACCGCCACCGCTCTCCTCCGGCATTGTCCGGTTACAGGTACGTAGTAATTATCTCCATTTTGTGCAATCGGAAAATTTCACTAAAAGGGGAAAGAAAACAATGAGCTTACGTCACGTGGAGATCTTGCATTGGTATGTGTGAAAATGGGTTCCATTTTCGTCCTGTCACTTGTTTAACTATATAAAACTTTATTGTCAGATTAAAATCTCTACCTACTCTGATTTTAAAATACACAGAGTGTCCGGTTCCAATTACTCTGCATTATCCCGATTCAAATTTTCAATTTTATATAGTATTTTTTTTTAATTGAAAATTGAATAATTTTGTTCAAGGGTATGAGTAAGAATTACAAATTATTGTGTTGACCAAAAAAAAAAAGAATTACAAATTACTGTAAGAATTTAGGAAATTACTCTCCCGCGCAAAATCATAAAAAAAAACCAACCTTTCTCCCAAATCACGGAAAAGAAGATGATGATGATTATTTGCAGGTGCCGATTGATCAGCGAATCGGGGCAATCGATTGGCTTCATGCCCAGAACGATGCTCTTCCTCGCAGTTTCTTTTCCCGTCGCAGCGACGCCGGCCGTCCAGATCTTCTCCACGATTTCGCCAGCGAGAGCGTGAACGGATCATCCGATCGCAATCCGGTCAGTGTCGCCGGAATCGGGTCCGCTGTGTTTTTCCGCGATCTCGATCCCTTCTCTCATGATGACTGGAGGTCGATCCGAAGGTAAAGTCGGGTTCTTGATGATGAAGTTTCATTCTTTGTGTTTGTTTGGTGATCTTCGCTTACCGGGTTCTGCTTTCCCCTGTTTCTTGGAAGGTTTCTGTCTTCCAAGTCTCCTCTGATTCGTGCTTATGGTGGACTTCGATTTGATCCCAACGGAAAGATCGCTGTGGAATGGGAAAAATTCGGCTCCTTTTACTTTACAGTGCCTCAGGTAGGAGAATCTGATGAGAATTTTGTAAGGAAGTCAAAATTTTGTTACTCATGATTGCTTTTGGTTTGATGACACACACACACACACATAGGTCGAGTTTGATGAGTATGGAGGAAACTCAATGCTGGCTGCAACTGTTGCTTGGGACGATGAGCTCTCATGGACGCTTGAAAATGCCATTGAAGCACTTCAGGAGACTATGCTTCAGGTTCACCCCATTCTTGACATAATCAGCTCAAAGTTCTTGGGATGATCTTAATTTATATTAATGTATTGGTTACTATCAGGTTTCTTCTGTTGTAATGAGATTACGGAGAGAATCTCTAGGAGTTTCTGTTGTTAGCAAGAACCATGTTCCCAGTGAAGTAACCTATTACCCTGCTGTAAATACTGCTCTGGAGATCATAAAGGCCAAAAATTCACCTCTAAGCAAGGTACTTTAGGCAACCATATATCATCCTCTTTCCTTTTCGTAGGTTTCATGAACCTGAAAAAAAATTGTTTTTTTGGGAATCAGGTTGTGCTTGCACGCAGCAGCAGAATCATTACGGATACAGACATTGATCCTATCGCTTGGCTAGCACGTTTGCAGGTGTTTTTAATCTTCCGTCGCACATTTCTTAAGATTATAGCAAATTCTCAAGTATTCAAAAATCTGAGTTCTTGTTTATGATATGACAGAGCGAAGGACAAGACGCATACCAGTTCTGTCTTCAACCACCAGGTGCACCAGCATTCATAGGGAACACGGTAGGTTTACTTATTATACTTTGTTTGCTTACAAAACATGTGGAAATCAAGTGTTTGGTTCTGACATTCATCGTCTCAGCCTGAGAGACTCTTCCATAGAAAACATCTGGGAGTCTGCAGCGAGGCTTTGGCTGCAACCAGGCCTAGAGGAGATTCAGGGGTTTCTGATTTGGAGATAGAGCGTGACTTACTAACCAGGTCAATTGCTTTGTCTTGTGCTTTCAACACTATATGGGATACATGTTTATAAACAGTGAATGATCATCAGTTTGCAAATTCGTTTTCAGCTCCAAAGATGATCTCGAGTTCTCCATTGTGCGAGAGAATATAAGAGAAAAACTCAAAGTAAGTGTATAATCAATTCTTTAGTTTGCTTCTTTTTTTTTTTTTTTTTTTTTTTTTTTGATAAGTATATCAGTTACCTTTCTTGAGCAGAATCTTAGGGTCCATGATCTTCAGAATGCTAAAACATGTTCATCTATGATATATTGTTTTAATATAATCTTTTGAATCATTTCCTTTATTTTGTTTTTGCAGGCCATATGTGACAGAGTAATTGTGAAACCCCAAAAAACAGTGAGAAAGCTTGCAAGAATACAACATCTATATTCTCAATTAGCAGGGCAGCTAAAAAGAGAAGATGATGAGGTTAGATTACTGTTTTTTCATAATTTAACATCTCATGATCAACTTAATCACTTGATTAGTTGTTTGAAAGAGATATCAGTTCCTTTTAACTCAAAATCTGTTATATTATCTTACAGTCATCTTTGTATTGAGTGAAGAAAACATTTTTTTTTTCTTACCCTAAAATATGTTTTGTCTATTTTTCAGTTTGACATCTTAACTGTTTTGCATCCAACGCCAGCTGTTTGTGGATGCCCAGTAGAGGAAGCAAGGCTTTTGATTAAGCAAATTGGTATAATATTAATATGCTTTGATTCTTTTTCCTTTTAAATTTTCTAGCATGCACTAAGTCTTTTCGGTAAAAGAATTTCTCTGCTGAAGAAGCTATCTCCTCCCAATGGATGCTTATATTATTGATTGGATTATGATAAATATGTTTATATATACTGAGATTTGATATATATATTCTTCTTGTTTTTTTTTTCCAGAGTCATTTGATAGAGGAATGTATGCTGGGCCTATTGGGTTCTTTGGTGGGGGAGAGAGTGAATTCTCTGTAGGCATAAGATCTGCTTTAGTCGAAAAGGTGAGCTTTTTTACTTGCAACAACTTTTCTCAGTGTAGCAAACTGATCATTTACTGTTTCATCATTGCATCTAATCTGATCGTTCTTTTTGGTGTTTCTCAGGGTCTTGGAGCATTGATCTATGCAGGAACAGGGATAGTTTCAGGAAGCAATCCAACCTCAGAGTGGAGCGAGCTTGACCTTAAGATCTCTCAGGTGAGAAATGTTGTTCAATCAATCATAGCAAATTTCTATGTCTTTATGAAATCATAAAAATATTTATGTGTTGCTGCAGTTCACTAAATCACTTGAACATGAGCAAGCTCTGCAACGAATCAACTAAAGAAAAGCGATTTGAGATTGATGTTTAGTGTAATATGTCTCTCATAATACTGCTTTGTGTGTTTATGTTGTAAATAGACTATATATCTAGTGATGCTGCATAAGTTCATATAATTTTTTGAGCTAGATTAATAAATGATGTCCCAACTTCACAATTCCTGACCAAAAGAGAAGCCTTTAAACCGACAATAAGGTCTATGACGCACTTACGCACGTTATGATCCATAGCTGACGTATACTTTCCACCTTCACGAAAACGAATTATTTAATAATTATACAGACAACAAAAGATAATGATTAAGGCTAACAACTATTTAGTTAGCAAAGAACGAACGTAATCAGATTATCAACAGTGCTAATGGACAGTTACTTTCAACGTAATGTTTTCAGAACGTGATTGGTTTCTTTTTAAAATAATTTTTAGGCTAATCCAATTAAAAGAGATTTTGTTTGTTATGCTTTTTATCAATAAGAAAAAGGTGGAACCGTTTTGTTCCCTCCCTTATAATCTAAACTGTGATCCAAACCTCAATTTTGCATTTCCGTCTCCCATCAGTCATATTCTCTTCTAGTTGTTCTTACAATCATATCTCACTATTAAATTAAATGCTTTATTCTTGTACCAATAATTTTCAAGACAGCTATTCATTATGAAATTATTATAAATATTCTCTTAACCCAACACTTTGAAAAGCAGCAAATGTACATTACTTTAGATAAGACTTAGGTAAACAATTGAAACGAAGTACAATGAGTTTGCATTTTTGTCAGTTATAGAGGATTTCCAAGGTAAAGCCCTAATTTTCATGATTTAGAGATATATGTACGTGAACCATAATCGGATATATTCAAAAAGTATACTGAAAATTAGTTTACCACCAGAAATGATTTTTGAGCGCAATGATCGTTTCTTTACTTCTCATTTGCACGCTTAAATGTTTCTTTTGTCTAATTAAAGTTCTGAGAAGAAAAAAAGTAAACCGGTACGAGAAGATTCCCTTTTTGAGGTTTTTGATTTTTGTTAGTTTTTTAGAGTCCAAATTTTGCCAGCATTGCATTCAAGTAAAAACCAACTGACAATAAATAATGGTGAAAATATGTCATTCCTACTTCCATTAGCAACAAATCTCTCCTCTTCTTCTTTTGTCAATATAGGTTTTTAAAAAAAACTTTTTTTTTTAGTTTCTTCATGCTATTTAATACATATATTACATGAAAAGAGTATAAACGATAAATTCTTGACTGCTATATTTAATGTTTAAATAACGAGCTGAGAATAATACCCATATGGCCATATAAGCTATCTGAACTTTATACTATACTTTTTTTTTATCTAACCACAAATATATAGGGAATGTGCGTTTCTTGACAAATGAAATAATTCATTAAGTTAATACCTACTCCGGTCCTCTCCTTTCGATAAAGTCGAGTCTTTTTTAGTCAAAATTAATATCTTTCTAATCAAACACTTTGGTTTGGTATAATGTCAAATTTACTTTTTGGTTCTTATAATGAAATCCTTCACACTTCCCACTAATATATATATATATATACGCGCGCGCACACACACATAGATACACATTACACACTTATAGTGAGAGTAGAGCAGAGAGAAAAACAGAGTAATGGAGGTTAAGAAGACAGAGAAGAACATTACAGAGGAGGAGGATGATGAGTCTAAGATCATCTACAGAGGATGGAAAGTCATGCCCTTCATCATTGGTACTAACTGTTCCATATCATTTCTTCAATTCTTCTTGAAACAAACAAGAAACTGATGCTTATGAAAAAGGAGAAGATTTTATGAACAAAGTACAGTATAATCTCTCTATAACATGGTTTAATTAATGAGATGGTTTATTATAAAGAGTTTTGCCTTAATACAAACCCATTTTTTTGCTTTATTTATTTGCTTTAAAATATACTTATTCTAGACTTTATTTTATTTTATTTTGACTTGTTGTTTCTATATTCTTTTAACTTAAGTTTATATAATTGCCATATTTTCCTTTAATAATAAAATTTTATCGATGAATTCACACGAGACGTTAATTTAAGAGGAAATAAACTTTCGAGAAAAAAACAATTAAGTCTAAATACATTTGTATAATCTTTAAATATATTAATATATGCTAGGTTTCTCTGTTGCTAGGAAACATTTTATTTAATAAACAGAGGACTCCATGAACCTATTTCTTAATTGTTACATTTCGATCTTGATACGAACAAGAAAATGGACAAAAAAAATCCCGAGAATTTAAGCTTAAATCTTAATGCTCTGTTTCTTTTTGTTTGGTTTAATAATGCTCTGCTTAATTGTTAGGAAATGAGACATTTGAGAAGCTGGGGATAGTTGGGAGTTCATCGAATCTTGTTATATACTTAACGACGGTTTTCAACATGAAGAGCATCACGGCGGCGACCGTCGTCAACATCTACGGCGGCACAAGCAACTTCGGCACCATCGTCGCCGCTTTCCTCTGTGACTCTTACTTCGGCCGCTACAAAACCCTATCCTTCGCCATGATCGCTTGCTTCCTCGTAAAATCAAAAACCAATTCTCGGTTTAAAAAACTCACTGACCTTGCTTCTCGTGGCTAAAAGTAGCAATCTTTTGTGTGTTTGATTTTAAAGGGTTCCATGGCGATGGATCTAACGGCTATAATAAATCAGCTGCATCCAGCGAAATGTGCTACAGAAATCGGTAGCGTGTGCAAGGGGCCATCCATCGGACAGATTATGTTTCTCGCCGGAGCAATGGTTTTTCTGGTGATTGGAGCCGGTGGGATTAGGCCGTGCAATCTTCCTTTTGGTGCTGATCAGTTCGATCCCAAGACGAAAGAAGGGAAACGTGGGATTGAGAGTTTCTTCAATTGGTATTTCTTCACCTTCACGTTTGCTCAGATGGTGTCGTTGACGCTCATCGTCTACGTTCAGTCAAATGTGAGCTGGAGCATTGGTTTAGCCATCCCAGCTATCCTGATGTTACTTGGCTGCATCATCTTCTTCGCTGGTTCTAAGCTCTATGTCAAGGTTAAAGCTAGTGGCAGTCCCATTCACAGCATAACACGTGTCATCGTCGTCGCAATCAAGAAAAGGCGGTTAAAGCTCGTCGGTTCGTCTTCTGATGGGCTTTACAACTACATCGCAAAGGACTTCAAGAACTCGAAACTGAGCCATACAAAGCAGTTCAGGTACTAAAAACCATCTCCTTTCCTCCTCTTACTTTCTTGTGGAACAAATCAGAAACCTTTTAGGGTTTTGTTAAATTTGCAGGTTCCTTGACAAAGCGGCAATCCAAACACCAGACGACAAGCTGAACATAGATGGCTCGCCGGCGGATACATGGAAGCTCTGTAGTGTGCAGCAAGTGGAGGAAGTGAAATGCGTGATCCGGGTGCTTCCGGTTTGGCTCTCGGCCGCCTTATTCTACCTAGCTTACATTCAACAAACAACCTACACAATCTTTCAATCTCTCCAGTCCGATAGACGCCTCGGTTCAGGGAGTTTCCAGATCCCAGCCGCGACTTACACCGTCTTCTTGATGCTTGGAATGACTATATTCATACCAATCTATGACCGAGTCATTGTGCCTTTCCTTAGAAAGTATACAGGGAGAGACGGAGGTATCACACAGCTGCAGAGAGTTGGAGCAGGAATGTTCCTATGCATCACAAGTATGATGGTCTCTGCGACTGTGGAACAACGCAGAAGAACGGTAGCTCTCACAAGACCGACACTAGGCTTTGCTCCGAGAAAAGGCGCAATCTCTTCCATGTCCGGTATGTGGCTGGTTCCTCAGCTAGTGCTAATGGGTATCGCCGACGCCCTCGCTGGAGTTGGTCAAATGGAGTTTTACTACAAACAGTTTCCAGAGAACATGAGAAGTTTCGCTGGCTCTCTGTACTATTGCGGGATTGGACTGGCGAGTTACCTCAGTACCTTTTTGTTATCGGCGGTGCATGATATCACGGAGGGATTTTCCGGCGGAAATTGGCTTCCGGAAGATCTAAACAAGGGGAGACTGGAGTATTTCTACTACTTTGTTGCTGGTGTGATGACTCTCAACTTTGCCTATTTCTTGTTAGTCTCACATTGGTACCGTTACAAAGATGTTGTGGCCAAGGACAAGTCTTCTGATGAGTTTGATAAGGTTTCCGTGTAAGAAAGACTTGTACTTTTTTACTCTCGGTGGGTTTAGGGTTTTGAGTTGGCTCTGAGACAATAAAGATACGACCTTTGAACAAACCATTACATACAAATACGACTCGGAATGTCTATATATGAGAAGTACCATAGCTTCTACAAAAACCCAATCCCTCAAAGAACGAGAACAACCCTGGAAATTCCCTGAATGGGTATAGCTCTGTTCTTAGGTGATAAACGAATATAATCAAACAGGAACTGATTGTCCAGTGAGAGCGTCATGGAGATGTAATGACCCATCTTTCATCAGGTTAAGGCTCAAGCTTTTGAACCTCTCTCTTGAGTATTGCCTCGACGCCTTTCTCCAATCCGTTCCTGCTTTCATCATTGCTACAAACTCATCATAGTTTATACGCCCATCCTGCAAAAAAACAAACATTCCCAACAGTTCGATTCAGAAACAGAGCGATTTATCTTACTCTTCACAAGCTTAGTGTTGAGGCCTATAAGGACGATTATTTTAGAGATTTTGAAAGAACCTTGTCAGTATCAACTTCACGCATGATGTCGTTTAGAACACTGACATCTGGTTCGCCTAATTCGTCAGCTAAAGCTTCCCGTAGCTCATCAAGTTCGATGTATGTACTTCCATCTTTGTCGAAGAACATAAAAGCTAGTTTGAAAAGCTCATCATTCTCTAACTTCTGCAAGTGAATTATCACAGCTACAAACTCTCCATAATCCAGAAACCCATTCCCATCAACATCCGCCTGCGTCAAAGCCATACGGATTTCAGCTTATGTTTTTTTTTTGTCAGAGAATAACACTGTTTTGGGTTTTTTTATAAGAGAAGAGTAATGCGGAAAATTACCACTTCCATCAACATTTTGATCTCTGGTTCATTAAGCTGTGAGCCAACCTTCTGAAGTCCAGCTTTGAGTTCCTGGTAAGTTATTTTACCATCGTTGTCATCATCCATCAGTGAGAACATGTCCCTGATCACTTCAACCTCTTGAACAGACAAATGCTCCGCGATTACCTGGAAGCATCAAAAGGGACAATAGTGATCAAAACCAATTAAGGAAACTGAGCAATAGACTAACTACCCAAAAGAAAATGCAAAACACTTACACGAAGAACTTTCTTTTTGAATCTATTCATCATAGAGAACTGCTTCAACCTCGCTCTGACAATATCCCCTAAAGGAACATTTGGAGCTTTCTTTGCATTCTGTATCCAAGGGTGAGCTGAGAGGTGAAACGAAAAATTGTTAATAACGGTGTCAGAATCAACTCTTAAACTAAGAACATAAAATAAATAGTGTCACAAGAACTTCACCTAGCACTTGCTGAGCAGTTAACCGCTTAGCCGGATCAGGATCCAACATCTGCTTCACAAGGCTCTTGGCGCTCTCTGATATCTGAGGCCAAGGGTCTCTCTTAAAATCAATCACTCCCCGCAAGATCGCAAGAGCAACACCTTGCTCAGTCTCTGTCAATGGAAACCACCAAACTCACCGGTCTAGCAAATCGATACAGGAGACAATTACACAACATTCCTGCAGAAAATGGGGGAAAAGAAGCTAACCAGCCCAAAACGGAGGAACACCACAGAGCAAGATGTAGATGATAACTCCGGCGCTCCACACATCAATCTCTGGTCCATAATCTCTCTTCAACACTTCAGGAGCCATATAATATGGACTTCCTACAATCTCTGTAAACTTATCTCCTGCAATAAGCAAGCAACAAAATTTACTCCATTTTCAGATTCAGAGGATGAACATTGTAATGGATATGAAATGTATCCTAAAATTAGAATCATCCAGAGAGTTGTGAACAAGTGGATTCAGAGAAACTGTAGTTACCAGGTTTGAAGAACACAGACAAGCCGAAATCAATGGCCTTTAAGGCGGAATTCTCCTTTTTGTTGGCGAACAAGAAGTTCTCGGGCTTCAAATCTCGGTGCACGACTCCATTGGAGTGACACATCATCACGACCTCGGCGATCGTTCTCGCGACGGCCGCGGCCGCACGCTCCGTGTAATGTCCCCTCGCAACGATCCGATCGAAAAGCTCACCGCCTTCACAGAGCTCCATCACCAGATGCACGTTCTCGTTGTCCTCGTAAGTGGCCTTGAGCTTCACTACGTTTGGGTGCTCAGGCAAAGTGGACATAATCGCGACCTCGCGACGGACGTCCTCGATGTCGACGGCTGTCCGGAGCTTCCGCTTCGAAATCGATTTGCAGGCTAGGGCTTCGTCGGTTTCTCGATCAGTGCAGAGGTAAGTGATTCCGAATTCGCCGCGACCCAGCTCTCGCCCTAGGATGTATTCGTCGCTGATCTGCGTACGGTGGCTCGTAGGGATTACATCCTTGAGAACGCGTATTGGAGCAGGGGATCTGACGAAATCGCCGGCGAATGGGTTTAATTTCCGATCCCGGTTGTTCTTTTTCGGCTTCTGGGTCGGTTTGGAGTCTTCTGTGTTGGGCCTCACACAGACGTTACAGTTACCCATGGCCGAGTTAAAATCTCAGCAACTCAGAGAAAGGGGATCAGGAAGAAGGAAAAGCTAAAAGAAGAAAACGATTATCCCTTAGTTCACACCGACGCCGGAGATGGCGGTCGCGGTAATTTCCGGCGGATGGGTGAGCTTGCGTTTGGGAGAGAAAACGCGGGTTCAGGTGACGAAAAGTCGGACCTTTCGAAATTTTCAGTTTTGATGAATGGATATGAAAGAAAAATAAGGGAACTTGAATTTTTTCTTATAATGAATGCATTTAATAATAACGTGTTTAGGAGTTTTTTTTCTATTCTAACCATTTCACCATCTTCTTAAAGGAAACTATATTATTGTTTTTAAATTAGTTTCTTATTTTTCTTCTAGATGATATGGATTTTGGTCCACGCTCGTGACTCATAAATACTCTTCTTCTTTTTTTTTTCTCTTTAACTCATTGGATTAACTCTTGCACTTCAAGTCTTCAATAGTAAAGAATCACGAGAAAAATCATTACAAATATTTCAATTATGTCTAATCGATTTAATCGGTTGTAAGTTTAATGTGGTTTCAAAAATCAATTTTTTTTTTTTACTTTCACATATACTTTCAAGTATTATGCAACCAAAAAAAAAACAAAAATACAAAATAGCGTAAAACAATTTAACGATGAGGATGCGGCACATGTAAGCCGTTTTGTTGAAGTTGGTGGATACGGTCACTCATCATCGGTCAGGATCTGACACTGTTAGAAAAATAAAATGGCGTTGATTTATTTCTGCCACGTTGATCCCAAACTAATTCTTTAATTCATTTTCTTGTAACTAATAGAGAAATCAGAATATTTTTATTTCGAATTAAGAAAGTATTTTGTAAACTCGTATTTTCCCCCTTCAAAACCATTCCGTGATTTTAAACCATTACAAATAACTCAAACATTACGCATAATTATTATATTGGTTATTAGTTATAGATTTTGATTCATTGTAATGCTCATGAGTAAAAAAGAAGAAGGCATACCAATAATAGTTTTTTTTTCATCAAATTTTAACAAAAGAGAAACTGCAAAAAAAAATGCATTATTTGGAGTCGTATAATTTTGTAGGTTATTATTCAATACAAAATGTTAGATATAGATATATATATATATATATCCCTCATAATTATTACCTAGATTCTAGTTAGGAAAAAATTGCCGACAAAAAAATTGGAAGAAGTTAGGTGTATAGACTTCGTCAATTATGAGCAATAGTTATTGTTGTCAAAAGGAAAAAAAAATATTAAAAGATCACAAATCGAAGATTTGATGGATGGAAGTCAACATAAAAAAAAACAAATAAAAATCAATGACTATTATATTCGTTTTTCCTGGCTCAGAAACCACAAGTCTTCCTATGCTGACTTTTTTTATACGAGTTAAGATTTCCACCATTTCATACTCGTTATCTTTTCGTTGGATTTACTTTAATTAGGTGTTACATAACTTTGGTACCATATAGTAGTATAAACCGAATATATTATTTTCACACAAAATTAAAGATTATGAACTAAATACAATTCGAATAAAGATGGTGAGGAACATGATGAAAAGGTGCAAAATGAACGGAGTAGTAACAAATTTCTATATGGAAATTTACATGTAATTTTTATCATTATTTTAGTCCTCTTTGCATCTATTTTGTCTTGTTTTGCATCATTCTTTTCGGTGAAGATGTGTTTTGACGATGCATATATTACGATGATTAAAATTTCTAAAGGAGTTTGCCCAAAAGTATTATAATAATAATAATTTATTTGGCCCAAGCAAATGTTTAGAGGGAAACGAAAATTGTGAATTCATGTCAACTAGAGCATAAGTGTTTTTGTTTTAAGAGACATGTAGGTGGATTAAGTATGCATCGTTAAAATATTCTAAATCAAGCTCTGTGATTTTATACGTTTATTAAATACCTTTTTTTAACAATTGGATCGAATTAATATCTGGTAGGTCAGAAAGAAAGAAGCGGCTACAATTTATTGCCTGACTTGACTTCGACCTTTCACCCCCTATCTATGAACTAACTAACAAATTTTACACTGAAACTGATATTCATTCATGCATGTTCTTTTAAACTTTTTTTTTTTTTTTGAACCATATGTTCTTTTAAACTTTACTGTTGTTTTTCTTTTCTACTTTATTTGATAAATATTTGTACAACACAGTCTCAAAACTAACCAACAAAAAAAGAAGATCAAATCTCCTTCTTTTTAATCATTCGATTAAACTCACCCACATGAAGGGAGAAATGAAGGCCGTGCTTCACCGTCGGCAACTTTAAAGCTGGCATAAATGATGATTAAAACATCTTGACCAAAAAAAAAATGATGATTAGAACAAAAATATTTGGAAAAAGTTTAACTTTTTTGTTGAATAAAATGATTATGTTTGGGGAATTGGGATGATGAGTTCAACCCAAATGCTGCGTGTATGCATGTTGGTACGCCAACTTTTTGCACAACTTATTATTAACAGCCCCTAAAATATGTTTCCGTAGTTCATAGTCTAGATCGAGAGATATAATCCTTATATACTTAATACTAGTGTCAGAAATCATATACTAATAAATTTGTTTAGTCCAATTTTCGGTTTTGGTTTTGAGCTGTTACAGTCTTCTCAAGTTAGTCGATAATTAGATAAAATTTAAAACTTACAGAATCATATATTGGCTATTTTTTCTATACTATGTATAAAATACCTAGAGTTTTTCATTCGAACTCGAAACTTTCGAACATCCAGAATTTTCGAAGCAACGTAAGGCGGACAGGATTCGAAACCAGACTTGCATCTGTGGATTTTCTCAACAACGGGCTTAGCGAGATCAAAGAGCCCATCTTTTGTTTCAAATTAGTCCTAGTATGAATCGAGAGACAGCCCAGTCTCAATAATAATAAAGTTATTTATCTAATAAATAAAATAGAAGTTGTTGACAATGTAATTAGAGTTTATAAATTCATATGTTTGTTGACTTCCTCCAATTGTTAATATGTTTTTTTTTCTTTTTTTCTTTCCTTTCGTTAATTAAAGGTTTTTAATTTTTTGTCACACGCACACATAATTTGTAATGTATATCTAATTTCTTTTTTTCAAACTCAGAGAATGTTTTCACATTAAAATTTTAATTATACAAATGCTAATTTTTTTGTTTCGGTTAATAGCTTCGATTTCTCAACCTCCCACCAAATCTCTCTCTTAAATCTCTATAGTCAAATAGTAAAGTAAATCTCTTTGAATACTAAAGTAACAGACCAAGTCACAGGCAAGACATGACAGGAACGACACGTGTGTACATCGAAGACTTGCGAAACTTGAGGAGGGCAAAGCTTCTACGTTGCAAATAAGAAATAGCCAAAGGAGAAAAAGGTAAAAGAGGAAAATAATAAAAAGATGCTCAACTTGTCCTGAATTTTTAGCCAAAGCCATAGATTCTTTATATTTCCCATAGAACACATTTTATTTTTAAAAGTGATATATTTCATACAAAAAATTACCAATATTAGCATTGTAATGGATACAAAAATAATGCAAAATAATAACGGTACTGGTTAATTGTGACAAAGAATTTCTGTAAGGAAAAAAATAGTTTCTATCAAGTATTGACTATTGAGAGGATTCTGAGTGAAATAAGAATGATTGTGTATTATTTGAAAACAAATGAAAAGCTTAGGGTTTGATTTGAAAGTCTGGCTAGGTAAAAATAATAAATTGAAGAATTTAATTTATAAAGTTATAAAAAGGGTGAGCAAAAAAAAAAAAGTTGTGACCTTGAATTCGCAGCCTCCGTGTGAGCAATATGCTTGGAGAGTAGAAGAACGCTTCTCTCAATTTTGACGGGAAGAAGACGAGCTTGTACCTCCATTGTTCTCAATCTCCCCTGAAGAACTTTGCAGGGAAACCAAAATCATAGCCTAGGAGAAGTCAACACCACCGTTTTTCAGGTGACTTTTGCTATTCTGTTGATCTCTCTTTGTCTCTCTCCGATGCTCGCTTCGTTGTTCTTCTTAATCACTGGACGCCGATTCCTGGGTTTGGTTTATCTTCACTTTCTTTCAGATGGACAATCTCGCGATGGGTTTAACGCGTTTCTCGAGATTTTAGCTCACTTTTTGTTTGAAATAAAAAAAAATAAAAAACGTTGGCCCTTTAGTGAGATTCGAATGTAATCCTCAAGTAAAATATCTAATGTGAATCAGATGTCGAATTCTTATGGTCACATGATTTTCAGCATTGAATTAGAGCTAAATGTTCAATTTTGGGCGATGCAGTTAAAAGTATAGACGTTGTTTTATCTCAAAGGATGGATTTTTCTATGAATTTTTACCTTATTACGAAGTGTGTGTATGGTTCACTTGTGAGTAAAGAAGAAAGTTGGAGACTTTGAATTGTTGGGACGAAGCTAGTTGTTGTAGTAGTAATGTTACAAAGTTTGGAGAAGAGCTTCTAATTCTCCTCTAAGTCTCATTGAATCTTTGAATTTCATTTGTTGCAGAGAAATGATACGCTCAAAGCAAATCAGTAACCTTACAAGTACAGCGAGATCCTATTTTCTTAGTGGATCGAGAACAAGTGCAGCTGATGGGAATCCTTGTGCATACACCGATGATGAAACCTGTGTCTCGAGACGTCAACAACTTAGGAAGGAAGCTGCACAGACTGAGAAACGACCATCCAGTATTGTCCGTAACCCTTCGTTAGTTGGAAGTATATTGCCTGGAGAGGTATGTAAACCGGTGGTTCCAAAGAAGGTTGATGATTTCGTTCGGCCATCTCTATTGCCACAGCATGTTTCTTCTTCTTCTTCGAGTAAATCACATTCGGTTAATTATGCATCAACCATCGTTAGAGACGAGGAAGCTTCTTCAGAGCCTATTGGGGATCAGATTATGAGGGCAGGTATTGTAGCGGTAAATTTTCTGTCAGATTTAGCGAATTGTAAGATTCCTTCTTCTGATGGAGGGAGTGAAGCATTCGGATTCCCGAAAAGCTGTATGGTGGATCCAACTCGGCCTATTACAAGTGTCAAGTCTTCGAATGTGAAAGCTATAAGAAGAGAGCACTTTGCCAAAGTTTACCCTAGACCAGCTTCAAAAGAGTCTTCGATGGGTAAGATTAGAAACCCCAGTAGCAACTTCCGAGGTGCTAAGGAAGCTGAACGAGCTGGATTTGTTAAAGGACTCAAACAAGTTTCAATCCCGACAGCAAGTAACACGCCAGGCAAGAAGACAAGCCTGTTGCAAAAACCCGGTATTGATTCGAACAGGTTTGTGGCAAGCGGTTTCAGTAAATCCTCAGCCGAAATGATGAAAATGCATTCAGGGACTGCTCTGACATCGAGGCAGTACTGTAACAGCGGATACATTGTGGAAAACGTTTCCAGCGTTCTGCGTAGATTCAGGTGGGGCCCTGCTGCTGAAGAGGCCCTTCAGAATCTCGGCTTGAGGATGGATCCGTACCAAGCAAACCAAGTTCTTAAGCAGATGAATGACTATGGAAATGCTCTTGGTTTCTTCTACTGGCTCAAAAGGCAACCTGGGTTCAAGCATGACGGGCACACTTATACCACCATGGTGGGTAACCTCGGCCGTGCTAAGCAGTTTGGTGCAATAAACAAGCTCCTCGATGAGATGGTTAGAGAAGGATGTCAGCCAAATACGGTTACGTATAACCGACTTATCCACAGCTATGGCCGTGCCAATTACCTGAATGAAGCTATGAATGTGTTCAATCAAATGCAGGAAGCTGGATGCAAACCTGACCGGGTAACTTTCTGTACCCTCATAGACATTCATGCTAAGGCTGGGTTTCTCGACATTGCCATGAATATGTACCAGAGAATGCAAACAGCAGGTCTTTCTCCTGATACTTTTACTTACAGTGTCATAATAAACTGTCTTGGCAAAGCTGGACATTTACCTGCTGCACACAAGCTCTTCTGTGAGATGGTTGATCAGGGCTGTACTCCTAACTTGGTCACTTACAACATCATGATAGACCTGCATGCCAAAGCAAGGAACTATCAGAGCGCGTTGAAGCTTTACCATGACATGCAAAATGCAGGGTTTGAGCCTGACAAAGTGACGTACAGCATTGTGATGGAGGTGCTTGGACACTGTGGACATCTCGAGGAAGCAGAGGCTGTTTTCACCGAGATGCAGCGTAAGAACTGGATCCCTGATGAGCCGGTTTATGGTCTTTTGGTGGATTTGTGGGGAAAAGCTGGTAATGTGGAAAAGGCGTGGCACTGGTATCAGGCAATGCTTCACGCTGGTCTGCTACCTAATGTTCCCACTTGCAATTCCCTTCTTAGTACCTTTCTTAGGGTTAACAAGATAGCTGAAGCGTATAAGTTATTACAGAACATGCTGGCTCTTGGTCTACGGCCCTCTTTGCAGACATATACGTTGCTCTTGAGTTGTTGCACAGACGGTCGGTCGAAACTTGACATGGGTTTCTGTGGGCAGCTAATGGCAAGCACGGGTCATCCCGCACACATGTTTCTCCTCAAGATGCCACCTGCGGGTCCAGATGGGCAGAACGTGCGGAAACACGTGAACAGCTTCCTGGATCTCATGCACAGCGAGGACAGAGAGAGCAAGAGAGGACTGGTGGACGCGGTGGTTGACTTTTTACACAAGTCAGGGCTGAAAGAAGAGGCGGGATCTGTTTGGGAAGTTGCAGCACAAAAGAACGTGTTTCCGGATGCGTTGAGGGAGAAAAGCAGCAGCTACTGGCTTATCAACCTCCATGTGATGTCAGAGGGAACTGCGATAACGGCGCTGTCTAGGACGCTCGCTTGGTTCCGTAAGCAGATGTTAGTCTCGGGATCTTGCCCTTCTAGGATTGATATAGTTACTGGTTGGGGAAGACGTAGCAGAGTGACTGGTACATCAATGGTGAGACAAGCAGTTGAAGAGCTGCTCAACGTCTTTGGCTCACCGTTTTTCACGGAGAATGGAAACTCTGGTTGTTTCGTTGGATGTGGTGAGCCTCTCAACAGGTGGTTGCTTCAGTCTTATGTTGAGAGGATGCATTTGCTGTGATGAGTCTTTGCTTCACATCTTAGGCTTTATTTTTTTATTTTATATATTAATCTTTCGGCCGATTGCATCTTTATGAAATCGTTTTAGCTTGTAAGTCATAAGGTTAAGGTTAGGGATAGACTTGGAATTTGTCTTCCAGTCTTTTGTCCTCTGCTTTTCAATTGTAATCTTCCTGTTGCAATAATATTATCTGAGATTACATGAGGTTATCAAACACACGTTGATTTTATTACTGTGTAGAATCATTATTTTCATCAAATGCTTCCAGAAAGAAAACAAACTGTTGTAGAGACTTTGCCGATGATGTACAATGGATAAAAGAAGGAAAAGTGGAGAAGGAACTAGACAAGCCTGGTGTTGTAAGAGGCACAAAAAGAACACTTGTGATAGAGCCAATGGTGAGGAGCATTTCCCTTTCTCCCACAGTCATTACATAGTATTACCTGCATCCCAATCATCTTTATCTTTTAAGTTACACTTAAGACAATGAACTGATACTTATTCATATGTATGAGATAAAGAGCGGAACCTGAGTTTGGTTTGAGTATTCATCTGGCATCTTTTGTTCTGCGAGCAGTGCGTCTAACATTCTAAAATAAACCTGCGTAACCATATTAGTGAATCACTTCAGTGTTTGCAGCATTGTCCCCATAAAAGGCCAGAGAATAAACAAAAATCTTGTTTGATTGTTGGTGGAGAAACACTGAAGTGTCATTAGCTACTGTGTTCAGAAATTTGTTCAAGGAGAGAGCCATAATTTTGGTGAAACTAACCTGCATATCCCCTAGTGACTTACTGCAGATAGGGCAAATGTAATGCGAACATGTGTACTCCTACAACCAGAAACGGATTTCTAATTAAGTAACATTCTTAGCATATGTCACTCAAATGTTTCAAAACTGTGAAATGTCTCAAGTTAAGCACCTGAAAGCATGTGGAGTGCATGACGTGACCACATGGAAGAGCCTTCACCGGAGAGTTAGAAGTGAAAATGTACTCATGGCAAATGGGACAGTTATCTTCTAAGCACTTTTCCCTGCAAACATGCTCTACTAATAAACGTGACATACAAGCGTTGCATTTCATGCAATGGAAGTAGTCAATGCCCAATCCTTTTCCTACCCGGCAGAGATTGCAGTAAGGACAATGATAAATTTCTCTGCAAAACATATATAAACAAAAAAAAGCCTTTGATCGTCAGAAACTACCAACAAAGTGTTTAGTGTATAGTCATCAACATCAGTTTAAGATAAGATATGTTGAGCATCACAAAGCAGAGATGCTGAAGCAAAAGAAGAAAGATTAACCTTTCATCGTCAAACAATTTACAGATTTTGCAGTAATATTTTCCCATTGAAGAACTACATGAACTATTTGAGCAGTTCGCACCAACTGGCTGAATTAGCAAGCACTTCATGCACATCATCTTTGTGATATGTTTCCTGCACAATAATATTTAAGAACACTATAGACGGATAAGAGTACAACAAACATCACTGATGTTTTTTAAGATAGAGATAGGAAGTTAATTGACATGCCACTACACCTATCCACTGAGTGATCAGTTTCTTCATCATGGCACCGTATACACGTGAAGAGCTGGTTGCAACAGGAAGCAAGAAGTTTGCAACTCCTCTTGTAGTGTTTGCAACCAAAGATTAGTTTGTGAGGATCTCGATAAGATGGATGCTGGCCAGGAATCGCTTCCTTATTGCTTGAGAGGAGTATGGATGGTTCAAGATTATGTATCCGCTGTGTGGCAATCCAACGGCTGAAAAAGTATACAACCTAGTGTTAAGTCACAACAAAGAACAATGACTTAATTTAGATTTTCAAGCGAAAAGTAAAGGAGTAAAAAGTCTTATATATAATGATTTTTGCAGCGCTTACCTCGTTAACAAATTCTGCATGATATATGATTTCTTCTGAGAATCCAAGACAGCGTCACAAGATATTCTTCTAATTGTTGCATCCACATCCTCCTGACTCATTGATAATAGGCACTCATACTTACTCATTTCTCCACATTGATTAGATTTTGTAACCATTTGAAAAACTTGATGAGCAGGTTTTGTTTGCTGGAAGTTGATGTCATCAGATTGTTCAATGCACCTCTTCTCCTCGGCTCCTACACACACTTTCTTATTTTCTGAGATCTCTTGATGATTCTCCTTCTTGTTGCCAATTTCTGCCTTGTTATTAGGAGCATCATTTCCAAGTGGCTTACTCATGATAAGCTTTAAATCTTTCTCTGACAATTTTAGAGGTTTTCTGCCAATGCTCCCTCCATTCTCATGATCAGCTCCTTCAAAGAGATATTTCCAAACAATATCTAGTGGATCTGAATCCTCATATGAATTCTTATTTGCCTCCTTAGTTTCCTCTCCAATAACATGACTATTGTACCATTCTGTTAACCATTCAGCAAACATAGTTTTCCTTGTTGCTTGACTCCACAAAGACATCACAGCATGTTGTTCTTCAGGGATCAAAGATTCCATTAACCATGGAATCACATCCTGCAATATTTCTCCACTCATCCTTCCAAGCATGCATGCAATGATTTTTTCCTGTTCCTCGACAGTGAAGTCTCTGAATAACCACCAGAGCTCAGTTTCTTCGCGGTGGAGATGCTCAGACAATAGCTTATGAATGGATTTGCATACATCTTGGAGGCTCGAACACAACTTCTCATACTTCACATCCCTGTGGTGGTCAAGTGAATTTGAATCGGTAGTAGATACCAACATGTTGAGTTCTGCCATCTCTTTCAAAAGAAATGATACTTTGTTGAGGTGCTCAACTTCAAGTTCGTGATCGATGCTGTATGATTGACTAATGTTTTGTAGTTTACCCTTTGCTTCCAGGGCTGGAAATGCAATCTCATCCTCTGCATCTGAATGTATCTGATACAAGAACTTTATAAGATGAAACCGTTGATGAAACTCACCAAGGAAGCTACAGTCTGATGCTAGTCTAGCTGAACCACATACAAGGTAGTCTAGATCCTTCTTCATTGCCTTGTGGAACAAGAAAAGCAGATCGATCGGTTTCAAGTCCATAGTTAAGTGATTGCCAATATTCTTGTCACTAAAAAAACCAGGAAGTTGTTGAAGAGGCTTGATTCTCTCTGGGATAAGTATTTTCTGATTCATTGCACTAGAGTACGGTGTCTCAATCATGTAACCAGCATGTAGATCCTTTGACTCGATGCATGTTGAAGACTTATCTTTGTTCCCTTGCCTCACAAGCAAATGAGAGTCAGATCCTTTGCATAAAGATCCAGAAGCTTCTTCAGTGTGTTCATCTCCAAAGGGAAATATCGGTTTGAACATAAAGGACAGCTCATTCCAGAAACTTTCAATTGATGTTTTGCCTGAATAACCAAAGCGAAACCACTGCAACAAGAGCCGCGAAAAAGATTTGTTGGGAAAGGAATCTTCCAAACTTAAGAAGTGAATAATTGATTGAGATTCATCTTCTGACAACTGAGCAGAAAACCACATTGTGACACACTTGAGCAATCCAAGAGGCAGGACATGAAGGCTTCTGTATAAGAGCTGCCTCTGCATTTCAACGTTGCAATTCTTGCTGATGATGGGGAATACCTTGAGAACAATGAGTGAAATATACTTTGGATAATTAGTTTCTCCAAAAAAGTGCAAGAAAAGCCAATTAATCAAAAGTTCATAAGAATATAGGAAACAGTACTTTACCTCTGTTTCCTCTACAGAAAACTGTTTAGCTACTGTCAGTATAAGAGATTCCAGTTTTTCCTGAAGGGTTATGACAAAATTGTCACTGGCTGTTCTAGTTTCAAGGTTTAGCGATTTTTTGAAGCTCTCCACATCTATGGTGAATTGTTTGGAAGTGGAAGAGTGTTGATCCACCATTTCTTCAAACACTGGGTAAAAGAACTTCTTAAATGCATTGCTGCAATGAAGTATGTCACCAGTTTCTCAGAAGAAAAGACAAATCCAGGAGAAACTACACACCATATCAAAGAAAACAGAAAAAAAATAATAATCAAAAGTTCCACAATTATTATTACCTATAAAAGATAAGGACATCAGCAAGGAAGTTTAGCCGAACCACTAGCACATTGAGTTCCAACGAAAAGCTTGGAAACTTCAATTGGTATAATCCTTTTTGAATCTCTAACAAATCTCTTTTAATTGCAGTATGCCAAATCTGAATACCATGAGCCAGAGTGTGTCCTCCTCCTGTATTTGGACTTGAAAATGAGGTTTTACTCCACTGCCAAAAACGTTGAAACAACCCACCACTTGATGAATCTGCCTGATGAGATGAGTTGCTCATGTTTTCAGACACTTCTACACACTGGACTCCTTTCATGATCTTTGTAAGAGCCGGGAAAGAAGAAGATCGACTATCCTCAATCAGCCAAGAGTTTATGACCTTTTCAAAAAATAATTTAATGTTACAAATTTTCAAAAAAAAATTGAAAGGTAATCTCTTAGTATAGAGAATATTACCAGTTGCAAGGAGACTTCATTTGGGACAACTTGCTTCACGCAGTTCTCAACTTCAGATTTCTCCTTGGGAGAGAGTAAAGATGTCATCCATGGGAAAATCTCTTCAAGTGCCATCACTGGAACACTAGAGATGAATTGCCACACTAGTGATGATTGTTCTTGAAAAGAGAAGTTCTCAATGATCAATGGAAACACCTGCATGTTCAAGAGAAAGTTCTGAGTCACTTTGCAAAAGACAATTTTAACTGTGACAAAGCAAAAACCTATATACATATATACCTGCCGTTCTTCTTTGAGCATATGTTGACATATGGATGACTGAATGGTGCCAATACATAATACAACTTCACGAAGAACATCTGCAACGTTCCCTCTTTCCTCATCTTCAAGAACATGTAGCCAATGAAAAACTGAAGTGAAAAGATCCTCTGTGTCATCATGTTCAAGCGAATAATTGAAAGCAATGTTTTTAACACGTGTGTCGAGCGCTGAAAATATAACCTGCCATTAACGTAAGTGGTTGTAATTAGAAATCAAATCGGAACGGTTCAAGTCTTTTTTTGTGTGTATCAGATTCTGCCTGATTCCATAAAAAGCTCTGTTCACTCGTTGACTTGTTTTAGCTTTAGTCTTTCGTTTTTTGCTAATTCCGACATTAAGGAAAAACAAAGAAACTCCAGAGTCTAGTGAAACCACCAGTGCATACATAACCAAGAGATGATGATAACTAATTAAGCTCTTGTTTTTTCCTAAGATGAGTCATTAGAACCCAAAATGTATACTTTTAGTAAAACTTGTTTAAAAAAAATTGTGGAATATAACCTCATCTTCAGCTGCAGAATGGTACTTATAAACAAGCTTCAAGAAATCCAACTTACGGCGGAGCTCCAACGCTAGATCGGAATTGGCCCGGGCCGCATCACCGGCCAGACTTTGGAGCTCCGCCAGCTGCGCACGGAAAGCCTTGTGGAAGTAAACGAACAGGAGAATCGGAGAATCCGACAACCGAGCATTCACGACGGAGGAAGAAGAAGTCGACGCAATATCCGGCGGTTCTTGTCCGGGGAAAGTGGAAGAGGATCTCCGACTCCCATCCACCACCATGAACAGGAGAGGAAGGGGTGGAAATAGAAAGAGGAAAGAAGGAGAAGAAGAAGGAAACGCGTTGACGAGAAGAGAATGTAATTTAAAGGCTTGATCATCGTCGTCGTCGTCGTCAAGCTTTCTCTCTCTGCTGTAGATTGAGGAGGATTTGTTAATTAATTAATTTAAGGGTTTAAAGAGTTTTATTATATTTGGAAGTGATGGAGACGTTACAAAACAGAACAACCAACAAGGCTTTTATCATACACACATTTGTGGCGGGATTATTTAACTTGGCCCCATGTGACCCACCCTTATTTAATTGTCGTTTTTCTATTATAATTTTCTCAATTGTAATTTTTTTTTTTTTATCTGCCCTTTCATAAGATATCATATTTTTATATTTTTATCTGCCCTTTCATTAAGATATTAAACTCATTTTGTCAAATAATGATATAAATCCACCACCATTAATTATATACAAACATGAACAAAATAATAAGACGAGAAAGAAACTTTAAAAATTTTGATTGAGTTGACCCAAAAAAAAAAGTTTTGATTGAATGAGTCAGTGTTATTTCCGACAAAAACAAGACTGACGTTCATTGATTGAATGAGTCAGTGTCATCCACTTGACGCCGTTGGTTAAAGCCGTTAAATTAATCTCCCCGTTCCGTGTGCTCTACCGCACGTGCCATCATGTGGCTGTAGCGTGCGAAACTGCGAATCTAGAGTTCCCACGTCTCTACTGTCTTCCCCCTTAAAATGGGCTTAATAGTTAGAATTCGGCCTTTTATTAAAATTAGCCCAGTCCAATAATGAATGTATATATATTATCGATATTTTGATTTATTCAAATAAACAAGATAGTAATCAAATTCGTGCATGCCCCGTTTGCGCCTAACACTCAACAGGTAGAAAGCGATTTTTTTAGCTTCTTCTTCATTTTTACTTTCTCCGGCTAAAACGAGGCGGAAGATGGTGGCGGAGAGCCTGAGAACGAAGTGGATGGCTATGACGGCGAGCATATGGATCCAGTGCACCGGAGGAGGGTCCTACACCTTCGGAATCTACTCCGCGATCTTGAAATCAAGTCAATCCTACGACCAATCAACCCTTGACACAGTCTCCGTCTTCAAAGACATCGGGGGTAACGTCGGCGTTTTATCGGGACTTGTATACACTGCAGCAACTTTCAATCGCCGACGCCGAGATGAACGGGAAGGCCGAGGAGGACCGTGGGTGGTGATTTTGATCGGAGCCATCCTCTGTTTCACCGGTTATTTCCTCATGTGGGCTTCCGTTACCGGTCTGATCAGGCGACCGCCGGTTCCGGTTATGTGTCTCTTTATGTTCATAGCTGCTCAGTCTATGACGTTTCTTAACACGGCCAACGTCGTCAGCTCCGTTGAGAACTTCTCCGATTATGGTGGCACTGCCGTTGGAATTATGAAGGTGAAAAGGCTACACATTTCATTATTAAAACCAAAAATAAAACCTCTGCTTTGAGTTGATATCTCGTTACTATTGGTCCATAGTCCATTATTATTTCATTTGGGACTTTAAGATTGATGCATATTCACTATATTCTTGATATTAGTTGAACTGAACCTCACAAAACAGGGGAAAATCGATTATAGTTTTCTTGTATGTCCAGAGATTATAAAATGATCCATTTGGTCAATTCTCTTACAATATATTTTCAAAGAGAAAACTTGTTTTTTCTTATCGATATTTCAGTACCATTTTGATGCAACGTCTAAGCTTATACCTTGCGGTCGTTATTTTGCAGGGGTTTGTGGGTCTAAGTGGAGCAATGTTAATTCAACTGTATGGAACAGTATGTCCTGGAGATCCAAAGAGTTTCATTCTTCTACTTGCAGTAGTACCTTCACTTCTCTCTCTACTGGTGATGCCTTTAGTCAGAATATATGAGACGACCACGGTCGATGAGAAGAAGCATTTAGATGGTTTCTCAACTTTATCTCTTATCATCGCAGCTTACCTTATGGTCATTATCACTATCAAGGGCATTTTGGGTTTACCACCATGGGCCAATGCCGTCACACTTGCAATTCTACTCTTTCTTCTTGCCTCGCCTCTGCTAGTTGCAGTAAGAGCACGGCGAGGCGATATCGGGAAACCATTAATATCGCCTGCTTATTCTCCTCTGGTAGAGAATCTTGAAGCAAAAGACTCTGGTGAGATCTTGGTGCAATTTGAAGATAAAAGCTTGAACCTTTTACAAGCTATGCGTCGTGTGGACTTCTGGTTGCTGTTTCTTGCGATGGTGTGTGGGATGGGATCGGGGATTTCGACGATAAACAACATCAGACAGCTAGGCGAGTCTCTTCGATACTCGACACTCGAGATCAATTCGTTGCTGTCTTTATGGAGTATATGGAACTTTATTGGTCGGTTCGGAGCCGGTTATGTCTCGGATGCATTGCTCCACAGAAAAGGATGGCCACGTCCGTTGCTAATGGCTGCAACTCTTGGAACCATGTCCATAGGCCATCTGATCATAGCCTCTGGTTTTCGAGGAAACCTCTACGCCGGTTTGGTTATCGTTGGAATTTGTTACGGCTCGCAGTGGTCGTTGATGCCAACAATTACGTCAGAGCTGTTCGGGGTTAAGCACATGGGCACGATCTATAATACCATTTCGATCGCTAGTCCTATGGGTTCGTACATCTTCTCTGTGAGGTTGATTGGTTATATCTATGACCATACCATAACAGGAGAAGGTAACACGTGTTATGGTCCTCATTGTTTCCGATTGTCCTTTGCGATTATTGCATTTGTGGCTTTCCTCGGATTTCTGGTCTCTTGCGTGTTGGTTTTTCGGACAAAGTTTCTGTATCAACAGATCTTCGAGAAGAGGTTGCTTCGTCGTCGGTAAAGTGTTGTGGCTTGTGAATATTCAGGTACAGTGCCCTGCCATTTGTGTTTGTATTTACATGTGATCCATTGTTTATTTGTTTATATTTATTTATTTTATGATTGTAAAATAAAATACAAGTAAATATATATATTTATTTGTGTGAGGTTTTTGTTTTTGTTTTTTAAGAAGTATATCCCCCAAAACTGTGATGACTTTAGTGTTTAAATTCGTTTCTTACGTTTATCATACATAGTCTAAGTTGTGTGACATAAATGAAGTATCAATGTAAGAACCAATGTCAGGATCTTACTTTATCTCCTTGGACCTAAACCAAAGAGATCATTAATGATCACCCTTGCCATTTAGAGATTCTTTGCTTTTTATGCTAATCATGTAGCCTTTTAATGGATTACTTCAAATATTATCTTTTTTTTTCCTACATGTTAATCATATACTTCAGTCTAGTTATATATTTCCCAAAACATTTGTTTTTAGTTATTTATGTATAATGAATAAAAAAAATAGAGATCAACTTTTTATTTCAAACCAATATTCAATTCGCTAAGATTTACAATCGTTATGAAAGTCTCTAAAATTAAAGAATTCGTGTGAATATTTTTTTAAGAAAATCTACGATGATTATTTACAAAAAGTTATAGTTACATAATTGAAGCCATACATATTCCAAAATCCATAAATTTTTTTTTTTGTAGGCTCAATAATAATTAAAAAAAAAAAACCCCCACATATATCGAGAGAGAGATCCCTAACCCTGCAAGCCCCTATTTCTCCTCTCCTCGTGTTTTCACTAGCAGAGTCGTTTTCGTCTGAGATATTATCATTCAGAGAGACCTAATTTGACAATTTTATTTACCAATCTTTTCCTCAGGTTTTCTTCTTTCATATCTCTCGAGTCCGAGAACCCAAAATACGACAGCGTTTTACCCCAAACACCAGTCGACGCTTTTCCTCTTCCTTTTCTTCCTCCGTCTCCTTGTTTTACCGATTTGGATTCCCCCACAATGCCAAGGGTTTTGATTCTCTCCCCCTGAAAATTTCTCAAATTAACAACAACAAAAAAACCCTAATTTCAATCTCTCTCCTTGATCTCCTTCCTCTCGATGAGTTCCTCCTCCGATATTGTCCCTGACCGATCTTCCCTTGACCATGATGTCTCCGGGAACCACCACTCTCCGCCGGCCGACGGTGATTCTCCGGCTGCGGATGCGAAAATTCCCTCGGAGGACACTACGGCGCTCAGGAGAACGAGGCCTTCACGCGCTTGCACTGTTAGGGCACAGCAGCGGCTTCAAGAGCAGCAAGCCGCTGAGAGGAAGCTCAGGCCGCCTAAGAAGGAGTATAAACGGGAGCATCGACGGAGAGAGGAAGAGGTGGAGGAGGAAGATGAGGATGTCGACGATCAGGAGGAAGAGGACGACGCAGATGAGAACAAGCAGCATTGCGTCGGAGCAAGTTCCGGTAAAATCGTTACTTCTCTTGTCCCGCCACCGGAGCCTTCACAGATGCCGCGATGGAATCTTCGTTCCATGTGGGAACTTGCTTCCGTGCTCAATTTCTTGCATGTGAGCTCTCTCTCTCTTCTCTTCAATTCTGTGTTTGTTTATGCTCTTCTTAGTTGCCAATGAGAGTAACTCACTCACTCCCAAGGTCTCTCTTTTTTCTTTGGGTGGTGAAGGTATTTAGACCGCTTTTGAAAATCAACGCGGAGTTTTCAGCGGAGGAGTTCGAAACGGCTCTGCTGAATCCAAACGATACCTTGAGTGATATTCATATTCCTCTGCTAAAGGTTGGTGCTTTGGCTATCCATTGTTGTGTTCTTTCCTACTCTTTTAGTGTGCTACTAGTGTCTTATAGATTGTTTCCTAATTTTTGTTGGTTCGCTTTGGTTTCCGTCAGTATTAACTTCAATGTACGTCTGAGAGTTTGTCACATTGACATGAACGGAACTTGTTTTCATACCACCGTGCTTTTGGGTGCTCTTAACCGAGTGTTGGCTCTTATTAGTATAATAACTAGTGATAAGATCCTTTGTTGGCGTATTGTATGGTTCTTAAATTGAAAATTTCTCTAGTGAGAAGATTCTATTAAAGGTTTAGATGTTAAATGATTTTGGCTAGCTTCCCTCGTAGGCACCTTATAGGCCTGTACAGATCACAAATTTCTCTGAAACACTTTCTTGAGTTATTTAAAGTTCCGAAGATTTAAGTCCTTGACTTTTATTTGTTGTGCATAGTTCTTACTGCCTTTTAACTCCTGCAATTTCTTTTTGGTTTATGTGGATGCTAATCAGTCATGACTTTGAATCAAATATATTATTCACTTCTATGAAATGTCCAAATTGCATAACAGTTGCTCTCTATGAGCAAACTTCCATATTTTTTTCTTTTCAATTTGCAGGCGATTCCTCCTGTAACTCGAATGGCCCTTACACGTGATACCTGGGTCACTGTCTTGTGCAGAAAAATAAGAGATTGCTGGCATTGGGTAATGATTGCTAAACATCTTTGATCTGATATTGGAAGTACACTTTTTGCATTATATCATGTTATGACACGCTTAACCTACTTGTTTAGGTTGCTGAAGGGGACCTTCCTATTGTTGCCTCGCAAGGGTGAGTTGTTATAATCTTCTGAATCTCATGGTAACTGATGGTAACTGATTATGAAGCATTTATGAGCTTCTCGTTTTAATCTTGTAGGCGGGAGATTGAAGCGTACAAATCTCTTGATCCAGCCATTCGTGTGGTGATTTTGAAAGCTTTATGTGATATTCGTGTTGAGGTATGCTTGCTTTTGTATGTCGATCTGTTATCCAAATCTCAGTTCATAGTACTTGTAGTTGTGTACCACCTCTGTTTTGCTGCTCCTTATTTTATCCTCAATTTTTTGTTACTTTTGTGTGAGGTTGCTGTTGAAAATGTGTTTTGTATTGCTTGCAGTTTGGTATTTCTGTATAAATGTTTACACTTTATGATGTCCTTTGTTAAGCTCTGTAGCTGGCTAATGTGATGCTAATGATTGACTTGAAAACAAGTTCGTTTTGTAACTTACGGTTTCGATGGGTTTTATGAATTTTAACAGCAAGAGGATATCAGGAGCTTCATTGATAACTCTCTTAAAACTGGTGCTCATCTGTCAGTTTTCCGCAAAGATCGCGTTGGGGGTGATTCACATGGAGTTAATTTCTGGTATGTGGCAAATAAATAAGAACTAAATAGAACTCCCTTGTTTGCATATATCTGATAGCACTTGTTTGTTTCTTATTTAAGGTACGAGGATGATCCCTTAATTGGTCACCGTTTATATCGGGAAATAAGGAAAGCAGAGGTGGTGAAGGTCAGAACAAAGGGTTCCAAGATTCTTCCTAACGTAACATACCAATGGGAAACTGTCGCCACTAATTTCGATGAATTCCAAGATGTTTCTGTAAGTCCCTCCTACAATCAATAATTCTGAGTTGCTAGAAAAAGATGCTTATATGACTGCCTGTCTAGTGAGTCTGTGATTAATTCTCGCAATAATATATGGTTGCTTGGGCGAATCTCACATATATGGTTGCGTGGTTCTGATGTGATTGTGATGGTTAGACAATGTTCAGGCTAGTGTTAAACATGCACTCGAATATTAATTTTTACTTTTCAATGAGTATGTAGCATTTTGTGTCTGCTAGTGAATCCAGTGTACTTTTTTTGAGGGAGGTCCCATCTGAGGCAATGTTGTTGCAGTTGATTATAGGGTTTAACAAGGAGAACATAAACAACTCTATATTGTGGATCCTTTTCAATCCGTTAGTGCCTTCTTTCGTGGAGTGGAGATCCTATGCTATTCTGTTGAAACTTATACTGCGCGCTGAAGTTTATTTCCTTTTGACTGACAATTGCTTCTCTGAAGGACTTAAGTATTATAAATGACAATATGTACAACTTTCTATGTCTTTACTGCTGAATGCTGATTGAGATGCTGTGTCGCTTTGTTTTGCAGGAAAAACTTAATTCAAGTAGTAGTAGAATTGAAGTTTCTCTCGGGAAGAAGTTAACGAGAGATATGCTTCCTGAGATAGAAAGAGAACACAAGGTTTCTATTTCCCCCTCTGCTTTTCATTTTTTCGTTTTGGTTATAGTAGAATATAACTTAATTCTTGTTGATTGCATCGTTTTAAAATTGAATTTTTCTTTTTTTTGGCTGTCAGAGGAAAGAAAAATTGTTGAAAAAGCAACATAGACAGGCTCTTCTCCTTGATAACTATTTGGTTGTTGACGGTCTTGGTGCTGGCCGTTCTCTCCGTGACAGGAAGCCAGTTAGATACACTTTTGGTAAGGTTATGACCTTGTTGGAAATTCATGCCCTGTGGCTTCTTTTTTTTTTTCTTTTTTTTGAATAAATATCTTCTTCTACTGGGCTGAAGAGTCTTACTAACGTTTAATATTGTTGCAGATGATTATGATAGGTCGATAAATGAAGCTATCAAGATAACAAAGTACGTCTGAGTTTTCCCTTGTATTGTTCATCTCTGCTAACACTGTTATTTGGTGACTTTTATTTATTGCCTCTTACATTCGGCTTGTTTTGGTAATACTATCTCAGGAAGAAGCATCCATCACCAGAACCCCCACTCCACAGAAGAGAATCAGCCAGATTGGACGCTCTTGCGAATGGCAGATCGACCAGTTCAACCAACCCTACCGAGCTTGTGAACGATACAGCATCTGCGAGATCCTCTGATTTTGCTGATTATGATGATTTTGATGAGCAGAGAGATGAGTCCTTGGACAGAAGGCAAGAGCCAGTGTATTTTTTCCCACCCTTAAATTTCCCTTTCAGAACTTTGCAAGAAAATGATATAATTCGAGCTAACGAGTGTAGTGTCCGTGACAGTAACAGGCGCAGACAAAGGCCCCAGCGATATTCAGCCACGGACTTTGTTGAAACTGTTTCAGACAATGATGTAGAATTTGCAAGCGATGATGACATTGTTGGGGAAGCAGTTTATGATGAAGAATATCTGAGGAAGCGTAAGCAAAAGAGGTTTTCCAGTGGCTCTGAGGGAGAGGGAGAGGGAGAGGAAGAGAAGGGAGATGAAGAGTACAAATGGGACGAAGACAATGCCGAGTACGAGGAAGAAGAGGAAGAGGAAGAAGAAGATTCTCTTAGTGCTAGCGAAGAAGACAGTGATGAGCCCCGAAGGGTTAAGAAAATGCCGCGGAGAGAAACTAAGTTACGATCAAGGTCAAAGGATTTCCGGCCAGGCCTGAGACGTAGTAAAAGAGCCACAAGAGTCGATTACCAACAATATGAGCTCTCAGAATCAGACAAAGAAGCCACAGGATCTGCAAAACGTAAGCGACTGGTTGAGCCAGACCCAGACGAACATTCCGATGAAACAGGGAATGGGAATTTCACGATGGGAAGTCAGGACTCTGAAGAAAATGCAGATGACCCAGAAACCAAATCTGCGGATGAAGAAGTAGAAGGAGAAGAGCCCAGAGAGGTCAGTGACAATGCAGAGACGACAAATCAACTTAACCAATCAAACGGCATAAACCAAGAAGAAGTTGATGGTGTAGTAGGCAAGAGGCGTTACCTCGACTTAAACGAGCTTGCCCCTGTTTCCGGTTTTGATGATGGTCCTAGTACAGTATTGAAGGATGATGATAAGACAGACAATTCATAAGCAAGACAGAGATACTTTTCTTTGTCTTCTTAGACCATTTCCCATGTATTATATAGAGGAACTCTTAAATGGAGTTGAATTTTTCTCTAATGTATTCTTCTATTTTTTGCTATAAAAAAAAGATTATTCTCTTTCTATCTTTTTTTAATATCTTTTATTTATAAATTTACAAGCTAACCCTATTTATCTTCTGTTTTTCATAAAATGTTCCTTAAATGATGATGTTATTAGAATTAAAAATTAAATCATCATGAATTAATTGTTTAGGGTATATAGTAGTAGTAAAGCTATGATGAATCAATCATATTAATAGATGGGTCTTTTTCTTTGTAAAAACGAAAAAGATTGTCTTAGCCAAAAGAATAACATCTCTAGCTTTAATACTACCCTCTAAAATTTTCATTGAAAACTGTTAATTTTTTTTATCAGGAAACACTTTATAAAAACAAATCTAATGGATTGTGATAAAGAACCTGGAACCAAAGATGTGGCAAAATAAATAAAAGTGTAATAATACTTATAGATATATAATCAAAGAATCATGCATATGTAATTTAAGAAAGATGTAAACAAATTCATGCCTTTCTTGCCACACACGCTTCTTATACCTTCAAACCCATTTCGCCTAATCCCTGCCTTCTTCACAACACTCCCTTTGTATTATTACAGGCCTCATTCTTCATTTTTGTAAAGAGAAGCTTTAAATATATTTCACCAATACTAATAAGTTCCTTTATAGTTTTGTTTCTTTTAAAGGAAAATGGTGAGATCCTGCTCTTCAAAATCAAAGAATCCTTGGACAGAGGAAGAAAACACCGCTCAGAAGTTTCCGTTTGCATCTGCGTCTGCGTCCAAAAACGGATCCGCGACTCCTAAAAAAATAGGTTACAAAAGCATTTCTCTCTTTTTCTTTCAATTATATGATGATGATGTGATTTTTCTATACATGTCACATGTGTATGAACATCCATAGGACTTAGGAGATGTGCAAAGAGTTGCAGAGTTAGAAAGACTGATAATTCAGGAGCTAAGTATGATAGCTTCACTCCTGAAGAAGAAGATCTGATCATCAAGATGCATGCGGCAATGGGAAGCAGGTTGTGTATATTATATATATATATCGTGAACTAACTCATAATATTTCTGTAGATTCTTTGAGATTTTGCAGGTTCTGATGATAGTTCTTTTTCTTTTTGGTGGATTTAGATGGCCACTTATTGCACAACATTTACCAGGAAAGACAGAAGAAGAAGTGAAGATGATTTGGAACTCAAAACTAAAGAAGAAACTGTCTCAAATGGGGATAGATCATGTCACTCACCGTCCTTTTTCTCATGTACTAGCCGAATACGGCAACATCAATGGTGGTGGAACCCCAAACCATAATCCTATGAACCAAACCGGATCTCTTGGACGCAACCACTCGCTCAATGAAGATTCTCATCAACAACAACCTGATGATTCAGGAGATCTCATGTTTCATCTACAAGCAATCAAGCTTATGACCGAGTCATCTAACCAAGCCAAGCCCGAGTCTACGTTCATGTATGCCTCTTCGTCTTCTTCTAATTCGTCTCCTCCATTGTTCTCTTCAACTTGTTCCACCATAGGTCAGGAGAATTCGGAGGTTAGCTTCACCTGGTCTGACTTTCTTCTTGACCAAGAAACCTTCCATGAGAACCAACAGAATCATCCTGATCAAGAACTAGACAACGTGTTCGGCAACGACTTCTCTGAGGCAGCAGCAGCAGCTACAATGGCTAATACATCAACTCCAGCTTCTCAGATTGAAGAAGAATCTTCGAGCAATGGGTTCGTTGAATCTATTTTGGCTAAAGAAAAAGAGTTGTTCTTGGGATATCCCAGCTATTTGGAGCAACCTTTCCATTTTTAGATCATCTTTCTTCTTCTCCTCAGCTACTAAATAAAAACAAACAATCTAATAAAGAGAAAGAGTTGTTTTTCATATTATAAATCTTCGTTTATCCTATTGTTGTTATGAAAAGTTTGTTCTTTGTTAGTGAACTGTTCACGTTCGAGTTATTCTGTTATTTAATCTGCTTTTGTGTTTTACTCTTGTCTTTTTGTTCATTCTATTTTTACTAAAGTCTTACTAATGTTATTTTGTCTCTCTTTTTTACTTACATCATTGGATGCAACTTGACTTAAACTAATGACTGAAAGTTTGAGTGTATAATTGAAAACCATCCGTTGACAACGTAGGAAGTTTTGATAATTGAATTAGCTGTTAAGAATGTAAATAATAGTTTTTTTATAAATTGCAATTAATACCATGTGTTGACAATGTGTCTATGATTGTTAAGGGACAGTGTCTCTATGATTGTGAAGAGAGGCTTTTCATAAATAGTTTAATTAAGGGAAGAATTTGACAACTTGTTAGAGAATGAGTTCTCTGAATCAATTTCAATGGCTGATCGATCGAAATGTGAAGTAGCTGCTCATATCGCAACCAAATGAAAATCTTCACAAGAAAGATTATAACAAAGAAGAAGAAGAGAAACAAGAGAAAGAGTCGAATCTTATTGATGTTTACACCTTCGGATTTTTCATATCTATTATTACACATTATTGCTATAGAATCGAATTAAGAAAGATCATTTCAAGAAAACATAAACCAAGCAGATTCAAACAGCAAACTTGGACTTGAGTTTGTTCACAGTTTCATCATCAGTCCTAAACGTTTTAGTCAAAACCGCGTTTGGAATCTCAGGCATTGAACCAAACAGAGTACTAGGCAGAACAGCGGAGCCTGGAAGCTGACTGTTGAAAGCGGTTATCAAACGCGCTTTCCCTTTACCAACGTTCCACTGGAAATGAACCAATCCTCTTGGGACGACAAACATCTCTCCGGCACTGATAACCTTCGAGAACAAAGTGTTGTTCGTCGTCAAGAACCCGACAAAAACCGAGCCTTTGATCACGATTCCTGCTTCGGTTGCACGCGGGTGCGAGTGGGGAGGATTCACACCCCCTGGAGCGAACTCAACGTTGTTCATCGAGAGCCCTAAAGTGTTCAGACCCGGGAACGTTAAGACGTTGGCGGGAGAAACGGTTACGCCGTTAGGGTTTGAGGTGTTTATAGGACCACCTAAGACGGAGAAGAAGAAGTCAGAAGCGGAGACTGATGATTTGCAAGGGAAGCCATTGATGGAAGGAGAAGCTTTGAGATCGCCAACGCAAAAGTCTTGTAAAGGGTCAGAATCGGATGAGAGAGATGGGATTACGAAGAGGCAGAGCGTTAGAAGGAAAGATCTGAAGAGAGAAGAAGGGGTTTGGAGAGTAGCCATGGCTATTGAGAATGATGAAGCAGAGCATCCTCTGTTTTGTATATATATATATAGTGGTTATTCTGGTCTTACTTTTGAGTTTTGACTTGTTCTCTGTTTTAGTCGAGAAAATAAAGAACACTTGTTTCTTAATTAGTAGTAATGCGCTGTTTTAGTCGGTTTTACTCTTTTTACTCTGTTTTACTTTATTTTCTAAAGCATTTTATTGATTATGTCGTAGGAAGCAAATCGAAAAGACGAGAAATGTGAAGAACATTTCAAAGTTAATGGTTAAAATGTCTCTGTCTTTTGTTAATCAGAGAAGATATTCTGGTTTAGTCATAAAATATATAATGATTTCAAGACTTGAGCTAATGTCTGTAAGAAAGAAAAGGAAAAGTTCAGAGAAATTTTTTTACTCAACTGAAGATCACTGGTGGAAAATGCAAGAATATTTCATAATTGAATTAGTTGGTAAAATCTAGATATGACTAACAGTATTTAATAATTTTTTTGGGCTTGGTCAAGTCTCTCTATGGGTTTGTCAAAGTGGCATTTTCATTATACTTATTTAATTTGGAAAACAGATACTTGGCGTCAAGGTTTTTGTTTCAATTGCATCATCAAAGAAAGATTCAACAAAGTTTGGATAAAAAAAAAAGTCAAAGATTGAATTTGAGGTAAGAGACAAAGCAGGAAAAAGCTTTGCTTGTTCTGTAATAAAAAATTGCAGTATCATTTACAGACAGATTTGATACAAGGGTGTTGTTCTGATGTAGAAGAAGTAAGTAAAACATTCATGATTCTGATGGCATTTCGATGAAACTACGAAGCATATGCAGATTCTGAGATATCTGCAATAGAATTGCTTCTCCTTCACTAACGTCTAAAACATCTGAAATTTGTTGCAACAATTCACCTTTTGATTCAATCGCATGCAGTCTCTCTGTAATCTCTGAAATCTCCTTCACTAATACATCTTTTCTGATTCCATTCTCTGTAACAAAAGCAAACCAAAAAGAAAAAAGATATTAGACAGTTTCAAATCAACCTCAAGATTTTCATAAAGAAACATATATAAAACCCTGATGAGAATCTCTTTACCTTTTTCTTCCTCTATGATCCCACCATTGTTGGCTTTAGGCTCCTCAGCTGAATCTTTCATTTGTTCCAAATCCTCTTCATGATCTGAAGAACAAACCGGCAAATCCAAGACTGGTTTAGCTTCATCGCCTTCTTCATCAAGAAACTCCTCTGCTTCTCCTCCTTCGCATTCTTCTTCTTCTCTCAACAATCCATATCTCAATCTATAAGCCTCAATTTCAGCTTCGAGCTCTTTCATTTCCTCTTCTCTCTTAACCAGCAAACCATTCATAGACTGCAAAGCTTCTTGATCATATTCCGCTTGCTCATCCATCATTCTCTGGTACTGCAATGCCTCCATTTGAACCGCAGCTTTCTCGGCTTGAAGCCTCGTGATCATAGCCATCGCGTTGTTTGCTGCAACAGCTGAAGCACTCCTCTCTTCATCTAACTCCATGCACAAATCCATCAGTGACTTGCGATCCAACCTAACCTGTCTATTTAGATGATGAAGTATCGAATCTCCCTCCAACACTTCGGTCTCCGAACCATTCTGATCAACCGGAGATTTCTTCATAGACCGAACAGACCATCGCGGACTATTCTGAGCCGAGTCAGAAAGCGGAATCCCAAAGAATCTATTGTTTCCTCCTTTCACAAAACTCGGCGTTCTATCATCAACTGAGTCCCCCAAGGCGCCTTTCGTGTTAACCGAATCTTCTTCCTCGGGAAATTCAGAGTATTTGATGTGAGACAGGTCCATTGTTCTTTGATTGAATGAAACTCTAGGAGAAGGACTAGGAGCAGCAAAGAAAGATTGATTGTTGCTCTTCGGTTTCTCGGACTTTATCTTCAGCAACTCTCCGCAACAAGAACAACGTTGCTGTTGCTGAAACCTGTCGCTGCTGCTGTTGGCTCTGTGATCAGTCTGTTGAAAGCTTTCATCTTTCTTAACCGGAAACGCCAACTGGAGCTCACGTTCGTCGTCGATAAGAAGCTCGAGATCCTTATGCAAGATTCCGATAAGAGACTTGTAAGTGTCAACATCTGTTTCTTTCTCGGTAGCGAAAGAGAGGAGACATCCTTCGCACATTCGTTTGATCTCAGAGAGTTTCTTGTGGACGTGACAGTAAGCGAGAGAAGAGACATTCTTCTTGTGGGAATCGCAGATGGAGTCGTTGTAATAGAAATCAGGGTTTCTTCTGACGAGAACGTGGTCGAGCCTAGTGCAGAGAAGACAAGGAGTTTTGAGGTCGAAGAATTTAGCGATTTGGTTGGAGAAGAAAGCGAGGAACCCGTCGACGAAGAGGATGATAATGATGATCCATTCAAGAATAGCGTAGATTAAGAACTGTGGGAATGTTCCAAGTTCATCTTCTACGAAATTCTTGAAGGAACGGTTAGGCATTATAGTGATTGCAAAAAAACGATCGAGCAAGACTTGAGAAGAATGATCTGAAAAAGGTCACATGAAGATTGAGACGGTGGCGGAAGAAAGAAAAGAAAAACAGAGGTTATAGTCACCTTTATTATTTAGCCTTCTATTTTTGGAATGGAAAAAGATTTGAATCAAGGTTGAAGACCCAAAAATACCTGAAATAACGGTTAATCGTAGATAAGGAAAACTGGCAAATTTAGAGTTGTTTTTAAAAATTTATGTTCTGCATTTTTGGATTTTTCAGAGACCCCACTAATGGGGTCTTTCTTGATGTTTATAGCTAATCATCCGTTTTAAGCAGAGACACCTAATTATCATCTACAAGAAACAGAGTATTTTTCTAGGGAAAGAAAACAAAAATCCACAAAAGTCAAAGTGGCTCATGAGATTGGTGGCAATATTATTATTATGGCATTAAAGGTATTGATAAAAATATTCGACGAACCACATACATACAGTTTAGCTTATCCCCCAAAAGATAAGATATAGAAAAGCCCCCACAAATCACCAACCATTGATTGAGATGGGCCACATGAGAATCACGGCTTCTTAATAACTTACATACCACAAAACAAAACACACAGATCAGAGTTTTACAAACAAACAAACCAACAATAACACAAAGATGATGAAGAACCCTAAACACAGTTCGTCCATCTCTAAAGCCCTTCCTCTGTTATTGTTCTTTTTTTTATCCCCTGATTATTTTTTTTTCCAGACAAAATACATAATTGATAAAGTAAGGACTAAAGAAAGATCAAAAAAACAAGACTTGAGACTTTGAAACCTAATATGTACTACTAGTACTACAACAGAGAAACAAATAAGACAGAAGCAAGGTCTTGTAGATTCACCTTGGCTTTTAGGTCTAAGCAACTCTGATGATGCTGCTATTGCTATCTCCATCACTGAAGCTTGGCATCATCGTGAAAGCCGGATGTCTTGAGTTGGGTCGCTCGTTGAGATTAAAGGACAGAGAAAGGTTGAGAGAGAGCGGAGCAGGAGCTGCAGCATCTGCGTTTAGATTGAACGCAGGGTTTGGTTGGAAGGTTACTGGGATCGGATGGACAAGATAATTTGAGGATGAATCGTTGGTATGAAACGCCTGTTGTGGTGCGTTCTCAGTTCTTGTCGGCACTGCAACTTCAGGAATAGCTTGATGTCCAGAGCTGATGTTAGTTTCGGGTAGTGATGAGTTGTCCTGAGCATGATGCACCTGATCTTGCTCCATGGGGACTCCAGTGACCTGATAAAACCAATCAGACCATCAGACCAAGTTATTGTCACACACACACTTACGGTTATTGTTTGAAACATTTCCCAAATCGACCAAAGTCAATATGATCACTTGCTCCATATTAATTTTTCTTAAAAGAGGACATACTAAAAACATCTAGACTTCTTTCTCAAATAGATTCTAGAGAACAACAAATTGTTAAAAGTGGAAACTTTCAGAGAGAAAAGTACAACCTACAATCTAAGCTATTCACTAAAACAACTATACATTCAAGCCCCTCCAAAAGAAAACATCTGACACAATACGGAAAGAAATCAATTAAGGAGAAGCAAGGATCATCTTATATCTAGCTTTAAGTAGAAATGATTTTACGATTTGGATTAGAGAGGCTTACCGTCTCGGTCGTGATGTCGAAAAGGCTAGATCTTCGCCGGCGACGGTTGAGGTTGTTTCGTCGGAGGAAGTATTTCTGAGCGTGGCTAGCTACTTGAGTAGGCGTCCTGCTCTTCACAAAGTTCCTCGATATCCCTTTCCAATCTCCTTTCCCTACTTTCTGAAGCCCAAGCAAGAACCTCTTGTGCTCGTTCTCAGTCCATGGAATCCCTGTTTCAGATCATCACCCGCAGAGACATTCGTCAAGATTGCTAATCCCACCATGCGTTAGATTCAATCACAAATCGGAAAATGCTAATACAATCATCCGAGTCCATGCGATCAAATTAAGAAAAGAGTACGGTACCTCGTTTCCTCTCGCGATTTCCGCCGGAAGAGGACGAAATCGGAACAGCGTCATTGGCGGAGGCGTAACCGGCTGTCAAATCCGCTTCGTTCTTATCTTCTCCATCTCCATCTCCGATCTTAGGGGTCTCCTCCTCCGGCGAAGACTTCTCGTAATCAGACAGGTTGTTCAAACTAACGCACTTTCTCATCGGATCAACCACGACCCTAACTCCGAACAGCATGATCTCTCCCTTCCCGGCGCCACCGCCTCCGGTCTCCGACGAGCTACTAACGGCGGCCATTAAATACCTTTGACAACTTTGCCCTTGCGTCTGTTTTGGTTTTTACCTTTTCAATCCTTTTGGAACCGGACATATAAGGAGGACGAGGTGTGAGTGGATCTGAGCTACTTCTTTTGTTTTATAAACACGACAGAAGCCACGTGGCTCGTAGTTAAAACAAAATGTACACTGCTTTGGTGTCTAGATACTAGATACTACATAATATGACACGTGTCGAGTTATTATTTGTACGTCAATCTTATCTTGAGTGACCTGCATGTCTCTCTATATTTATCTTCTTCCCTTTTAAATGTATTTATTTGATTTTATTTGGATATAGTATTCTGATAATGTCTCTCTCTGAATTTATTATTTTTGTCATTTTAATTGAAAGTGCTTTTTGTTTTGTTTAATCAAATTGAATGTGTCTCGAAAATCGTCGACGTCCACACGGAAAAAAAAACATACTGTTTCTAGTAAAAAACTTTTTTTAAAGCCATTCTAATTTAAAATGAAAAAAGTTTTTAAAAGAGTATTAGGGGATGCATTATGATTCTGAATGGGTAGTTTCATAAAACTTTTGAATTGTGTAAATACTAATACAATCGTGTTTTTGTAACGTTAAAAATCTAGAAAATAAAAACAATTATTTAGTAGTATTCTTTTATATGTACTGTTAAGTATTAAACGAATCTGGTCAACTCAGTGCGATTCCCGATTACTTCCAACGTGATTTGATTACCTTTTATAACCATTTCTTAATTTAAGTTAACTTGCAAACAAATCACACAAGCAAAGCAACAAACAAAAAGTTACCTTGAAAAACTGAATCTGTTAGAAGAATACGTCTTCGTCACTATTCCATCTTCAAGTTCAATCTAATTACATCCTCCAGTACTCCCATTAAACATTGTCTCCGTTGAATCCTGAAATCATTACGCGACAAATTCACTTCTAGCTATAATTAAATGATTGATAAACTAATGAAGAGAATATTCCAAATTTTGGCATCAAAATATTTGATCAAGACATGGGGCCAATGGGATCACATCATATCTTCATCTATTTTAATACTAGTATATAAATTTAAAGTACCCATCACTTATTTTTTTTTTTGCCCATCAACAATTGTCTTTTAATTTCCCCTACAAGTTGTCCTTTTTAAAACCATATGTAATGATGATAAGAGGAGTGATCAAAATATCATGAATCTCCTCATAGTACGAACTCAATCGATTCACACCACTATTCTAATTTAACTTATTAAATCGACTGACTAATTATTTTATACAAGATTATTAAAGTATACAGTATAAACTAATTTTACTTAATTTCAAATTATTAATTTATAGAGTTTCTACTGGAGTTTTAAAAACACAAATGTTAAACAAACTATAGTTTAGCCACATCCTTTCAAATGAATAAAATGAAGAAGAATTTGGACTTATGAATTTTGGAGAATGGTGATGCCGATTAGGTGTTGGCGCTTTATATTTTGGTTGATGAAGAAATAACACATTTCTTTTTCTTCTATATTGGTTTTTAATTCAAAACGTGATGTCATGAATCATGATCATCTCATTCAATGGGAGGTTCAACAAAATACATGTTGAAATATACAAATAAATCTCCTAATTATTAATCAAAGAAAGTTTTCTCGTGAAAGAGAGAAAAAGAAGAAAATCACAAATATTGGTCAGGAATGAAAGTAACCATTACGGGCATTACCTTTTCTTGGTTGCACTTTGCACACAAAGATGAAGTTAAAGGAGTTGTTTAAACTTTAATAAAGCCACTAAAAAGGAGACTTTTCTCTTTAAGTTTCCGCTTTAGCCAATCTGGATGAGTTTGTGACTTTCCTAAATCAGAACTTTAGAAGAGCGTTCGATCATGAGAGAGCACATATATAACCGAGTGTCTGACTCAAACAGAAAATTATATTGGTTCAAATATTGAATGATGTTCCACTTCCCTCTTGACAATCCCAAGCCCTTTGATGGTATTCGAAACCTTAAGTTTCAGTCTCAGAGATCACCTCGTTAACATAAGAAAATAGGCTGTTCCACTTCCACACTCACGCAGCAACAACAGCACAATAACGACCCATTACCATATTTTAGGATATTTTTCTAACCCATATATTACACTAATAATTAACACACTTAATATGTTGTAGAATAGAGGGAAGAAAGAAAAGAAGTCTGTGTTAATTTTGTTATCTTCGAAGTTTTCCAATGATAGGAGCAAGATCATCTCAGTCTCTAACAAAAAGAAAGATAATCTCAGCCGAGAGAGAAATTGTGTAAATAGATATTTCAAACATGGATAACTTTAAATCGCAGGTGTCTTGTCTTTTAAGATCATCCCTAACTATCTAAAGGTTAGAGAGAGTTACTACGTCGGAATTCTGAAAGGGATTGTGCAGTCGTATGATATCTATCAAACTGTCAGTATGAACATTTTTAAGGTCGGTCCAAAGTATCCAAAAAACAAAATACATACTTAACATTACATAATTCGTCTACAACAAGCTATGTGTGTAGTAAATAACTGATTTGTCTTAATTAACATTAAGTGATTCATCCAAATATAAGCTAGATCACTGGAGTTTAGGCAAATAGGTACGATCGAGAGAAAAAGGTTTTTAAATGCATATGAAAATTTTAGCTCAAATATATGGATGTTTTTTCCGGTCTATATATCATCATCAAAATTCAGAAATATATGATTATCATATTATAAAATATTAATTAGTCTATCATATGAATTCCGCAACGTATAATTCTACCTATACCATACTTGAAAACTTTTTTATTAACGTACGAGACATGATAGTTATATTTGCAATACACTGTGACTGAACCTAAATGCGCTTTGTGGGAATTAAACCTAAATTTGATGTGAATGCTAAATGATTTTCATCGTTATACTTATACCGTTGTTTTGATTTTACGTACAGATTAGTCATTTATAATGAAAATGCTCGGTTTGTTTCCGAAGATTATAAAAATATTATTCTAGAATTTTTTTTTTTTTGGCTTTTTTTCATTGTAGGTAAAAATGTAAAACGAAAATAGCGACGGGAAACCTCACCGTCGTTTTACATTTTTGTGAAGCGAGTGATAGCAGATGTGGATGTGGTGTTTCCGTAATAAAGTTGAAAAGTCAGGGGTAGTAAAGTAATACAATCCCTTTCAGTTCCTAACAGACAGATTCTGCAAGGCAAAAGGCAAAACACAAGGGAAAAAAAAAAACCACCTTTTTTTCTTTCTTTCTACTTCGTCCTTTTCTTCTTCACGACTTGGGTCGGAAAAAAAAAATCGCCTCTCCGTAACCGCATTCTCAGCCCTAATGACCGACCCAGAGGTAAAAAAATCCAATTTTGAACCCTATATTTGCGCCGTTTTCGACTACACATTCCGAATTGAAAAAAAAAAAAATTGAAATAGTTTCGCTTCTCTGTTTCTTTTAGGTTCCAATTCTCTATTGTAACTGATTATTGTCTCTGACTTGGTTTATTGATTCATATGATGATCTGAATCAGTTTCGAATGTGGGTTTTGTCTTGTTTTTTCTGGGTTTGCGATGAATTGTTGGGTTTTTTTTTGTATATCCGGGTAGCAGAAGTTAACCGCCTTGAAGAAGGCTTACGCCGATACAATACTGAACACGGCGAAGGAGGCGGCGGCGCGTGTGATGATTTCAGATAAGAAAGCGCGTGGGTATCAGCAAGAGCTTGGTGCGGTTAGAGATGAGGCTCTCCGTACATGTCTTAGGCTTAAACAGATGTATGATTCCAAGGTAAATAGATTAACAGTGTAGAGAACTTTTTTAGTGTTGTGTATTCTTAAACTTCATCATCTTAAGCTGTTTAATGAGATGATGCTTTGACATTAGTTTTGTTTCTTGCTTGTTATGTGATGGATTTGAGGATCAAGTTTTTTTGACATTTCTGAGCTTTGTGTGATGACTATGAGCTTACTTTACAACATCATTGGTGTACTTGGGGCAATTTACTGGAAACATTTCGTTGATTGTATGCTTTTGCACTGTTTCTTCGTTGTGTCTTTTTGCTGAAGGAGAAATGTAGCCTGAGAAAATGTTCTAAAACATTGTTGTTGTTGATGATACTAATTCCAGTTATTAGAGTAACTCACGGTTTGATCAAAACTGTTTGACTTGAGAATGTAGGACATTTTTTTTTTTTCTTCTCAAAGAATGGACTTCACAGTCACTTGTGGTTTTAGGTCAAGGAGGCAGAGATGATATCCTTGAAGAAGCAGCAAAAGATTGAGGAACTTGAAGCTCAACTTGGAGAAGCTGAAGATATAGTTGGAGAGCTAAGGATGGAGTTGCGAGAGTCTCGGTATCTCCTCGAGAGGTTGACAAATGTTCGCCAAATGGATCTTTGCGACGCGGGAAAACTCCACAGTGAACCAGTTTCACTAGTGCGCGAGGAGTCTAGCAACCACGAGAGATCAGTAGTGGCTAATGTGATCAAACCACACTTGAGTGACAGAGATATTAGTGTGAAGCGGTGTTTCTATAAGGAGAATAAAGATCCTTGTCACCATACTCTTCCTTCCATACTAAGCAGACGCAGAGAAGCTGAGGCGTTGGACTGTAACATTGCCAGTGGAGATGACGTGGAGTCATTGACATCATCCAAAGCAGAAGCAAGGACGGAGGAAGAGAAAGAGAATGATGTGGAGCTTTCTACTACATCTGTGTCGCCGTCTGAGAAACAGTGTGATAAGTTCACATTAAAGAGGAAGCGTAAGAAGGGTGCAAGAAGCAGCAGCAGTAGCCCTGAAAGAGGAGGAAGTTCCTCTTCGCAAGACGATGAGAGCAGAAACAGGAGACAAAAGACCGGAGAGAAAGACAACGGCTACTTGGATTCCTTCAACACTGAATCATGTCGTGATAGTCGTCGTGTTGCACAGGTCGCTCGCCAGGTTAGTAAATATACATTGCTTGATTCTGTGGATTTTCTGGTTTCTTCTCGCTGTGACAGTTTCTGATCACACTGTCCATGTGTTATTATTATTACCATTCTGTATATAGTCTTGACCTTTTTCCTCTGTTTCTTTGTTGGCACAGCTTTTACCATTCTCAGAGAAGAGAGTGTTGCAGCAGAGCCAGAGTGATGAGGTTCCTTGATTCATAAGTAATATTCGAAGGCCCTATATCATCAAACTGCATTTGATCCATCTAGGAGAAAATGGTTGATTAGAGAAATTAGCTGAAGTATTAAGATTGGTAACATATATACACATTGTCAGCTTATAAAGCCAGTGGAAAAAAGGCTAATTTTGGTCCCTAATTTAGTTTCCTTCTCGCATTTGGTAATCTTTGTTTTGGTCAAGTTATAAATGTGAGAAGTTGGTAGCCGGGACCAGAGCAATTGGCTTGCAGCTTAAGGTAGAGCCGTTATCCGAAAATGACCGAGTCTTGCAGAGACCTATTCGATTTATATAGAGAGATATACGACGTCGGTTTACTCTACCTTGTCTTATCAATAAACAACCATATGGTATAACGAAATTGTAGTTACCTCCAAATCAAGAAGGTGGTTTTGGAATAACGAAGAAATTTCCCATTATCCACTTTTTTTTTCCTTTGTCTTCTTCTCCTCGACTCTAACTTCTTTCTGGATTGATGAAAATAGGATTCCATTTGCTCTAGAAGCTTAAGAAAAAAAAAAGTCTTTCTGCCTGAGTTTTCTCAGGTTGAGGGTAAGTCAAAACATTGACTAAGTATTGAGGGTCTTGCCTCGGCGAATTTGACGAAGTTTCTTTAATGATTCTTTATAAGAAGTATTCTTCCACGAGAGATTCTTAATATATTAAAGAATATGTGTTTTTCCAACGAGGTTTCCAGAAGAATAAAGAAGAAGAAGCAAATCAAAAGAAGTCACTTTTGTTCACGAACACAAGATTTGACCACAGAAATCACACGTCTTTAATTGTGTATATATAAACACAAACAGAGAAAACGAGAGACGATCAACAAAACAACATCAACTCAGTTTTTTATAAGTCTGATTTAAAATCACGACAACAAATTCGTTTCTGATTTACATCCTTTTTGAGAGAATATAATGAACGGAGCATCGTGGGCTGACCAGTGGGACAACAGCGGCGACGGCGCCGTCGTTAGAAGCGGCGGAGGAGGAGCTGTGTCGAACTCGAACACGGGTAAGTACAAGGAGAAATTGGGACATGGACTAGACAAGACCAAAGCCGTGGCTTCTTCTGGTTTTAAGAAGCTCAAGACTGGTTCTGCCTTGGGTTTTCGTTGGGTCAAGGACAAGTATCACAAAACCACAAACAAACATTAAACATTTTTTCAGACTTCCTTGTATATTTGTGTGTGTCTTGTGAAATTATTCACTTGGCAATATTATGTCTCAAATTTATTTATTTTAGCTTCGTTGATTTGATTGTTTTGTGTACTTATGGTAGATTCAGATTGTATAAGTTTCGAAAACTTTTGTATTCATGTAACTAAATTTTTTTTTTTCGTTAATTTGATGTTCCATTTTTAAAATTCGAACTACTACAGATACAACGAATTATCTATTTTCTATCAAAAATACATTAAACGAATTATTTCAGACAAAAAAAATGTAAGATGGTATGATATTAATTTAAGAAAAAAGACTCGGAGGGAAATTTCCCTCGCTTTAGCTCCTCCGGGCCATTTCAATCCCTAGGATCTGGTGGATTCGTCTTCATTGCAGATCAATCGGAGAACACAAATCTTGAGAAACCCTAATTATCGGCGACGGAAAGGAGGAGAGGAAGATGGCGATAGAGATGCCAAGAGGTTTACCCTTTTCCGTCGACACTTTCGGACCTTACACGACGACGACGAAGAAGATGAAGAGACATCATTTCTTGACTCACGCTCACAAAGACCACACCGTCGGGATTTCTCCTTCCAACATCGTCTTCCCCATTTACTCTACTCCCCTCACGATTTCTCTTCTTCTCCAACGTCACCCTCAGGTTCCCCTTTTCTCTTTTCGCTCCGGTGTTGCGTTTCTCTCTCTCTCTCTCTCAAAACTGTCTCGCGCTTGCGCAGCTTGATGAGTCTTTCTTCGTGGGGATTGAAATTGGGCAATCAGTGGTTGTTGATGATCCAGATGGAGAGTTTAAGGTTACTGCTTTTGATGCGAATCACTGTCCTGGTAATTTCCATTTCCCTAAACTTTTGTAAGGTCTTTGTTGATTTCGATTGTTTCTTCTATTTGACGAAATATCTTATCATCACTTTGAAAATAACATCAGGAGCGGTCATGTTCTTGTTTGAAGGCAGCTTCGGTAACATACTTCACACTGGTGATTGTAGGCTTACACGGGATTGCCTTCTGAGTCTACCTGAGAAGCATGTGGCGAGACATGGCGAGGAGGCACCAGAATGCTGTCTCGATTACATTTTCTTGGACTGCACATTCGGCAAATCCTCTCAGAGGTTTCCGACTAAGCACTCGGCAATAAGACAGGTGATTTGCCTGAATCATAGCAATATTCCTTTATGCATTGAGTATATTGCCATAAAGTCTCCTCATTATCGTTGCGACTTGTTTTTGCTCATGAATCAGATCATCAGCTGCATATGGAGCCACCCAGATGCACCAGTCGTCTATCTTGCTTGTGATATGTTGGGCCAAGAGGATATTCTGTTAGAAGTTTCCAGAACGTTTGGCTCCAAGATTTTCGTCGACAAAGCTACAAACTTGGAGTGCTACAGATCGTTGATGGTTATAGTTCCTGACATTGTCTCTGAGGATCCTTCGTCCCGGTTCCACATATTCAGTGGGTTACCTAAGCTGTACGAAAGAGCAAGTGCTAAACTTGCTGAGGCGGGATCGAAACTTCAGGGTGAACCTCTCATCATCCGCCCTTCAGCTCAGTGGTACGTTTGCGATGATGAAGACTACTTCGAAAGTGGAAGCCAGACTCAAAAGCAGAGGAAAGTTGTTAGGTTTAGTGAAGCTGTGAGGGATGAGTTTGGTATTTGGCATGTGTGTTACTCGATGCATTCGTCCCGAGAAGAACTGGAATCAGCGATGAAGCTTCTTTCTCCGAAGTGGGTTGTATCAACAGTTCCTTCTTGTAGAGCCATGGAATTGGACTATGTGAAGAAAAACTGTTTTATCAGTCGGTTCTCTTCTGACGATCCTTTCTGGAAACTTCTAGACATCGACATGGGAGTTCCACCTGTTGCTGCAACTGACACTCACACAGTAACTCTTGGTTGCTGTCTCGTGAGTGAAGGACTTGCTCTGGATTCTGCAAATTCCAAGATGGAGCCTGTAATCGAATCCTCTAGCATAAAGAAGCAGCTTCTGAGTTTATCCCCTGAAAAAATCCTTCTTCCTGTAACTCTGTTTGGGAAGGCAAGGCTAAGTTCTCAGGTATCTGATCAACTTCACGAGGGAAAAGCCATATACACTCGATGCGTATACACAGAAACCTCGCCGGGATTAGAAAAGTTGAATATGGAGGAGGTAGTTGAGTCCTTTACCAAGGAAGAAACAATGGAGAAGGGATCTTCTTGTAGAAGAATTTGTTCTCATTCGTCAAAGGAGACTTGCAAAGATCTTAGTGGTGAATTGAGAAAGCTATACAGATCAATGAACGCACCTGTGCCTCGGCCTCTACCATCATTAATGGAGCTTATGAACGCTAGGAAACGCTCTCGGAAATACTTGAGTTTGTAGTGATTCAAGATGGCCCCAATGACTCAAGTATTTATTGTTACTTGCACATGATAATGAGAGTGTATTTTGAGAAAAAGAGTTATTTTTATGACAAACCTGGTCCTCAAAATTTACAAGATACAAAATGCAAAAAAAAAGAATTTTAAGAATACATGAGGTAGTTTAAGCGAAGCAATGATCTCTCAATCAAGTCTTTTGTATTAACCTCAAAACAAAACCGATTGAACAAAAACTTAGTCGAGGAATATTAACAGACAATGTTAGCTAAGGTCTTGGCTCTATATATATTTCAAAGGGGAGAGGAAAGATTTTCAGGTTCTGCTTTCATCCGTTTTGAAGATGGAAAGTCATTGACAGAAGAAGAGTCATCATGATTTATTGATGATGATGATGATGTATCAATGTCTTCTGCAAGCTTTCTCTTGTTAGAATGGTCTAAGGTTTTGCAGTGCTCTGCTTCATTTCTCATGATAAGTTGTTTTATTCGCTTTACGTCTGCTAGTTTCACAGGTTTTAACAGAAAATCCTCTGCTCCTTCCTTGAGACATCTGGAAAGAAGAGGAAGATTAAGCCACATAGCTTAGATCAACAGTGTAGACAAAAAGTATGATCTAACAACTTTGTGCTATTTTACACATTACAGAAACACTTACTCTTCTATACGAGGCAAGATGTTTTCAGATGACATAATCACTACTGGTATTTCTCTGAATGCAGAAGATTCCTGTGCATATATCAATGGAGAATTTGTATGAGAAGATTTATTTTCCAGCTTTTCTCAGATTGATAAAAAAAAAAAAAAAAAAAATCTATTATTACCTTAATCTTCTTGAGAAGATCATATCCTGTTAGTCCTGGCATTGAGTAGTCCGTCACTATCAAATTCACCTTCAAATCCTGTTATAAGGAAAAAAATGACAGAATTGTTGATAAAGATACTTCAACAACAATTCAGATCTTATAACAAAAACATAAAAATCAATGACTAAAAAAAGTATGGTTTTTTCTTAAACCCATCTGATCATAAAGACAGAACACAAGAGCAGACGTTGCAAAGCCTCTTTCTTGCCTTAATTATTGGATGATTCCCAGTAATTTAAATCAGATTTGTACACAGTAAAAAAAACAGAGCAAGTATCTTTTGGGAATTTACCTTGAGACCAGAAGCTCCTTTGTCTCCATCTAAGCCAAGATACTGCAAAGCCCTAGTCCCACTCTCTACAGTCGTCACTGAAGGAAAAAAAACAGATATTTGATTGGAGATTATTAGGCAAGGACAACGAAACCCACAAAACAGAGACACTCGAAGGTGGGATACATAGATAGATAAAGAGAGAGAGAGAGAGAGGGTGATTTTGGGTATTTACCTTTACAAGCGGAGATTCGAAGCAACCTCTCGATGACTTTACGATCAACGATACTATCGTCGACGGCGAGAACATGTAACTCCGGGGAAGTAACTGTCAAATCTCCACCGGCGGGAATCTCCATCCTCATGACCTCACCAACTGCCATAGCTAACTCGGAAAAAGAGTGAAGAAAATGGTTCAAGGAAAACGAAGACGAAGCTTTGGATTAAAGAGAAAGAAAGACCCAGAAATCAATGTGATGTGATGGAGGAAGAAGGAAAGAAAAAAAGTTAGGTTAGGTGACATTAATATAAGAGGTGGGGTTTAGTAGAGAGATTCGGGAGATCGGATTTTGCTGGTGAGATCTTTGAAGAGGAAACAAAATCTTAAATTGGGGTCAAGTGTGATGTTGTGTGTTGGAACTGTCAGAAAGAAAAAGAAAAAAAAAATAATGGTAAATGCATAAAATATTTGTGTCTTGAAGGTCAAAATCTTTGGGCACCGAATCTTTTTTTAAGATTTCAAAGATCTTTGTTTGGTCTGTTTCTTTCAATCCGACAGCGACCACTCTCTCTCGTAACGTGGAACTTTCCTTCCTCTTTTAGTAATTACCTCTATTTTTCTTTGTCTACTTGTCGACATAGATAATCAGTTGCCTTTTCAATATAAAACCAGTAGACATTGTTCAATTAATTAATCGATAGCATTACTGATTAAATCACCGATTACATTCTTTTTCATTACATTTCTAGTTTGTAATATATATAAAAAGCATCAGTCCTACAAAGCATCTGATTATTTTAATCGATTTGATCATGTAAGCATACTTTGGAGTTTCTAATTTCGAAATGATCGCTTGATACTCTACTACATTCGAATCGAATAATGTGACTAGATAACTTTAATCTATCACTCACAATATGTCAAATATGTTTTATATACTCGAGCACTTTCGGTTTTTTTTTAGTAGTATTTGGATACAATTACTAGAAGATTATCTTAAGCTTTTTTCGGCAAAAGGGACATTGTTTAATTGTTGTCATCGTTTTCAGTTGAGTTTCTTTTATTAATCGAATTTCTTTGAACGTAATAAATGCACTCTGTTTAGTGGACCATTGTTTGATTTGTGAATCTCACTTGCTTTTTGGACCAAATCTTGAGAAAAACAAAAAATAGACAAAGCATTAGGGGAAGACCTTTTACGTCTCAATCTCAACATCTTCTAATCAATTGCGGGAAGAGAAAGGCAAAATATAACACAAGATTTGGTTTCACATCAATTAAAATCATGCAATATATAGATTATGTAGATATGCAGTGCAAGGTATTAAAAAAATAGATTACATAGAAAATTTAGTTTGTTTTTATTTGTGAAAATGAATGTATTCTATAGATCCATGAACCTAACATAAAATCCATATATAACAATAGAAATAAGACTCGGGCAACATACGTTATATAAGACACTCTGTACCGATTTGCCCCTTATTATGTAGGGTCATTTAAGTAGATGAATTAGGTAGATAACCAACATTTAGGGTGCTTAGAGCAGCAGTATTGGTGAGCTCAATAAGAGTTCTAAAGAATTTTTTTTTTTTTTAAATGACATGGTTCTGCACAGGAACTATCTCTCGCCACGTGTGGAGACACGGTTCATCACTTTTACTTTTTTTTAAAAAAAAATTAATAATAAAAGGCCTTTTAAGAGTTTCAATTTATAAGATCACCAATACTGATACTCTTATACTTCTAAAGAACATGTTATAGTATTTTCTTAAAAAAAATACATTGATCTTTTTTATGCATAATGATTTTTTATTATAATTTAAAAAAATAAGAGTTTCTTTTTTTTGTTACAAAAAGGGTCAATTTACTTAATTAACTTCCAATATATAGTCATTTAGTGCAATTACTCGTATCCTATAAGAATTGAGTGCAATGACTCTTCTTCTATAGATCAACGATACAAAACTATTAGTATATGCTTAATTATTTGTCCTACTGGTTAACAAGGTTTTCGTTTTGCGAAAAAAACTGATTTCTTTCATGGTTTTCATTTAAGTTCTTTACTGATATTTTTTGTTGACCGTGATTTGTGAAACTTTTTTGGACAAAATCTTAGAGAGAAAGTAAAATCTTGAAAAGTCGTGGAAGAGGATCCTTTATGTATTAACATCTTCTAGCCAGTTGTGAGAAAAGACTTGACAACAAAAAAAAATAAAAGATTTGGTTTCTAGAATTAAGTTAGAATCATGCAATTTTGTCGATGTCGATTTGATAGGTATCTGAAACAAAAAAAAAAGAATTCCAATACGATGGCCTTTCACACCGAACACCTCCGAAAAGCATGGAATTGTTTTTAAAAACGAGTCAATTGAAAGTTAAAGAAAAAGAAAGGGAAAGTAAAATATTGTGATGTTTCCCACATGTTTATTTAATTTTTATAATTTTTCACCTTCGGTATATAAGAACATTACTAAAAAAAGAAAAACCCATCAACATGTTTCACATTTTCTTACTTTTAAAAAGTTTATTCAAATTCGTAATAAATTAGCATTGCAATTTTTATACGGAATAAATCTTACTTTTAGAAAGGTTGTTTTATATTTTCTGTAATCTAATGTCTAATATTAAAATGTTCTCACTGCAGTTTTTATACGGAACAAATCTAATTTATCAAGTTTTTTGGATACACGGTGACAGAAAGACAAAAAAAACACAACCGAAAATCATTTTTCTAGCTCAACAAACAAGGTGAAATCACAAAACTAGATAGTGTAAATCATCAGCTTGCTACGTACCATAAAAGAACCGAACCACTGTATTCAGTATTTTATAAGCCAGTAATATGATTAGCGATTAGTCTCTCAATACTCAACTAAAACTTACCTAAGATCAGTTTAACACACTCGCATTTGCCACTTGTTCTAATGCAAATAAGAGAAATAGATGTGTGTCAGTGTTTGTGCATATATACTTATGTATAGTCCTTATATATTTATTGATTCCTTGATTGAGGAGGCATAAAACGGGGATCGCTTCACTTATATAGATTTGGTTTGGCTGAATTATTATTATCGATTACTAGTTTTATGTATATAGTTTAAACCTATATATTTGGACTTTTCGTTGGAGAAGTCCACATAATATTATATATTTTAATGTCACAAGAGAAGTTAAATAGTTTGGCAATCATATCTTTACAGAGAGAAATAGAGTAAAACTGCAAATTTAGGTGTATAAAGCCATATCTACTTTGCTAACATCCAAAACTTTGTTATAAATGATTTCATATCTACGCGTCTTGATCATCACCAAATAGAGAAAAAGAGAGCAAGAACAAATGACGATTGTTGCAAATAATGAAGAAGGTTGGGAAAGATTAGCAATGGAAAGAACAAAGGACGATTTGTTGCTATTACTGGGTCCTTTTATATCTTGTGATTCATTTGCTTATGAAGGCATACAAAACTATTCACTTCACTTATAAATATAGGGTAAAATATATCTATATTTTGTATGTATAGAATTGGTTTGATTGATTTATATTCTTTTTTTTTATTGAATCAAACTGTTGATTTATATTCTTTTTCCGTTTTTTGTAATTCTATACAGGCTTTTATTAAAATTTTGTCTATTTCACATAGTCACCAAGACAATAGGCAGATACCAACATTACTATCATTTACGAGAAACTAATACATTGAACTACAACATTTGAAATGTACATATTCTAATATTTGCGATAGAATGTCTTCAAAACTTTTTTATTTTTGCTCAAGAACTGTCTTCAAAACACTTAAATATGTCATTACTCTATTTGAAACTATTCTTCCTTTTTTTTCTTTTTTTCCGTTCAACATACTTCCTTTATTTTATCTTAAAAATATTCGCACGTCAATCAAAATCATTCGCTCAATACAATGTTCTACTAGAAACTAGACAGTTAAACCGATCAATATTCGAAAATATATTGGAAGAAAACTGACATAAAGTTTTCATTGGTTACTCATAATTTGTTTTTAAATATGAAAGTTTATGTTTGGTCTCTCCTTCATTCTTATATAGTTCGAAGTTGACATGGATGTTTTTGGTGCAGACTGACGGTGGCACACTGGCACATGCATTATAGAACTAACGTTGGTTAATTAACTCTGAATTCTTAATTCCATTTTTCATTTTTCATTTTTTGTTGAAATTGTTTTTTAAAGTTAAACTTGTAACGAATATACACTGATATCATGTGGCCCTCTTTATCTTTTGTAATCTTTAATCTTCTAATTATCGTAGTAAACTATGAAATATGTGATAGCAATATCGTTATTCCCCACTGAGATTAAATAAACGGCATTTGATATACATATTTTCGTTGGTTCCAACCTTAAACTATTTACACACTTGATATAAATTTAAAGTTCATCCGTTTACTGTCGTTGTCAAAAATTTCACTATTTACAACAATTGTCATGTTCAAAAACTATATTTTCACTATTTGCAGTTCTATATCTGAAAATTTTAAATTACATTTTTGATTTCACTTTTTCTTTAAAACCATTCATCAAATTTAAAATTTTAATATATATTAAAGTATATACATAAAAATGTGGAAAAATATGACTTTGTTCACCTTAACCATTATTGTATAAGCTTTAAAATCACAATTGTGCAAACATTGTTCATTTTACATCTCTTCAACTGTCTCTTTCTTACATTTTTTTTGTTTCAAAGCACAAAATGACATTAAGCCTTGGCTGGGGTGATGCTATGATCGCCAGATACTTGCGAGGAGAAAATACACCAAAAAGATGCTGATTATCTTGGAGTCTCTAAGAGCGAGGTACAAAGAGAAGCGCCAACCGAAGACCCGCGTGCATGGGAAAAGTTTTTGAAGGAGGCCCACCTATTCATCCGGTGGATTTCAACGAATACGTTTCTTTTCCTCAACGTGGATAAGGTACTTCCTCAAAGTGAGAATGTGACTCAAACGGATCCGCACCCGACTGGACTTTCCAATGTTTACCTCCCAACAGTTGTTGCGTAGAGCAAAGGGTTTGACAGATTCACGGCTCATAAAATGTATTGAGATCATGGGCCTTCTGTTGAGATTTGGCTCGGTCTTTGAAGCCGTTTATTGCGTCAACCCTATATTCTAGACCGGAGTATCCGTCATAGGTGCCTATGTACTCGTCCTTGCACTTAGCGTGTTTAAGATGTGTGAGCTCGTTCGTCACCGCCGTTAAGTTTGCAATTATTAAAACGGGTATTAAGTGATTTCGAGCATTGCAATTTTTATACGGAATAAATCTTACTTTTTCAAAGGTTGCTTTATATTTTCTGTAATCTAATGTCTAATATTAAAATGTTGTTTTTATACGGAACAAATCTAATTTATCAAGTTCTTTGGATACACGGTGACAGAGACACAAAAAAAAAAAACAAAACCGAAAAAAAAAAAAATCAATTTTCTACCTCAACAAATAAGGTGAAATCACAAAACTAAATAATGTAAATCATCAGCTTGCTACGTACCATAAAAGAACCGAACCACCAAAGTCTCTGTATTCAGTATTTTATAAGCCCATAATATGATTAGCGATTAGTCTCTTAATACTCAACTAAAACTTACCTAAGATCAGTTTAACACACTCGCATTTGCCACTTGTTCTAATGATAACTACATCGACACATTTTGCTTACAACAATCCCAACTACTCGCGTTTGTCGTTTGTTCCAATAATAACTACATCGTCATATTTTGTTCTCAACATCATCATTATTATTGTTCAATAAAAAAACATCATCATTATTATAACAGCAAAATAATTCGTTCTAATGTTTCAGAATCTTGAATATGTATATATATATATATATATATATATCTACATCATTTATAAAACTCTTGAATTCAAATCCTTATTGATATAAATAGAATCCATTTAGTGTTTGTCTTAAGTTTAAATGAATCCGTTTCTATTTACAATTTGACTCTCTAATATATATCAACCAAAAATTATCATCTAGAAACAGAGATCATCTTTGAGCTTTCTTTCAAAGTTGTGATGGCCACATGAGCAAAGTTAGAATTTTCATATTAAATATGACAAGCGTTCATTTCATCTTGCAGAAAATTTAGAGTGTTTTTCCCACATCTATGTATTCACCTATTCATGGTTGGGGCAATCATAAATGGTTTATTGAAGCTAGAAGTAAGCAAATGATGATAGAGTGCTGCTGCTGCACACATTTTTTTATGCTAGAATAAAAGAATGTAATGAAGAATCTTGTTCTATAATCTAAACTTATGCTCTCTCCGTTTTATAATAAGTGTCATTTAGAGAAAATATATCTGCATTGTAATTGGATGTATCTGAAGGTGTTTTGAGTTTAATACATTTAGATACATTGCAGATACATTTTTTCCAAATGACACTTATTATAAAACAGAAAGAATATAACTCAAGTCCACACAAAATGTAGTCTTATATAATTACGAAACATTCCTCAATTTTAAGCTGTAAAACATACTAAAAATTCTTCATAGCATCCGAACATTAGAAGAGCATACGTTCATAGCAATCAATAGTCTCTTTGGTATTATTGATGATAGATATACAACCTTTTCTGCTGAAACCGTGCGTGTCATTGGCTACATTAAAAATTAAATTTTTTTTTTTTTCTGTTCGAAAATAATCTGCTTTTACTTGTACTAAAATTAGAAGCTCGCTAAGATTAAAAAAAAAGAGAGGCTAAATTAAGGCAAAGGCAAAGGCAAAGCAACAAGAGAAGCAAAATCTCTCTGTCTCTCTTGGCAGAATCCAAAATTAAGCGAGAGCAAAACGAAAAACAGAGATTTTCAATCTGTCAAAGTCCAAGATGAACCAGAAGTACACAAAGATTGATTCGTCTTCTTCCTTATCTCTTATCCCGAGAAACTATCTACCCTTTCCACCCGCCGAGACGGCGGAGTTGGATGTGGGTGAGGGAAGACGACGAAGAAGTAAACAAAAAAAAAAAAAAAAACTGAGGGTTTGAAAGCAATTCATCGATGTTATTCTCGATTCGATTACCCAGAAATCGCAGAATTGCATATGGAAAGTCTTCTTCTTCCTCTGAACGTTGTTTCATGATCGAAGACTCTCCGTTTTCTGATGCAATTTTCTGTTTCGATCGCTCATTTCCTCGCGTGGGTTTCATTCCTTGTTCTACTAGCCACGGCGAGCTCTTTTTCTTCGAAATCTCTCCTCGTCTGTCAACCTCAAGATCAGCAGCCTGTAAACCCTAGACGCCACGCCGACTTTCTCCGAGCAATGTCTCCCGTCAGCGAACTCATAACCGAACGCAAACTCTGGGTCGAGTCTTCCCTCACCGACGTATCTCCACCCATCTACGTGTTTCTACAGTGCCGCGAAGACCTCTCCGCCTCCGATTGTCGCAGCTGTTTCAGCGAGAGCAAATCGGAGCTGGAGAGGACATGCCTGAGCTCCAACTCCGGCCGAATCCATAGCGACGGCTGCTTCTTACGGTTCGACAACCGAGATTTCTCAGAGGAGTTCGTCGACCCCAGATTCGACCGGGCCAGGTGCGAGGGAACGGGTTCTTCAGGGGTTGGAGAGTTCTGGAAAGACCTCGACGAGGCCTTTGTCAATGTGACCCTAAAGGCTGTGAGAAACGGAGGATTCGGCGCCGGTGGAAGCCCGTCGGTTTACGCTCTGGCTCAGTGTTGGCAAACACTTGATGAGAACTCGTGTCGAGACTGCTTGGTGAATGCTAGGTCGAGCTTGAGAGCTTGCGGCGGACATGAAGCTCGAGCCTTTTTCACTGGGTGCTACGTCAAGTACTCTACACACAAGTTTTTCGACGATGCTGCTGAACGTAAGCCCGACGAAGGTAAGCTGCATCTTTTGAGATGATTTGGTCTAAAGATTCAAGAGTCTTCACTCATCATCAAATTAGCCTGTGTTTCTTCTCTCTTGCGCAGATCAAGAAAGCTTCATACATTCATCGTTTCTTCCAGATTTGAGTACTCAGGATGTGATGAAACTAGGATTTGCTCTGATCTCCTTGTCGCTTCTTACCTCTCTTGGCGCCTACATCAGTTACACACGGTTCTCAAGGAAAAGAAAAGGTATTTTTTTTGTATTAAAGCGATCTCGAGGTTTTTTTTTGTTTTCGCTCTTCTCATGAATCTTCTTCTTCGTCTTCTTGTTTAGCTGAAATCCCATCGTGTTTGAATTTCAAATACGAGATGCTCGAGAAGGCAACTGAGTCTTTCCACGACTCGATGAAGCTAGGCCAAGGAGGTGCGGGTTCTGTATACAAAGGGATTCTTCCTGATGGCAGAACAGTCGCAGTCAAAAAGCTCTTCTTCAACACTCGGGAATGGGCGGATCAGTTCTTCAACGAAGTGAATCTCATCAGCGGAGTTCAACACAAGAACCTTGTGAGACTGCTTGGCTGCAGCATCGAAGGTCCCAAAAGCCTTCTTGTCTACGAATACGTTCATAACAGAAGCCTGGATCAAATCCTTTTCAGTGAGTTTGCACAAAAAAATCTTAACCGATCTTATTCGGATCCGTCCTAGTGAACTAAACTTTTTGTTGTGTTATTCTGATACCGCAGTGAAAAACACAGTCCACATATTGAGCTGGAAGCAACGGTTCAACATCATTGTAGGAATATCGGAAGGTCTAGACTACCTTCACAGAGGATCTCAAGTGAAAATCATACACAGAGACATCAAAACCAGCAACATTCTCCTTGACCAAAACCTGAGTCCCAAAATAGCGGATTTTGGACTCGCGCGTTCCATGGGCACTGACAAAACGCAAACCAATACTGGGATCGCTGGAACACTGTGAGTGTATTATTTACCTCTCCACTCATTCTTCTTTAACACACCATCTCGCGTTTCAGAAAACACAATGTGTTTTTTTTTTTTTTTTTTTGAACTGTAGCGGTTATTTGGCGCCAGAGTATCTGATCAAAGGCCAATTAACAGAGAAAGCTGACGTTTACGCATTCGGAGTTCTTGTCATAGAGATAGCAACTGGGAAGAAAAACAATGCATTCACGCAAGGAACTAGCTCGGTTTTATACTCTGTAAGTATGCTTTGTTCCCATGTTTGAGTTAGGATGTAAAAACACACACACACACTCGTATTTCAGCTCTGTAATGGGTTGTTCTTGGATGTTGTTGGGATAGGTATGGGAACATTTTAAAGCAAACACCCTGAATCGGTCGATCGATCCACGATTGGAAGGGAAGTTCACAGAGGAAGAGGCCTTAAAGGTTCTTGAGATGGGATTGTTGTGTGTTCAGTCTTCAGTAGAACTGAGGCCGTCGATGTCTGAGATAGTCTTGATGTTAAAGAACAAAGATTGTAAATTTGAATGTCCAAAACAGCCTCCGTTCTTAAGTGCCAGTGTTTTAATGCCAGATGAGGAGACTAGAGTCTGATAGTATCAGTTTCTTTAGGATTTTAAGTGTTTGTTGTGTCTTTATAAATGGTCAACGAAGAATTTTTAAGTCATTCTCTTCTCTTTATTCTTATTATCTTTTTTGATATGAAGCTCAACACAAATGATTTATAAGTTTAATATCTCACCTTCTTCACCCTACTACATCTATCAATTGAAGTCATTACACTTTCGTGTTATGTTTAATCATTATTTTGTTTTTTAATCGCATATCTAAGCAATAAGAAGTGTACCGCTTGTTCTGTAATCAATTATTCGAAACTTCGAATAGTACACTCGTGAATGAATGGTATCAAAATTACTTTTACAAAAAACATAGCAATACAGCAATTCTGCTTCAGTCGTGGACAAAGCTGTAGTGCAGTACAATTTTTTTTACAGTTTCTCTATTCTCATTTTTTTTTTTCTTTTTTTTGGGAGAACAGTAACTTTGTTAGTTTTTTTTACTTTCTACTACTTTTTCTATTTTTTTATAAAATATTTTAGAAATTTTTTTTGTTCATACGTAGATAATGTTTTTAAAAATCAATGTAAAAAATAATTGTTTTATTTTATATATTATTTTTCTATTGATTAAATTGTTTTGGAATTGATGTTTTGTTTTGGAAAAAGAAAAAATTTAATGATCTTTTAATTTTAAATATTATATATAAACATCTTAAATAAATATATATAAAAATATGAAAGGAATATTAAAATAAATAAATATTAGCTGGCCCCACATTATTTATTCACCATATTTCGTCTAGAAGAACAAACCCTTTCCTCTCCAAATTCCCCCACTCTCCTTTCTCAATCTCCCCTCCGCGGATTTCGTCCTGTCTCCCTCAGTCGCGCCTGATTTCGACTCTCTCTCTCTCTCTCTGAGTCTCAGATTTTAATTAGTTATTTCTTTTCTCCGCCGTGTCGTCGCTTTGATTTGACCGGAACATTGTTCCGGCAGCTACCCGAGGCCTCACTCCCGACTGTCTGGTTTCATCGCCGTGAAAAAAGGAGTGCTAGGTTGAAGTGACGCCGGAGTGGGAGTCAGTATTCCGAGAGAAGCCCCAAGAGTAGCACTCGATTTGCATCATTATTTGACTATCTTCTTCTCCTCTATTCACCTCGTTGCAAATTGTGGACTGGACACAATGGAGAGCAGCAGTCGATTTGCATGAGGATAATTTTCAGGTAAACCAACATCCATCGTAGCGAAGATCTTATCTCTCTCACACACATGGCCTCTGTGATTTGTTATCCCCTAGTTTTTACTTGCTTGGTCATTTGATCTGAGTTCCATTAACTAGGATTGCTCTATCAATCATATACGACATTTGTTCTTCACAAACATGAATTTCTTGATACTTGCATGGTGAGATTTTGAGGAATTCATACACACACGATGGGAAAAAAACACGATCTATGAAATTTTATGATCTGTGATTGTGAAATCTATTGAAACTCGTTTGTTATTTTTTTTTGTTTCCTTGACAGATAAACAAGATGGACTACAACAGAAGTATAAACGTTTCGAATGATGCTTTGGTTATCAAACCCGAGCACCGCACCCATGGTTCCAAAGGGAATGCTCTACCTCAAGAGTCAGAAGAAAATAGAGGATCAATGGGTGGGCAGAGCAGCACAAGTGTGGTTGATCAGGTGCGGACGCCTCCTGAAGATTCCGGCGTCACTTCTTCATCCACCGTTTGCCCAGCCCCCGTTTGTAGGCAATTCTGGAAAGCTGGAAACTACACTGATGAATCGAGTTCAAAGTCTCAGCAGCCAAGTATGCAGTTTTTTTTTACTTTGTCTTACTCTGTACTTGGTTGAGTTGATCTTCCTCTCTGGAGGCCAGAGTGCAGAGTTTTTTCTCTACATAATGTAGAAGCGTTTTACTTATGGTTCTTGACATATGTTTCACAGCTGGAAAAAACTATCTTCATGTGCACCCTATGTTCCTTCACTCCAATGCTACTTCACACAAATGGGCTTTTGGTGGTATGCAATCGTAGTTTTCCTTTTCTTTTTTTGGTATGTGGCTGCAAATATTATTCAAGCGTTTTAACAAGACTTATCTGGTTCTCTCTACTTGCAGCTGTTGCAGAACTGCTTGACAATGCTGTGGACGAGGTACGTCCTTTCTTTTTGATGCTCTTAATATTTAAATCTGACCACCTGCTTGTTCATTACTGCAACTTTTTTTTATTAAGATTCTTTCGGAATATCTGTTTTTAACACATCTTAATGTCGCGGCAAAACCGAATTGTTTTGAACCTTAAAATGCTTGATAGACTCATTTATTCTTGAAAGAGAACTTGTCCCTCCCGGAACCCAGGCGGTTTACTTTCTGACTCTGTCTTTTGTCTTTTGTTTCATTGAGGTGGAAGTGTGGCCTAAATATTAGTAGATCATCTTAAAAGTTTCGGAATGACACATTATTAATATATTTTGTGCCCTGTATCTCCATCACCCTATAGATCCAAAATGGGGCCACTTTTGTCATTGTAGATAAAACCACAAATCCGAGGGATGGTACACCAGCATTGCTAATTCAAGGTATTTTTGCGTGTCATCTTTTTGAGTTAACTTCTGCGCCGTTTCACAACGGGGGGCATGCAAAAGAAAGACTTTTCTTATCATCCTTGCATTAAAATTTCAGATGATGGTGGTGGGATGGATCCTCAAGCAATGCGGCATTGCATGGGTTTTGGATTCTCAGATAAGAAATCGGAATCAGCCATTGGAAAATGTATGCATCTTTCTCTTCATTCTTTGAACTCGTATCTTCAGTAATGATTCTGCAACACATTTCTCTATTTATGATTTTGCAGCAGAGATCTTTAGATTTGATTCTGTATCTCATTCTTCGTAATGATTCTTTAGATGGAAATGGTTTTAAGACCAGCACAATGAGACTTGGGGCAGATGTCATTGTTTTCAGCCGCCATTTGAAGAACCAGTGAGTGGCCATTGTTGTTTATTTTATGTGCTGATGTTCTAACCTTTTTTGTATTCATTTTTTTATTATCTTTTGTCAATCCTACTTTGGGGGGATTTTAGAAATAGTAAATATGAGTGTGTGTATGTTTGATCGTTTTTACCTCTCTGGTTCCCTCCATTAATCACTTCGTTTTTCAATTTGCTTTCTAAACCAGAGAAAATCCTGATTGTTTTCTTTTCCTTCTGACTAGAATATGGACACAAAGTATAGGGCTCCTTTCTTATACGTACCTGACACGTACTGGCCATGATAGAATAGTTGTTCCCATTGTGAGTCTCGTTCTCTCGCACATATAAATGTACCTTGTTTTTCTGTAATCTAACCGTGTAGCCTTATGAATACTCAGTTGGATTACGAGTTCAAGGCCTCAACTAGCGAATTCGTGACATTGCAAGACCGAGAACGTTTTATATCCATTCTCTCCATTCTACTAGAATGGACTCCATTTTCAACAGAGGCAGAACTTTTGCAGCAGGCAAGGCCAATTTTCTGTTTACAATATGTATATTTATTTGGATACGTGGTTTAGGATTTGGGGTTCCATGAGTGTGATATTTCCCTATTATGAACCTATTCATAAAAGCTTTTGGTGAGCTTTGAATTTCCATATAATTAGTGATCTTATCTTTGAAGCCATCCACGATTGCTCTCCATGTCCGTAATTGCACATTCTTGGATGTTGGTAGTATTTATACCTGCGTCCGTTCCTTGAATATATGGATGAATAAATGGCCAGGTTATTCAATGGGGATTTTAGCGTGCGTTCAAAATAGGCTCTTTCATGTTGGCATTGTTCGTGCCCTGTATCAAATAAAAACGTTTCTTTTATCTGATATGTTACCACGTTTCTCTTTCCGGTGACAATTTGCTTCTTTTTTTCCTCCTCGTGGCAGTTTGACGACGTTGGATCTCATGGGACGAAAGTTATCATCTATAATATGTGGCTCAACAGCGATGCTAAATTGGAATTAGATTTTCACTCGGTTGCAGAGGTTAATGTTATTTATCTTTCTTGTTTCTGATCTCCTTTTCATTGCCAAGTATTATCATTTAATTAAGATCTTGTTTTGTTCCTTTCTTCTTACAGGATATTCTCATTGAAGGAAACATAAAAAAAACTGCATGTAAAATTATGAATGATCATATTGCAACCCGGTTTTCGTACTCCCTACGTGTAAGCTTTTATTTTTTTGGTCATGTTGGGAATTGTTTATTGCTTATGTTCATGTGCAAGTGGCATACACGTTGATATTGAACCATACATCAATGCGCGAATGTTTTCATGAATACTAGTGGGAAATAAGTACACATCATAGACATAGATACAGGGCTGCAGACAGCTATATATCTGATAATACTTGTGCAACTGTATTATAGGGATGCAAGACAACTGACATGCAACTGAAATAATATACTTTCTGCTGCTGATACCTTTTTGCAGGTTTACCTATCCATATTATACTTGCGGATTCCTGAGACTTTCAAGATTGTCTTGCGTGGTAAGGTTGTCGATCAGCATAACGTTGCTGATGATCTCAAGCATCCGCAGTACATCTTGTATAAGCCTCAAGTTGCTGGACATGAACAGGTGGGCAAAATATGGAGAGGTTTTTATTTTTCGTAGTTATTTTTCTCCTTTATTATGATTTGTGTCTCGCGGTTCGCTGAGCAGGCTGAAGTGGTAACGACGATTGGATTTCTGAAAGAAGCTCCCAAAGTAAACCTTAGCGGATTCTGTGTTTATCACAAAAACCGACTAATAATGGTGAGTTTTGAAATGTTAAATATGTTAGTTCACATACATTAGATAAAAGGATTATCATATACCGAGATATTATTTAACATTTTGTGCCTTATAGAACTCAAGGAAAAAGTGTCTAAAAGTTGCAGGACTTGTCTACACTGATACTAGCATGCATATATAAAGGGGTTTTTAATCTACTTATTAAGATATTTAAATTCAAAATTTGCCACATAAAAGTTGTTTCACCCCATTTAAAGACTACTCAAAAGTATCATGTCAAGCTTCTATCACAAATTCCATACATAATCTTGTATGTTACTGTGACCTTGTCTGATTTGTTTGTTCCTTTCAGCCATATTGGCAAGTCTTACGCAACTCAAGCAGTAAAGGAAGAGGAGTTGTTGGTAAGAAGCTCCGAAAGGATCAAACAATAAAACAATAGATTTCCTACTGGTTTGGTTGTTTTTAGCACAGTTCTTTATGATGGGTGAATTTATGTTAAGTTTTATGTGTTTGCAGGTGCTCTAGAAGCTAATTTTGTCGAGCCAACCCATAACAAGCAAGATTTTGAGAAAACTATCCTTCTTCAGAAACTTGAAACCCGTTTAAAGGAAATGACAGTGGAGTATTGGTAATTTCCTAGGCCTTATGTTTTTGGTGGATGTTATGTTGCTTGTTTTATCTATTCCCTCCCCAAAGTAGATGATATTACAGAGTTTTCGTAGTGTATGGGAGAAGACCATATAAGATATCTTGTTCTCTTGCCGAGCATGGGACTTGAGTCCCACGTTTTGCCTCTAAAAGTTTCCTCATTACCTCTGGGTTGGCTTGTATCACTTTCCAGTGTTTCTTACCATTTCAAATGATTGGAAATCTTTAATAGGAAGTGCCATTGTGTGTTGATTGGGTATCAAGATAAGAAGCTTCGTCCTAAGGTAGCTGAAAATGTTCGACCTGCTGGTACAAATGGCAACATGTTCCAGAATAATCCTGGTGGAGATAGTGGCAGACAAGCAATAAGTCCTCCTCCAGGTTTCCAAGCAGTTTTTTCTAATGCGAATTTGGCATCTCTCCCTAGAGCTTCTGTTGAGCCAGGTAAAATGCTACTAAGAGTTAAACCGTGAAGAAACTTGGGGTCCAGTATTATGCCAAATAACATGAAAATGATAGTGCCTCTATATATAGTCATTGCATCTATTTCGTCTTCAACACTTGAAAAGAAAAAGTAGAACAACCCAATACGCAATATCTTAAGGCAAAACTGTCACACATTGTGCTTCTGCTATTTAATTGTGATGTGTGGAAGGAAGAGTTAATTTAACACAATCATATTGTTGGACGTTGTTTTGTAACACAACAATCTAACTCTCTGTGATGCTAACACGTGATGGTTGCATTATTTGTTGCAGTGGTGTTGGAGAAGAGGAAAGAACATCCTGATTTTGCTGCAAGTGCAGCGTCAAAAAGAAGGGTGGGAAGTGATGGATTTACTGTCCCGGGGCAGAATCGGGTTGAACAGGTACCTCAAACCCATTTCCCTTACGTTACCCCAGTGTTCACCCTGAAACATGATACTAACTTTAGTTTGTAACCATCTCTGCTCCTGAAGTTTATTCAAGGATCTGCAATTCGTTCCCAAGATAGTGAAACTGTCAAGTTGATGGAAGAAAACAAGAAGCTTCGAGCAAAGTAAGTTAAATTTTTTTTTGTAACATATATATATTGTCAATTTCTGCGTTTGTTTGTGGGCAGAAATTTATGATCTCTCTCTTATACTCAGATGGTTGGACCACAAGGTGCGAAGTCAAAACCTTGAACTCAAGGTACTTCGTTTTGGCATTAACATCCCTTTTCTTCTAATTACTCGTCTCTTTCATTTGCGTGTGGTTCCTCTAAAAGGCATATCAAGATATATGGAGCTAATTTATTAGTCTCCTTGAGTCTTGTCCTCTGTTAGAAAAGAAAACTAACTATTTAATCGGTTGTTTAATGGCGATTCCATCGATCACTTACTTCGAAAGACTAGATATTGACCTATGTCGCCATAAGTTGCTCCATCTTCAGCTGATTTGGGATTCGACAATGAGTTTGAGTCGAATGATTACTAAAGCGAATTTTGATTTTGATTGGTGATACAATTTGGGTTTTGTCTGCGCAGGCCATGAATCTGAGGAGTGAGCTCGAGAGCGTTAAAAGTGAGTATGAAAGGATAATGGAAGAGCTACAAGCTTTGTCTATGGTGAAAGAGGAGCGCAGAAGAAATGTAAATTCGTAGGAACTTCCTCTGCACTCTAAAATCACCTTTTTTGTTGACTAGTCATAATGTTCATCTATCTTGTGGGTGGAAACATCCTTAGTTGCTCTCTCTCTCTCTACTACGTAAGGATAGCCTTAGGTATAAGGAGAAAAACAAAATGTGAAAAAGAAGATTCATGTTTATGAATTAAAAGATTCCTTGTCTAAAGAATCATGTTAAACTGTAGTTAACAAAGATTAATGTTATTATCAGTTGACATTTTATTCAAATCGAGTTCAGAATTTGTGAAATTGTAAATTTAGTTCATATACGGGCCAGTTTGCCCCTTCAATTTTTTTTTAGTCCACCGGTTTACGATATTCAAAAAAATTAATTTTGGTATTCTCTGTTCAGCCGTTACAAAATAAGTGTTATTTTAAAATTTTATTTTTATTTCACAAAAAGTGTCGTTTTGTATTTTCAATGCAATTTTTTAAATAAAAATCCTCTTTTAACCTTATTATATTAATGTATTAATTAGAAAAAAAATGTTATTTTGAGTGTGAACAAATGGTAAAACAGAATTTTTAAAACTTTTCTTAATTTATGTGAAAAGTGTCAAAATAATACTTATTTTGAAACAGAGGGAATAACAATAATCAATGTATCATTCTTGTAATTAGATTACAAATTTGTAATCCGAGTATTGTTTAATCATTACTCTAGGCTAACTAATTCTATAATTGTAATCCCCCAGGCATTTATGAATCAACCATAACTCCACAGTTCCCAGGCATTTATTAATTTAATTCATAACTCGACCTACTAACGTATTCGGGTTAGAAAGTCTTGATTTGTTTGGACAAAAATTACCAAAACACTATATCAGGAAATAATCAAACAAATAAAAAATCCAGCTTATGTCAACGTCACCTAATTCCAACTACCCAATAAGCGCATGGAAAGCCCATGAGCCAACGGCTAGTCACGTGAGTGCGCACAAGCATCCATGACATTTGAGCGTTGGAGAATTGAATCGGATGCTTCATCCAACTCCGGTTGGGTCCACCATGTACTCCTACCACGTGGAGAAAAACGATTCGTTGGCGCCGATTTGTAAAATGAATGCGGATGTCGCCGATTTGCCCCCTATCGTTGTTAAGTTGTTTCCCAACCGTCGGATCCTGATCGCGCCAAAAAAAGGCACGAAAAATTAAAGAAATTAAAATTTAAGTGAAAATATGCGCTGGAAAAATACTCGACTCCCGAAGTGATTTGTTTCCCCTTTTTTTTTTTTCTACCGTCGTTGTTGTCTGAAGAAGGAAACCGAATAGATTCAATTCAACGGGGTTTTCGATCGTGATTTGTTTTTTTTTTGGTTCCCGAGAAAATACAAAAAATTTCTTCGCCGTCTGATGGCGGAGGATTTCGCAAGGGCGGTGGAGGATGGGCTTAAACTGGCGAAACGGATTTATTTCGGAAACGACCGAGCGGTTGCGGCGCCGAGGCTAGCGGCGCCGATGGAGAGATCGTCGACGGCGCAGGCTTACCTTCCTTCTGCTCCGATGGTTTACGCTGTAATACCCGACCCGGGAATTGTGGATAACCCGGACCTACCTAGCTATCAGCCTCACGTGCACGGCAGGTGCGACCCGCCGGCTCTGATTCCTCTCCAGATGAACGCGGTTGAGCTCGACGTCGATTGTTACCTCGACACGGCCCTCGTCACCGTCACCGGGGTGTGGCGTGTCCACTGCGTTATGGGGAGCAAGAGATGCGATTGCCGAATCGCTATTCCTATGGGAGAACAGGTTCCGCAAAATTGATTTGACATCATAATCTCGTTAATGATTAGGGGATTTTTGTCTTGTTTATTCACTGTATTGGATTGGGATAAACCCTAGAATCAAATCTCAAAATGCTTCATCTCTTTTGAGATTTCAAACTAATACTGGGATATGGTGATGGCTCAACAGGGTTCGATTCTAGGTGTTGAGGTTGAGATTCTCAGGAGATCCTACACAACGCAGCTGATCACAGCCGAGGATGGAAACGAATTGGAGAAAACGGCGCAGCCTCAAAATGGAGGGTTCTTGAAGCCAAACATATTCACTCTCACGATACCGCAGGTTGATGGAGGCACAAACCTGTCGATCAAGATGACATGGTCTCAGAAGCTGACGTATAACGAAGGGCAGTTTTTCCTCGACGTTCCTTTCAACTTCCCTGAGTATGTCACTCCTGCTGTAAAGAAGATCTCAAAGAGGGAGAAGATCTACTTGAGTGTTAACGCCGGTACTGGAACACAGCTTCTCTGCAAAGGGTGCAGTCACCAACTAAAGGTTTGATTTTTTTCTTTTTTTCTTCCGAAAACGGTCCAATGATATTTCAGGGTACAACTTTCTCATCCCGTTGTTCATCTACGACTACAGGAAAAAATGCGGAACGCAGGGAAGTTGAGGTTTTCATATGAAGCAGATGTTTTGAAGTGGTCCAACACTGATTTCAGCTTCTCTTATACGGTACAAACTTCTCACTGCTTTTGCTCCGAACGCAGATTCTTAGAACTAATACACTTGCAAGGTTTTGCATTGAATTTAGTCGTAAAGAGTCTTTTTTTTTTTTCATCCCCCCCATCACAGGCCTCTTCAAGTAATATAGTTGGTGGACTTTTCCTTCAGTCTGCGCCTGTTCAAGATGTTGATCAGAGAGATATCTTTTCTTTCTATCTTTTTCCAGGAAAGCAGCAAAAAGCTAAGGTTTGATTTTGTTACTTGTTTTTCGGCGCAGGAAATGTCATTGCAGTACCAACTTAAGTTTTTTTTTTTTTTTTTGTCTACTTCAGGCATTTAAGCGGGAGGTAATTTTTGTTGTTGATATAAGTAAAAGCATGAATGGAAAACCTCTCGAGGATGTAAACAATGCGATATCGACAGCTCTATCTAAGCTTAATCCTGGGGATTCCTTCAACCTTGTCACTTTCAGCGATGATACTTCTCTGTTTTCGACATCAATGGAGTTGGTTACTCCGGATGCTGTTGAAAGAGGCGTTGAGTGGATGAACAAGAACCTTGTTGTCGCCGATGGTACAAACATGCTCCCTCCCCTAGAGAAGGTCTGTCCAGCTTAAAACGCTTAACACCTTGTTGATTAGATCCCCTCGGGCCGAGCCGTGGCGTCAGTTTGACCGACTTTTGTCGATACTTTCAGGCTGTGGAAATGCTTTCGAATACTCGTGGCTCCATACCTATGATCTTCTTCTTAACCGATGGATCCGTTGAAGATGAGAGGCACATTTGCGATGCAATGAAGAAACGTCTTGCTAGTGCTGGATCAGTTTCTCCACGGATACACACATTTGGGTTAGGTAAACCTTTTCTCCTAGGTTTTGATGTGAAATGACCAAGTTTATCTTTTTATTTACCTTTTCATTTGTGGACTATTTGCAATGTTTCAGGTGTATTCTGCAATCACTACTTCCTGCAAATGCTTGCAAATCTATCGAGGGGGCAGCACGAATCAGTGTACAATACAGGTAAAAACTTTGACTCCGTATGTTGGTTGAACTGAAGGGAAAAAGTTACACTATATGTAATATGGTTTCTTAAACATTTATCATTTATCATTTATCTGATGTACAGATCACATCGAGGAACGAATTGACAAACTGTTTACAAGGGCTTTATCAACTGTTCTTGTGAATGTAATTATCGAGCCCCTGCAGAATCTTGATGAAGTTGAGGTGAGCCTAACGCTAAGATTGCTTGCTTGTCTTTTCTGTCATTATCTTTTTTTTTTGTTTCCTTCGACTATATGAAAGGGAAACTCACATGTGACTACTATTAGGTATACCCATCACATATTCCGGATCTGACGTCTGCAAGTCCATTGATGATATATGGGAGATACCGAGGAAAGTTCCCTGAGAATGTGAAAGCCAATGGTCTGCTAGGAGATATGAGCAGTTTTTCTGCAGACTTGACTGTACAAAGTGCAAAAGACATGCCTCTTGATAAAGTAAAGATCAAATTCTCTCATCGTCATCATCCCTAAGGGGCGTCCGAGTTTAACATAAACTGCCATTCCCTAAATATGTTCAGGTATTTGCAAAGAATGTGATTGACTTGCTTACTGCTGTGGCATGGTTCTCTGAAGACAAACAGCTAAAAGAGAAGGTTCGTGTACAATTTATTCACTTGCTCAGTTTCGTCCTCTTCAGCATTTATTTTCTTCACTCTGCTTTGTTTATTTTCTTCTCAGATTGCTAAACTAAGCATCCAAACCGGCGTACCATCTGAGTATACTCGAATGATCCAATTGGAGACCACAGAAGAAGTATTAAAACCCAGCGACACTGGTGGAAAGAAGAAGGTATTTGTCTAACCGAAACCTAGTGATTTGTTCTGTTCCGAGGAGCAAAATCAGACTCGTTTGCAAAATCAGACTCGTTTTTACTCAAATATATATTATATATATTCAACAGACAGCGAGTAACGGCGAGAAACAGAAGATGCTATCAAGAACGATCCCTCTGCAAAACCTCGGGATAGGATTTGGTGATAAAGCAGCCACGAGAGAGAATGTTCCACCAGGATTTGGAGAACAGAGAGCACCTGATGCAGCAGAGAAGTTCGTGAAGGCTGCCTCGAGCTGTTGTGTCTCCCTGTGCAACAAATGTTGTTGCATGTGTTGTGTCCAATGCTGCACTAAGCTCAATGATCAATGTGTCCTTGTCTTCACACAGCTCTTCACAGCGATCGCTTGCATCGCCTGCTTTGAATGTTGCACAAATGTTTGCTGTACCTGTGGAGACGACTAGTTATAAAATGATTTTGAATATTCGAGTGTAAAGCTTCAAAGTAAGTTTGTACATTTACCTTACACTGGCATGTAATTTCCGTACGTGGCCTGGTCAAATATGAAAGGGAAAGGCTCTGTTTTTTTTCTTTTGGATAGTTTGTTGCCTCGAAGGGACAAAGTGTAAAAGAACAGACAAATCCATGTGTTTCCTTGACAACTTGCTCGATTTCGATCTCTTAAACCATATTATTATACGAGTAAAGAATGCGATTTTGGTGAACCGACATTCAACAAAGTCCACAAAGATGGGATCAAGTGTTAGAAAAATGGTGACTTGAAGTCGCAAGAAACTGATTTCGAGGGATTGTTTATAGGAACTTGAACCCGATTTTTGATTTGCTGGCTTTTTGCTGGCTTCAGGGATTTGTGTTTACTGTGTCTTTAAAAAACATGGGACCACTATGATCATCTTTAATCTCCTAAAGCTGTTCAAGGAGATAAAAGATCGTCGACAGAAAAAGAAAATTTCTTGGATACACACATATACATGTGCTTATTTATATGCCTCTTGAAATATGAAGGTTTGTTTTCATGTTAAACTTAATTTTCGATGCTGTGTTGATCTTTCTTTGACTATGTAATATTTGATTTTGTTGGATACAGATTTTTAGTTGGGTTCAAAGAAAACTTAGTGGAACGAAGCATGAGTCAACTTCAGGTTCTTGTGAGTAAATAAATATTCTTTTAACACGAAGACTAAGTACAAAAAAAAATCTTTTTGCATGATCATTGATCTGTTTGATGATGTATAATGTAGGTCAAGAATCATCAGTACCTGCTTTGAGTAAAGAACTTCAAAGTTGGCCTCAAGACGAAGAAACCCTCTTGGCTATTGGAACACTTGGAAACAATATCTGCTCCAAGGAAGAAGAAGAAACAGATACTAGCAAAGATCTCACTGCGATTAATACAGATGTAACAATTGGGAAGAAGAAACCGCTCTCTTTTCTCCTCAAGAAGATGTTTGTTTGCTCAAGTGGCTTCAAAACTCCACCTCATCTTCTTGATTTGTCTAGGGGAGATTCATTGCCCAATACAAGAATGGAAAAGGTAATTTTTATTCTGTACGTACAGTATATGATTATTCAAATCTCTACAACTTCGTTTCATCGTAAAAACGAGTGAATTCAGAGATATTTATGTTATGTAAAAGAGTAACTGTAAACATTTTTCTGTATTGTGTTTTTGAACAGATGCTAAGGACAATACTCAACAAGAAGATACATCCACAACGTTCAAATGCTATAGCAAAGAAGTATTTGGAGAATCATAAGATTATAGATGAAGCTAGTTCAAGTGTTGACGCCAACAAATGGGTTAAGACTGATTCTGAATGTGAGATTTTCTTATATTTGTTTTCAAATCGTAAAAATTTAAAAGATTTTTCAAATAATATATATAGTGTAATGTAAATTAACCAAGTGTGTATGGCTGGCCGTATTGCAGACTTTGCAGTATTTAGTTAGATCAAACTCATATACTGTAGTAAAACTTCATAAGGACAGATTAAAATGCAGAAAAGATGAAAAATGTAAGAAATTTAAAATAGATAAACAAATAAATAGAAAGATGGAAAAGCAAGAATAACGGTATAGGGAAGCTTAATTTAATTTCTTTGATGATTACAGATATTGTCTTGGAGATGTAGATTTCAACCAATAAGCTAAATGGACATGATTGATTATCATGGTAATAATAGAATGTAAATAAACCCCCAAAAAAGCTTATTAACAATTTATTTATATTTTAAATATGGAAATTAGCAAAACATGACTACTTCTATTAAAAGATAATCATAACCAAAAAAATTATGTTCCAGGTATCAAACGAGTGGTGTAAGTTCAACTGTTCAAGATATGAAGATGGGTCAATAAATATCTCTGATAACTACAGTTTAAAGATTTATATTTGATTGTCAAATTACACATTTCTGTTTTTGTTGTTCAATTTTTTCTTTTTTCAGATTTTAATGTGGTCACAAAATATGTTTGCTCATCTGTATTGTTGTAACTACAAATAATTTTAGTTCTTACCATGTACTAATATATGCAAAAACATATATTTTATCTTATATAAATAATTTTAGTTCTTACCATGTAACTAATATGCAAACACAAAAAAGGAATATATCTACAATTCAAAATAATCGAAGAATGACTGACAGAGTTTGATGCAATGAAGAATTGTGTAAAATAATAGTATGTTTATGAAATTTGAAATGGGAATAAATTAGTTCAATTCAAACAAAATGAAACTGAATAAAAAAATGGATTGATTTTGAAAAAAATATGGAATTTTGGGCCTTTTAAGTATTTTTGTGTAAAAGTTAAACGCCACAGTAGTTTATTATCCTCCACAATAGATAACAACAACATAGTATTATGATATGATTTGGATTGCTCTTAATGCAATAATATGATTTAACAAAGTGTAGAGTTGATGAAATGGAAACAACGGCTAATGTTTATTGTAACTAGTAAGAAATGATTACTAATTCTCTTGGAGATATGAAATAGAAACAATAATGAAAGAAGGGAAAGAAGAGAGAAGAAAGCATATGTCATATGTGCTTGTGTATTTAGAAAATGTAAAGAGTGAAGACCAATGTTGGAATAAAGTTTTGCATGTTGATAAAAATCACAACCATTACAACTTAATAAAGGATATATATACTTGTGATCATATATATGTGTGTGTGACTATATATATAGAAAGCTTAAAAATTTAGAACCTAAACATATTTAGATTTGACAAAAAAAAACATATTTAGATAACACTGGATCGTTTGGTTGGTTGAGACTGAGTCAATGTTTGTTATCCGTCGTTTATGTTTTTTTTTTTCTTTTTGCTTAACCCGTCGTTCATGTTGTGGTTCACAATTTAGCACTACATTGTAAAGTTTGATATGGAAGTCCCTATATGTAGTAAGAAGAATTTGTACATATATGTTCATCTGACCGAAAAAGGAAAAGAGATTACGGAGAAGAAGAAGAAAAATGATGAAATCGTTGATTTGCCTCTCTCTCTCATTCTCCTCCCTCTCATCTACGTGGTGGGAGGCAATGTCGGTGGCTGGAAGGAGCTGAAGAATTTAAATGATCCGGAGATTGTAGGGTTTGGGAAGCTTGTGACTAATCAAGCTAACAAACATAAGGGTCGGTTGGAGGTTTTGGTGATGGCAAGGGTGCGGGATATTGCAGGCGCCATTGTAGGCGTCAACGACAAAGAATACCAAGTGACCGTTAGGGGGAAGAATGGCGGTAATGAGACATGGGATGTCAAGGCCACTGTGTTCAAAAGGTCGTGGGGTGTTTCTGTTGGTGAGTTCAGGGCAACAAGGGTTCGTTAGGATAATCCTTTTTGGTAATTAATCGATCGATATACGATTTGAGGTTTTAATAATACTTATTACTAGCTATTATGGTGTTGTCCTTGGTAATGTTGTGTTGTTGGGAGAATAATATAAGTATAAAATAAACGAGTGACACCTTCTTTTAAAGTCATACCAACTCCAGAATTGTGTACATGCTTTTGGGATAATGTAGACAAAGCCTCTCTCTTTCTTTATTCAACATGTTTTTTTGACCAATCACATTTCAGACTGACATCAAAGTAGAAGCAGTAACAAAACAACATAGCCTCTTTTCACTCCGGGTAAGAGAGCAATGTGATGAGCGACTCGTGTTGAGGAAACAGCGACAAGAGGTGAGAGCGTTTGGCGAGCTCAAAGTCCTCAAACTGGAAAGCGGGAGCGCAGGTGCAGCCGACGAGAGAGAAATGTTTCTCCGAGTCTCTGGGCTCAGCTTTGAGCAGAGTCCCGTCGTTAGAGAAATGGACATCCTTTGTTGGAAACGAACCAAACCAGATGTTAGGAGGGACCGTGTACTGAGGCATCTGGTCACCCTCGATCAGGTCAGGACCAAGACATGTCAGCTTCAACTTCCCATCATCGTGGAGCTCCACTACCTGATGGAGACAACAACAACAACAACAACAACAAGGAGAGAGAGAGCATGTTCAACAAAACATTGATGAACCCTAAAAATAAAAAATAAAAAAAAAGCGGGACTGTTATGAGAAAGAGATGAAACGTACAGTAATGGGTTCACCCAAATAGAAGTGCCAGGTTTCAGCCATTGGTATGCGATGGAGACGAGAAACATTCCCAGACGGAAGCAAGAAGTAGATACTTGTGCTCACTCCTCTGTCCACCTTGACTGCACAGATTCAGACAAGAAGAAACAATTACACAAATCAAGCATACAATTTTCTACCACAATTACACAAATCAAGCACACAATTTTCTAGTGGGCTCAATCCCCCAACAATATCTGTATCTCTCGATCAGATTTCAAATCAATTGGAGCGATGGATGCAAATAAACAAGAGTTGGAGAGAGAGAGAGAGGGTTACAGGTAGGTGGAAGCTGAGAGGTGGAGAGGAGAAGAGAAGAATCTCTGAACGTTTCAAAGAAAAAGCCACCTTCTTGGTGAGATCTGAGATTGAGTTTTCGGACGACTTCTGAAGACTTGACCATCTTCGACGATACTCACTCACCGATCTCTCTAGGTCTCTATACATACATATATAATCCGTGGAGAAAATCTTGTTCGGTAAATTACATTTTCTAACTTTTTTTTTTTTTTTTTTGGTGTGTGTGACATAATTACATTTTCTATTTAATTAGTACTGTACTGCTATTTTTTATAAGACATCATTTTTCCTTAGTTAAATTGTTCAAATAAAAGTAATTTTCAATTTAGAGACTAGTATTTCACAAATCTATTAATTTTATTTTTAGTAATGGGAGGACAAAAATATCGGTGTATTCTATAAATAACATTTTAGATTTAGTGCTAAAATTTAGAATCAAAACATATATATTTAGATAACAAACACTCTTCTAGTCTTCTCTTTCTTTTTGCCGCCTTCTCTTTCTTGCCGCCGGTGATTGTGGGCTTTCACAGCCACAATCTCGGTTTGGCCTTTTTGTTTTTCAGTTTTGTTTTTAAGTTCCTGGCTTTGGTAAATCCGTTTTGGATCTGGTTTTTCTGAATTTGATGAAGCTTTCTTTATTAGATCTAGATCGGATCTGATCTGTTTTGATTTTCTTTGCCAGCTTTTGGTTTCCCCCTTCTAAATAATTGGGTTGGCTTTGCTCGATTTGGTGTTTTGCTTTCTTTCTGCAGATTTCAATTTCGTTTTCTTATGATGAAGAAGTTAGTTTCGGGATTTCTTTCCCTCGCCCAACAGCTTAATTTCCTGTCTTCACCTTTTCAATAATTCTTCTTCTGGTGGTGCTTTTTCAGCTGTACTTCGTTTTTACTTGATACTGGGTTGAGTTTAATTTTGCAGAAGATCTGGTGTTGCTTGGTTTTTTGAGTTGTATTTCTCTTCTTCGCTATGGTTCTTTGTGTGAGGAGATCTTTTGTGTTTCAATAAGTTGATGTTTCCATTTGGTGGGCCTTGGGCAAGGACCGTGACCCGTGGGCAAAGGCGGTGACTCTTGTTTGCAGATTTCCTGGAGTTTTGAAATTGTGCAGATTTTAGTGCTAATATCAAGTTTTAGTGTTAGCTAAATTATTTCTGTTTAAGTTGGGGTTTGTTTTCGGGGAAATTCTGTTTTCCGCCGACTTAGCTTCCGGGGATTTTTCGTTTTTCCGCCGGCTTAGTTTCCCTCTTTTGGGCATAGTTTCCGGGAACATTTTGTTGTTCCATCGGTTTTGTATTTCATCCATGTATTCTACCATGTATTCTACTTTGATATTTAATATTACAAGATGACAAAAAAAGAAGAAGAAGAAATTGTACACCGTTAATGTTTTGGTTCTAAATTTAGCAGTTGGCACTGTAAATCTTAAAGCTTTATATATCTAAGTCGATGTATTAAGAACAAAATTGTACATTTTCATCCAATGATCCACAAGTTGTAGCGGCCGTGAAGTTTGTGATAGGCCCAAATGTAGGATCGTACAATCTGACCATTAGCGCCAAGAACCGCGCTGGGAAATCAAGTCCATTGTGGAGAAACAGAATCATGGGCTTGGGGGTCAAACATGTATTCATGGGCTCCGACCCATAAAAGATTCATTCCTTAGGATTTTTTTTTTTTTAATCCAAATCATATGTAACTTGGAACTCTAATTCAAGTTAGCCATTTTGACATGTAAAAACAAGTGTCTTTGCTCATCGCCTTAGTTTCAGTAATCCACAAGACACAAATCTTGTTTCCTAAGTTAAAACATTTTAGATCATATCAATAAAACCGTGTTTGTAACTGGGATTCAGTGTTCCCCTTAACTCCAGTAGCTGATTCAGTGTTAGAAAATTTCATTCCATAGATTGTGACTGGGATACTATTATATGGCATGCATGCTATTACACTCACGACGACATATCAAAATAAGATATGTAAACCTATTTATTGTAACAAGCCTCGGAGAGATGGGCAAGCTCTAGCTTCTGAAATACACAACATGTAGAGTTTATGAGACATTGAATTAAATGACTCGTGTGTTGTGTAATGGGAGAAAAACTACATAGTGGAACAACCAATCACATTTCAGACAAACCAAAGGTAGAGCACTACAGAGAGATAGATCAAGAAAAAGCTCATAGTGACGTCACAAAACAACAGAGTGAGCATTGTGATGAGCGACCCACTCGACTCGTGTTGAAATGAACCAAAGACTTGACCATCTTCCAAGATACGATAAACAGTGAGGCTATGCTATGAGTTTTTCTTCCAAGCATTAAACGGACGTGGTGGAAAAGCTAGAGAGGATTAATTAAGTTGAATGGTTCAGTTCACATATATATATATATATATATATATCATCACACTAGACACTACTCTTTCCTTTATGCTCTAGGATTTGTTTAGACTGGAATCTTTACATTTGAGAGTATTCGTTGTAAAACCCCCCAACCGTCGTGGTAGAGAATTCAATGACGTTAAGTGCATGGGGAGTACAAGGTCTACTTAAACATCAAGACTCGAGTTTTGAAATCACACAAAAGAGAAAGCAAACAAGTGAGAGAAAGAGAGAGGGAGAAGATGAAGATGGTGTTGCAGGGTCTGTTCTTGGTTGCTATTTTCTTCAACCTTGCATACACGCAGCTGGTCAAGGGGCAACTTGGCAAGGATTGCCAAACTAGATGTGGCAACGTCACCATCCATTACCCTTTCGGCACATCTCCGGGTTGCTACTTCGGCGACGATAGCAGTTTCAGACTCACCTGCAACGACGTCCAAGGGAAGCTACTCTTTCGCGGCAAGATGCAAGTGATTAACATTTCCCGCAGTGGTGAGCTGCGCATCCGGAATAGGATTGCCCACTCTTGCTCCTACAGAAATAATTTCACACACTCACTCGAGTCATTCGAGTCACTCGACAACGAAATTCATCTAGGCAACTTAAGTCTTTCGGACAAGAACTGCAGGTTTACTTCAGTAGGCTGTAACACTTACGCGTACATGACGACTATTAGTGACGATCGAAACTACACAACCGGATGCTTGTCGGTATGCGATTCTCCTCCAGTGGCAAACGGGTCGTGTTCTGGGGAAGGCTGCTGCCACACCCCCGTCCCTAAAGAGAGCAATCACTTAATAATCTCGTCAGGTCGCTTTGACCACCAGATGTCTGTTAATAACTCTAATCCTTGCGACTACGCCTTTCTTGTCGAAGATGGTATGTATAACTTCAGCTCTACAGAAGATCTTAAGAATCTGCGGAATATCAGGGAGTTCCCTGTGGTGCTAGATTGGTCAATTGGAGACCAGTCATGCAAGCAAGCTGGAAACACAAGCATTTGCGGTGGGAACACCACTTGTTTCGACTCTCCTCGTGGAAAAGGATATTACTGTAACTGTACACAAGGTTACGAGGGGAATCCCTACCGTCCATACGGTTGCCAAGGTAACACACTACTTGAGATTGTTTGCTTTCTTCCTCTTCTTGAGTGTTAGTTGTGTTCCTAACACATTTCCTGTTGCCTCTTCCGCTGCCAGATATCGATGAGTGTACTCATACTATCCACAAACATAACTGCTCGGATCGCAGCATCTGTGAAAACAAGCTTGGAAGCTTCAGTTGTAAGTGCTTATCATCTCGTTACCACTTAAACCACACCGACAATAGATGCATGCGTACACCCAAGCCCAAATACCTTGAATGGACTGAGATTTTTCTTGGTAAGCTCTCTTTTCGCTCATTCTGTATTCTATGTTTCCTGCAACAACAGCTCAGCTCCATTCTTTTTTCTTAATGTGATGTGACCAGGGACCACTATCTTCTTCCTCGTCATCCTGCTTGCCGTTACCTGTGTACAGCTGTGGATCAAGAACCGGAAGGACACCGAGCTCCGTCAACAATTCTTCGAGCAGAATGGCGGCGGGATGCTGATGCAGCGACTCTCAGAGGCAGGGCCTTCAAATGCTGATGTCAAAATCTTCACCGAGGAAGGCATGATGGAAGCCACTAATGATTATGATGAGCGCAGGATCCTGGGACAGGGAGGCCAAGGAACAGTATACAAAGGTACGATGCCGGACGGATCAACTGTCGCTATAAAGAAAGCTCGGCTTGGAGACAACAGCCAAGTAGAGCAGTTTATCAACGAAGTCGTCGTGCTTTCCCAAATCAACCACAGGAACGTGGTCAAGCTCCTGGGCTGCTGTCTGGAGACTGAGGTCCCCTTGCTGGTCTATGAGTACATCGCGAGTGGCACCCTCTTCGACCACTTGCACGGTTCCCTGGCTGATGCTTCTCTTACATGGGAACACCGTCTGAGGATAGCGATAGAAGTCGCAGGGGCTCTTGCATATCTGCACTCCTCTGCCTCGATTCCAATCATCCACCGCGATGTCAAGACGGCTAACATCCTCCTGGACGAAAACCTAACCGCAAAAGTAGCAGACTTTGGTGCTTCAAGGCTGATACCAATGGACAAAGAGCAGCTCACAACTATTGTGCTAGGGACTATGGGTTACTTGGACCCGGAATACCATAACACAGGGCTGCTGAATGAGAAGAGCGATGTTTTCAGCTTCGGGGTAGTACTGATGGAGCTTCTCTCTGGCCAACAAGCACTGAGCTTTGAAAGGCCCCAGCAGTCAAAACATCTAGCGATGTACTTTGCTTCTGCTATGAAAGAGCAAAGGTTGGATGAGGTTATTGACGGCCAACTGTGGAACGAGGGTACCCAGAGGGAGATCCAGGAAGCTGCACGAATTGCCATCGAGTGCACAAGAATGACGGGGCAGGAACGGCCAAAAATGAGACAAGTGGCTGCAGAGCTTGAGGCTTTGGTTGTCACTGAAGCCAAGCATCCGTGGTCGGATCCCTATCCTGAGCCTATGGAGATTGAGCACTTGATCGGGGTTGGAACCTTTACAGAACAAGGGGAAACCAGTGGCACTTCAGCGTCAAGAACTTCTTTATGGTAGTATTACAATATATCATCTCAATCATTGTGTTTCTAATCAATCAAACCCTCTTTAATCGGTATGTATCCGAATAGGAGTTGCTACCTATGCTTGTCTCGATTGTAATATATATCATTATGGTTATTAAAAAATAAAATATTAGCAACTCAAAGAAGAAATTCTAGAATCTCAAGAAAGCATCAAAAGATAACAGAGCATTTGCGATCATGTTGAACCAAGATTACAGCTTTCTTTTTTGTTCACTAACAGAAAAAAAACTTATCGCATAGCACAACTTCCATCCACATTCACAAAATCAAGGTTCCAACACTCAATGGTTTTATTCAAAAGTAGTTTCATATCAAATATCAACTCACGATAGGGAAGAAACTAAAAGGAGGAAGCAGACTCATCGCCTAAAAGGAGTGATGATCTTTTCAAAACGCAGAGCTACCACCACTTCTGGACATCGTCTGCATAACTCCATTCATCAGTCCTTGAACTGATTTCCCAACTCCAGCTCCGATGTCTTGTGCAAAATACTTGGCCTGCCACAATAATGTGAGTCTGTCCCCGTGAGAAGTTTTTCATTCCAATATGTAGTAACAGGAGAAAGTTTTTACTTTACCTCTTGTATGCTTTTCTTCAGATCAAAAGCATCTTTGACTCTGTCATTCAAGAACGCCCATGTATCGCGATGCTCTGCTCCAAAAAAAAAGAAAAACAAAATGGAACGATGATATCAAACTCTAAACTTCTAACGTTGTTTTTCTTCAACCACGCAGCAAGTGTATTCAAGAGAGCAGGGAGTAAATAGACCTGGAGAGTCATCGGTAAGCATGTAAATCTCGGTGGTTGAGTAAACTCCTCCAAGAATAGTGCGCTTGACGTACCAATCTAAATCCGAGGCTCCGTCTCCAACAGCGTGCCATATCTCATCAACTAACATTGCCCGTTGCTTAAAACTGGTAGGGACGTTCACTGGATGCGCCTGTTTTGAGGGGATGTATTCAGCGCCAGGATCTGATTGAGTTTGTCAAGAAAACAGGGGAAAGCCCAAAACTTACTTGGATGCTGAGAGCTTGAGGCCATTTTGACATGTAAGGGACCTGCATTTCTAGGCGAATTCTGATGAGCTCCGAGATGCGTTCACTTGGGATCAGGTTTTGCAAACCGAGTCCAGACTCTATTCTGTCGATAAGCAATTCTAGGCATTCATCCATGAAGAACTGAACAAAAACGAAAGTCAGCACCAAAATCCAAAGTTTCAAGCTTCCAATCAAAATCTATAGATTCCAGAGAGTATCAGTGACGACATTACCTCAACAAGCGCAGCTTCTTTCCTGGAGAAGGACCCTACAATCGAAGGAGACACACCAACATCTCTCGAACCAGCCATCATCGCTTCCTCCGTCCAACCTAATTTCGGCTGCAGAAACTCCCAAATTACAGAAATCGATAGCCAAAAGATGAAAATTTGGGAGGGAAGTAAATGAATCTGGAAACAATATACCCACCACGTGACGGAGAGACGCAGAGAGAACTCGAGCCTGCTCTTCCTGGAACTCGGCTCTCGGCTTTCTGCTCTCGTGTCGGCGAGGTCCTTCCCCTGTAGCCGCAGAAGAAGACGCCGTGGGGCCCGACTGATTAGGGTTTGAAAACTGATTGCCCATTGACGATTCAGTATCACCCATCGAGGAAGTGCAGAGACCGGAAGTGTAAGAGTAAGGGATGATTGTGGACCTGAGCTTGGGAAATCGGAGGAGGCGGGTGGCTGTGAAACCACCAGAGAGAAGACGTTTCGCCGCCGCTCGATACATCGTCGTCGCCGGAGTGAGGGATCGAGTGTTTGACACGTCGATGAGATCGTTGCCACGAGAAATTAAAAGAGCTTCCTTTGATTCTCCTCGTAACCGACCCCGTTTACTATGCTAGCAAAAGTGATTGATGATGAACAAATCAAATTGGGCGCTTTTTTATTTATAATTACAGTACTTTGTGTTGCTAACTACTGTATTTGTGCGTAAATGGTGAAATAAATAAAAAAGATAATTATACTACGAAAATAACCTCATTTGTTATTATCGGTTGTAGTCCAAAAAGCAATTGAATTTGAAATAATGATACAGTTTAGGTAACTGAATTCGAAATAATGATATGGAGAAGAATTAATCATATTTTTTTGTAGTTTAACCTGCGATATAATTTTATTTCATGTCGAGTGTAATGGATCCCCATCATCAATAGTTTTATCCTCCACATCGAACCGTACACGTGTAAGGTAACAGTGGCTTCACAAATTCTTCTGGATAACAAAGCCCATAACATACGAGTCATACATGTTACATACAATCACAAAATAAATTTTCATTTTCATCTCTGCACGAATCAAAGATGGCTCTTGCCATTGCTTGTGCTCTCACTTTATCCACGAGCAGAGTGGATAGAGGAAGATTAGCGTTCTCATCACGCGCCGGTGGAAAAGTGAGCGAGCGCGTGGTGGTGGTTCGTGCCGGCAAAGAAGTTTCAAGCGTTTGCGAACCACTTCCTCCGGACCGTCCTTTGTGGTTCCCCGGTAGCTCTCCTCCTGAATGGCTCGATGGCAGGTTCCTAAACAGTCATTCTTCATTGATGTTTTATTTTTTCTTCAAGTAAAAAAGTTTCCTTTGACTTTAAAATTACTCCCGTTCTTGCAGCCTTCCTGGTGATTTCGGTTTCGATCCTCTCGGTCTAGGTACGAGAACGTGAAAATTCAATTTACATAATAAACCCGAAATTTAAACTAAACCGGTTTTTGATTGACAGGGTCAGACCCGGACCTCCTCAAATGGTTTGCACAAGCTGAGCTGGTCCATAGCCGGTGGGCGATGCTGGCGGTGACCGGAATCTTAATACCGGAATGTCTGGAGCGGTTAGGATTCATCGAGAATTTCTCATGGTACGATGCAGGATCTCGTGAGTATTTCGCGGATTCCACTACGCTGTTTCTGGCCCAATTGGTGTTGATGGGCTGGGCTGAAGGTAGAAGATGGGCTGATTTGATAAAACCGGGGTCTGTGGACATAGAGCCTCAGTATCCGCACAAGGTGAATCCCAAACCGGATGTTGGTTACCCGGGAGGTTTATGGTTCGATCCGATGATGTGGGGGAGAGGTTCTCCTGAGCCGGTTATGGTCTTGAGGACTAAAGAGATTAAAAACGGACGGCTCGCGATGCTTGCTTTCGTTGGCTTCTGTTTCCAAGCTAACTACAGTACTAGTCGCGATCCAATTGAGAATCTCATGGCCCATCTCGCTGATCCTGGTCACTGCAACATCTTCTCGGTAAGCTCTAATTTTGATGATGATTTCGATAAATATCTCTACTGATATGGTCGGCTTTCATTTGCAGGCGTTTACATCACATTGATGGGGGCAAATATGATTTTTTTCCTATTGCCTATAGAAGCATGTACGACTTATGTATATAGTATCGTTATGTAATGAATTCAATTGTTATATTTTTTGTTTACCAAATCAAGAACTACATGAACACCCCTGAACCAAAGTAACCGGTATGGTCTATTTTACCGGTTTGGTTTCTAATGAGTTTCGCCATTTTCCCCTTTGCGGGAACGGAACTCCATCGACATCACACTCACACCAAACTCACCAGCTTCTGACACGGACTTCTCAACCCCGTAATCTTCCGTCGCGTTAACTTCACTATTTCTGGGCTAGATCTGAGGAAAGCCCACCATAACTATAACCCCCTCATGTTCCTGTTTCTCCCGTAAATCGAATCATGGTGGAGAATCTGTTTCCGACTCGATTCCAAATCCATCTTCAGCGACTTGTTGACCCTAAGCGTCGTCTTACTTCCCTCGTTGCCTCCCACAAGACGCTACTCTTCACATTCCTCTGGATCGCCGCCTTCGGTTCCGTCTTCTTATGGCAGCGAACGGCCTATATCGGCGGCTCCGTCGTCGGTCCCGTCGGAGGGAATTTCACAGTTTTCGGCCGGGTCAAACCGACCCAGCCACTGCCTCGCCTGAGACCAGTGGTGTTCGATTTAAAGGATTTCGGAGGTGTAGGCGATGGGTTTACGCTTAACACGGAGGCGTTCGAGAGAGCGATGATTTCGATCTCGAAGCTTGGGAAAGACAGCGGCGGAGGGCAGCTGAATGTGCCTCCCGGACGCTGGCTCACGGCGCCGTTTAATCTCACCAGCCATATGACTCTTTTTCTCGCCGAGGATTCCGAGATTCTGGGATTTGAGGTTAGTGCATGAATTTTGATTTCTCTTGTATTGTGCCTTCGTCTCGAAACAAACAACATATATAGTTTACAAAGACGCTTTAAGCTCTCAGCTACCTCTAAGCTTACAACACGGGGTTTCTATATAGTTTACACACAATTTCACTCGAGTTTATTAGAAGGGAATCAAAACTGGAGATATTGATGAATAGAGATTCTAGAGTTTAGGTTTGTGAGAAAAATGTGCGAGTCTTGTTTACTTGATGTGTCACTTTCCTTATCAGGATGAAACGTATTGGCCTTTAATGCCACCATTGCCTTCGTATGGTTACGGCAGAGAGCGTCCGGGACCTCGTTACGGGAGCTTAATCCATGGTCAGAACCTCAAAGACATCGTGATAACCGGTTAGTGATTTTCCCCTCTTTCGAGTTGGTGTTTGTGAAAGTTATGGTAACCTGAGTAATGGATGATAAAACGAACCAGGTCATAACGGAACGATAAACGGGCAAGGACAGTCGTGGTGGAAGAAGCATCAAAGGAGACTTCTCAACAACACGAGGGGACCTTTGGTTCAGATAATGTGGTCGAGTGACATAGTCATCGCTAACATAACACTGCGTGACTCACCGTTTTGGACTCTTCATCCATATGACTGCAAAAACGTTACAGTGAGGAATGTCACCATCTTGGCTCCTGTAACCGGAGCACCAAACACCGATGGGATTGATCCGGGTATGTTCATTTACCTCTTACTATCTCTCTTCTCTGGTTGTTCTATAAATTCAGATTGCACTCTGTGTCCTCTGCCGGGTAAACAGATTCGTGCGAGGATATGGTGATTGAGGACTGCTACATTAGCACCGGGGATGATGCGATCGCGATAAAGAGTGGGTGGGATCAGTTTGGCATTGCATACGGACGACCTTCAACAAACATTCTGATCCGTAATCTCGTCGTTCGCTCTGTTATCAGGTAAAGAGTTTAATTTACTTTGAAAGAAAAAAAACTCGCAACTTTTTTTGCAATGTTATGAGGGTTGTATGTATCCATGTTCTGCAGTGCCGGTGTATCAATTGGAAGCGAAATGTCCGGCGGGATATCGAACGTGACGATCGAGAACCTTCTGATCTGGAACTCACGCCGCGGGATCAGAATCAAAACGGCTCCAGGACGAGGCGGTTACATCAGAAACATAACCTACAAGAACTTAACGCTAGACAACGTTCGGGTTGGGATCGTGATCAAGACGGACTACAACGAGCACGCGGACGATAATTACGACCGGAAAGCGTATCCACTGCTTTCGGGGTTCAGTTTCGCGGGTATTCGCGGGCAAGGGGTGCGAGTGCCGGTCCGAATCCACGGGAGTGAACAGATTCCGGTGAGGAATGTGACGTTCCGGGACATGTCCGTTGGGTTGACGTACAAGAAGAAACATATATTTCAGTGTTCGTTCGTGAAAGGACGAGTCTTTGGGTCGATTTTCCCTCGGCCATGCGAGAATTTTGATGTTTATGACGAGGGAGGTCGCCTTGTTAAACCTGCTGCTGAGTCCAATGTGACGGACATCGATTACGACATTTGAATGTTTTTTTCTCAAATGTGTACATAAACGTAAATTTTGGGACACAAAAAATGAAAATTATTTGTTTTTTCTTCTGACGACTTGTCTTCACCTCTGTTGGATTCTTCTCATTCTGATAAATAGTTTGTAGTTATAATAGAAAACTAATATACAGATAATGAAGGAGAAGTTATTTCATCCAGTGTATGGGAGGAATTCATGAAATATGTATATTTGTGAATGATCTTCTAACCCGTTATGTATGAGAGAATTTTTAACTTCTAATTATTATATAACTCATGAATTTGGGCTAGAGGAGTGGATCACAAGTGTTGATGCGGAATCATATTGTTTTACTGATCGAATTAGAATATGCAAGACTTATTCATAAATGTTGACGTTTAGTATTGAGAGGTAGAATTGTTATTGGACAGAGCAAGTGTGATAAGAAATATCTAATTTATATCAAAATCTTAATTTTAATGTCACGAGAAGCATCCACTACCTAAAAGTTAATTAACACAGTTTAAAACATAGTATATAGTATTGTATATTCTGCAAAACACCGACGACACCAATAATGGCCACCACCCATCTGGCGCCTCATCAACAGTATTTCTTTTGCTCGTTTATACTATAATATTTTTACTTTTCCTTGAAAGTCTAACAAGCGCATGCGAACCTTGTAACAAAACGAAACTGCAGAACAATTGTTTGATCATTTCTAGAAAATTCATGTGCGTATTATTTTGTGTTCTTTTTTTAAAAAAAAACTTGTATTCGTATCATTGTATATGTTCCATCAGTATTTTAAAGACAGACAGAAAAAAGAACTATACAACGTGGCTACGTATGAACCTAGATTAGCAAAGTCAACCATGTAAAGCTTATAAAATACAAACTCTAATAAAATAAAATAAAGGCTTGCACTTGTATAATATATAATACAGATTAACAAGGACTACAACACTGGTGCATGAATAGATATCAAAAAACAAATATAATTGGACACGTTACTCAACTTACCTCGCGGATCTGCATTCCTTCCCCCAACCACCACGCATTTCCCACGAGTTTGACGATCTTTTTCGTTTAATCTAAACCTATCTACTTGCATATAGATTGGTCTCATAGCCCACATTTTATATTTTATAATTTCTAACCCAACAAGCTCAAAGTGAATAGAATTATTTTAATTGTGGAAAATATCTTGCATTTTATATCTAATCTTCTTATCATAAAGTTTCCATCAATTATGTAAAAGAATGACTCCTTGCATTGGACGACCTTTTCTTGTTCTTGGTTTATGTATTATATTATAAACTTTTTATCGTAATAGATTAGCAATCTTGTATCTATTACATAATCAATTTTTATAAACAAATCAATCTAATGTGCTAAAAAATGTGATTAGTTACATTTATGTCAGCTGTTTTCTTATTTTTTAAAAATATGTGTGAAAATTTTAAAATATTGATATTATTAAAAAATAGAAAAAGAAGCTAAAATTCACAGAAGAAAAAAAGCACCTAAATTCATGGCTCAAAAGTCAAAGGGAGCCTGGCAGATCAGATTAACGGGTTGATGAAGTGGGAAGGCTTTTGGATTTGTGTAGGTCGCGTAGCAGCGTAACACAGCTCCTACACCCTTTGTATTTGCTCTATAAGAATCTCCACGCGTAGTTTATAGCCAACAGTAGTTGGACACGTGTCACATCGTATTGGTGCAGACAACGTGCACTTGCCGCCCCCTTCCTCCTTGTTTTGGTATTTCTTTGCTTTCCATTTTCTTTCATTTTCATTTTAACTTTATTACTATTTTTATTAATTATAAAACGCATAACAACAAAAACGTGGTCGACGGAACATGTGGATGGTGGGAGTTGTCTTGAACTGGGACCCACTCACAGTTAAGTAACGCCGTGAAGGTTTCCTCCGTTTAACGTTTATCCAGTTGGACGATTGTACCCTGACATATGGATTAGTCGTATTTGCCGGATATTAATATTAGGTGCCTTTTTCTTTTTTGGATGACCCATTTGATTAGGTCTCAAATCAAATTTTGGAATTAGTATATTGATTTTACGTGCCAAACATCAATTTCGTTTATGCTTCATCTAATATTTTATTCTTCGTTACGAGTAAAACTTCTGATTATGAATTATAGTTGTCATATTTTATATGGTTCATGGCAATTATCAATTGCGACGGTCGACATGTGTGTATTGACTTCAATTTATGACTTTAGCTTCTGCCGCATTAACTACTAATCGTCGACTCGCAGACTTTGGTTGTTACAATTTTTTTTTTATATAACAAACCTTAGTTTGTATCTCTGCATGAATCACGCGTTAATAAACTTTATAATAATTGTTTTTAAAAATGTTTCAAGTATATTCAATTATAAGATTATATCATTTGAGTGAATAACATTTTCAAAATGCCAACAAGTTAACTTTGACTGTTGACTTCAATGACTAAGTTGTAACGCGTTTTGCTTATTTCTTTATCTTATTTAACTTTACATTTTTAATGTTTAATACATATTTAGAGAAAAGTTATTTTGGACGCGTTATATAAAAAAAAATATAGAGATCAGCCATATAGATTTTAAAAGTGGAATGTGATTCTTGGAATTACAAAAACAGATAATTTGTTCCAAAAATGTTTTACATACAAAACGGTGAAACTTTACATTGTCTGGTCCTTGTTTCACTTCGTTGTACAAGCGAACGACCAATAGAGGGGAGGGATAAGATTGTAAATAGAAAAGAAACGGAAAAGCGTTGAACGTGGAGAACAGTGAACCGGGACACATTTTCCGATTTTTATTAAAAGAAACAAATAAAAACACGTGTTTTTATAGAACGCACAATTAGATAAAGTAATTTGATTTATTAATTCATAAAAGTATTAGTAGTATATATTTTTGTTATTGGAGGTAGGAGGAGGAGGACTCTGCAACCAAACAAAGGAAGAAAGAAAGTTTTAAAAGGGCCCTGATTTTCGATTTCTCAGATCAACCGATTTAAGAGCAAGAAGATTTGGATTCCGTAGACCGATTCAGCTATTCCAGAAACTCGTTCCTCATTCTGAGTTTGTTTGCTTTAACGATGTCGAGCTCTATGGAGTGTTCGGATTTCGCAGCTAGCCGGAGATTTTCCGGGAAGCCGAGCTTCTCGCTGACGTGTAGTCGACTGAGTCAGTACCTCAAGGAGAAGGGTAGCTTCGGAGATCTGAGTTTAGGGATGGCATGCAAGCCTGAAGTCAACAGTAACGGTAAGCTTCCTCCTCTTGTCTTGTAAGATCCTGTTTCTTTTTTAATCAAATCGAACCAATTGAAAATCGGAATCGATTTGGCATTTAGGTTCTTAGAGTAATTAATCTGGAATCAACAGCTATAAGTTATGGAAGAGAGATCTTACTTTGTTGGGTCATATACTGTATGCAGGAAACTTTGGCGTCTCGCGTCAGCCCACAACAACCATGAGTTTATTCCCTTGTGAAGCTTCCATGGCGGCTCAAGATGTTAAGCCGAAGAATTTGTTTCCTCGGGAAGCAGCAAGCTTTTCTTCCTCATCTTCCTCTCTCCCCAAGGAAGATGCCCTGAAGATGACTCAGGCTACTACTACCACTAGGTCTGTTGCTTAAAGCACGCATAATCTAAAGCTTTAATTTTTTTTTTTTTTTAGTCACTTTGACTAATTCTTGGTGTTTTCTTGAAACAGATCTGTGAAACCAGAGCCTCAAACTGCACCCTTGACCATATTCTACGCGGGGCAAGTGATTGTGTTCAATGACTTTTCTGCTGAGAATGCGAAACAAGTGATGAGCTTGGCGAGCAAAGGAACCGCCACTACTAGCTTCACCGGTTTCACCACATCTAATCTCAACCAAAGTGTTTACACTCCCAACTTTCCCAAGAAACAAACCGAGATCACAACCGTTAACATCGCTCCTACACCAAGCCAAGTTCATCATCATCTCATGAAAACCGCAGCGCAAGAGCCAATCCAATCCTCCTCAACTCCAATGACATGCGGTAACCTTTCTCAAACCTCTTCTTGTTTCCTTTTAAAACCGTATTTGTTTACACACAGAGCTTCTAACAAAGAAATCATCCTTTTTTTTTTCTTACAGAACTTCCAATTGCTAGAAGAGCTTCACTCCATCGGTTCCTGGCGAAGAGAAAGGATAGAGTTACATCAAAGGCACCATACCAATTGTGTGATCCAGCCAAGGCGTCTTCAAAGCCTCAAACCGGAGACAACAACAGCACCTCATGGCTCGGTTTAGCAGCTGAAATATGAAGGATTTCGCTAAACCACCTCAAACCGTACCGGGGTATTCCTTTTGACGTTTCATCATTAAACAAGATATACGAAAAAGCTCCTGCGTCCATGGTTCTTACTTCTTAGGTCACGCTTAATTATATTTTAAACTATTCAATTATTTAGAAAACTTCATATATTTGTATGTATTTGATAATGATTAGCGATCCATTCTTGTTAGTATCTCTCTCTCTCTCTGTAGTTTGTTCTTTTACTAGGTATTGTCTCATGTCTGTTTAAATCCCTTTTCCTCATGTGATTTTGTAAGAACAACAAATTTTGTTGACGCCATCATACTAAGTTTCATTTTATTCTTCTTTCTTAGTCTCTTTCGAAAGTATGGCTTAACAGCCTTTTTCTCTAGTATGGAAAACTCGGAATAAAAATCGTATAATTATGGAACAGATTCTATAAAGGAAGGCTTTTGTGGAACCATTACCATCACCATTAATAGATCATTAGACTTTTGAAGATTTGGATGATTGAAGGATCTGTCGGAATTGATATATCTATTGAATCTCTCTCGCTCATCATTTGTGTCTCCAAATCCTGGTGGAACATAACATAAACCTCTCGTGGCTGTTTAAGTTTTATATATGGTGATTTTGTCGTAAAAATAATTGTCTCTGTATTATCATGATTGTATTTTGAGAAATTTACAACGCAAGGCACTTCCAAAGAGTGGAATAATAATTTTAGGCACTTCATTATATAAACACACTTTCGACATAGAAAAAGACTCATATACCCCTACAATTGTTATCTCCTATTTTCTCTTCGTTAACATTCAACATTCTGAAACTAATACTTTAATTATAGTTTTACATCACCGAATCAACTCCTCCTACGAATTGCAATTTGAAACATTGATCGTCACCACCGTTGAATCCTTGTCAACCTAATTTCCAATCCAGTTTTTTTCGTTCATCTTTTCAAATTATCTACGCCGCACTCTCCCACCACCTTCTAAAACGCCGCCTCTGCTTAACGGGTCCAAACCCTAAATCTGAACCTACAAAACCGCAAGATTGCAATATCCGGTGGCCGGAAATAGCAACACAAAGCACTTCTTACTGTAATTACATCGGAATAGCAGGTCAATCTTCCTCTAACAATCCTAGTATTTCTTCGACTCTTTCAACTACTAGGGTTCGGTTTAATTCGCTTTTCCCTAATTCAATTACAGATCCATCTCATCTCATCCACCATGTCATATTTTAATTTACGCTTCCGCCATATCTCATCCACTTGTCTTTAACACTTATTTTCATTAGTCAGATTATATCCCATCCACAATCTCACATTCATCTATAGCATCAACATCATTAACTCATCCAACCGGTGCATCCATATAGGCTTCATTTATATATATTTTGCGTACATATTCACTCATCCATTTGATGCATCCATATATACAATGTATATGGTGCATGTAGTCAGTATCATCCACCATGCGGGTTCTCACTGTTGCTCATGGGATTTACCTCATCCGGAGCATCCACATAGGGTACTATATTCAGATTAACATACATCTCCCATCCACAACCTAGCATTCACATGAATATCGCATATAACTCATCCATCCGGTGCATCTATGCATTGTTCACTCAGATTCACATCGATCTCACATCCACAATCTAGCATTCACATGTACATAACATCTAACTCATCCATCCGGTGTATCCATATAGGTAAGTATATTGTGCATCCATGTAGGTAATGTATATGGTGCATCCATTTTGAGCCGTTGCTCTCACTAATTTGTAGGGTTTGTTCAATAAGATTTGATTTCATTTATGCATCCACCATGTCGCATCCATTAGATCCGATATAGAGCATCCATTTAGACTATCCAACTATCCCATCTATTTAGATCATCCATCTAAGTCATCCATATAAGCTATCCATCTAAGCCAACCATCCATGCCATCCATATACATCCCTATAGTAATTTAGCTTTAATAAAAACAAATTATGTTTTTTGTTTGCTTACTAGCTCTGCTAAAAAATCACTATTTACGTTATCAAGCTTATGCAATGCTAATCCATTAGGTCAATGCTTTGTCATCCATTTTTCATTTGAACTAGTTTCTGGTAGAGGAATCGGCAAACCACTAACTCAGTTTTACTTTGTTCTTATTCATGTTTTTACATGCATTCAAAGTATTTTCATTACCAGCTAGCTCATCCATGTTTGTGCATTCATTTGTTCAGTTAGATTTCTTACATATTACAATTGTCTATAATCCCAGTAAAAACAGATCTATGCTCCACATATGGTCATCCATCCATTTTTTTGTTATCACCATTCTCAAACATTATAGTCATACATGTTTAAATTTATAGCAAAATCTTTGATCCTCATTAAATCATCAATTGGTCTATTGGTCAGTAGATTTTCATACATATGTAATTCTCTTACATTATAGTTTCGTTAACTCATCCACAACACCTCATCCACAATACCTCTGATATTTTGCTATGAACACTCATCCATATTTGCTTATCTATTTGTCTTCTTAAGTCTCTTACATATATTATCGGTAGCTTTTTGATTTACTTTAAAAAATACTAAATGCATTATGCCATTGCAGGAGCTGTTTGGACAGAGACCAATTTACATGACCATGGATATTTATGGTTGATGATAAGAAGTAGCATCTTGCAAACGCTGAAGGAGGATTAACTTCAGAACTATGTTTTGCATTATAGTATTAACTTCAGACAATGTCCGTGATTTATTGTCTATTATAATTAGTCATGATTCTTACATTTGAACTTCTTAATTTCAACCAAGTTGATACAAAGATAACCTGAAATTTTTTAGTATCAGAATTTATTTTCAAAATTCTCTATTCATATGTACAATAGAAAATTGTTAATAAATTCATGAATTTACCAAATTATCTATCTACTTGGACAATATAAATTGGTCAAGGTTTCAGTTAGGAGGATACACTTAAATCTTTTCGCTCCATTGATGCAGATGAGAAGACGTAACTCCAACCAAAATTTCTTGAATCTCACCTACGATCTAATATAAAAAAACTTCTACAGCTGTCATATATTACATCATCTAAACACCATCAATACAATTCTTTCAAATAAACGCATCCATGATTTGTTATCCATGTGTTCAAACTATTATACACATTATCAAAATACTATCCATAGAATTTCATCCATATTTATACATCCATATCATCACCCACACTTAGCCTATTCAAAACCGCTCACGATTCTATATCATGTATCTTGTCCATGATTCATAATCCATGTGTCGTGTCAAGTACTTGTCCACAATTCGCAAACCAAAGCCATCCACGATTCCTAATCCATGTGTTTAAAATATTGTACACATCAAATACTATCCATAAAGCTTCATCCATATATACCTCTCAATATTTTACATGTCTTCCATTCTCATGACCTTTGTCCTCCTCCAATCTAACAGCACATGTAAACATCTCTGATTTCATCATCCCTTATGATCTATTTAAATCTCCAATTGATTCGTCTAACAAATATTAGAACCACATCTACATAGTTTCGAAACAATCATTTATCTTAACTGCCATCAACGCTTGGTCGAAACTTTGTTATATCGATAAAAGTATCTAGAATGTTGTTCAATTTGCAGACCAGAGTTTTCTAAAAACAAATCTCATTAGAATCAGAAAAGAGAGATAAAGCATAAAAATAGGAAGAACCAGAAGAAGGAGAAGGAGGCAAAGACTACCATGAAACTTTTAACAAATCAAATCTCATTAAAACCAGAAAAGAGAGATGAAGCAGAAGAAAGGGAAGAATAAAATAGAAGGAGAAGGAGACGGAGATTACAAGTTTTTATTATCAATCGTGGTCTAAATTTTTACTTAATTTTATTACAAATTTAAAAGGATATAATAGACATCTTATATACCAAAAAGTAAGGCAAAATGCCTTAGTACCCATAAGTGCTTTAATACGTAAACAAAATTTTGAAAGTATTTAAATTCGTAAATGTTTCTTGTATTTTTGTCTAGTTATAGAAAAATTCATAAGCCTAATTAGATTTATAAGAATATTTTCCGGTGCATGGGAATCAACCAAACCGATCTCAACTCTACAATGGTAAAATTTCTTATATCACGAATATTCCGGCGGAAGGAATTTGTCCTCCGGCGTACGAAGAGCTAAAAACCTCAGCACTTGTCGATGATTTATGTTGCACCTTTAGGTTATCCTCCATTATTTTCACTGATCTACACTCTTTACTACAAAACCCTTCATCTCCTCTGCACATTCAATACAAAACAAAGAAAATATAATAAACCATATTTATGATCCAATTCATGTTATAATGTGAACAACTTCCATTAAAAAGGCACATTGGAGGAACTTACTTGTACATGTAAATGTCTTTGCCCTGAAGTTTCTTCTTACACAAGCAACACAAAATCAGAAAATCTAATCCTCCTTCCCACTTCTTCGCCGGTATTTCCTCGGTGATATCCATCGACTTATCCCATCTCCGATCACCGTCCGATTTGTTCTTACACAATTCAAATTCGTCGTCGTTGAAGTAGATTTTGTTCGGGCCATCGCGACTCTTGACGCAAGTGTATTCCTCGGAGAGATAAACCTCCGCCGGGTATTGGAATCTCCTCCGGGTACAGTGAACCGGGTTGGATCTATTCGTACCGGATCCCGAATAGTAAACCGGGTTTTGTTTAGACGAAATCTGGTGCCGATTGATCCTGGTTCCGGGTTTCTCAAGCCCAGCGACGATACCTAACCCAATCCCACCGTTATCGTACCTCTTCGAGCTTCCAGGCAACAAAATTTTCATATCCAACGGACTTCTCGGGCTCGCCGTGAAATTTATCGGCAAAAGAACCGATTGGTTTCCCGGAACAACCATCTGGGAATTGCTTAGTAGCATAATCGAAAACGGGAAAAGCAGGAAGCTATTTGAGGAAGAAGAAGCAATCGAAGAATGAAAGAAACCTCATAGAGAGAGAAGATCATATGGAGAACCTACGTACTAAGCCCCACCGGATATCCGCATTTTTTACGGGTCGGATATTCGCATTTTCTTTAAAAGCTCTTTACGTCTTATGTACTCTTTTATTAATCTTCGAACCAAAAAAAAAAAATATGTTTTTTAATTTTATGAGTTTGACTGGTATGTTAATTTACTAACCGAATAGTAGAATAACTGAATAATAAATTAACAGAATCAATAAGATGGGTAAACTAAAAACTGAAAAAACTCAAAACACTAAAAAACTAGTATCTAAATTTTTATCAAAACTAGTATCTAGATTTTTATCAAAATTAGTTATAAATTTAAAACATGCTAGATAAATTGAAAAATAACATATTAGTTTTCGCTTTTTATCATTCAATGCTTAATACTATGAATGATATGCATTTAGTAAAATCATATTTTTAAAATGCAAAAACGTGAAAAAACTATATACCATTCAACCTTTATATATTAATAAATACTTATTGTCATCAAATGTTACTAATTTACAGTAGCAGCTAATTTACGATCATATTCTTTTTCGTATCATATAACTATATAAGAGTACTGAACAAACTTTGGTTTGAATAAATCATTATCATAATTTGGGAACAATGTTAGCTTATTTGTTAAATCATGTTCTAATTTTATTCGTTCGCTTAGTCCTTGTATTTTTCATTTTTGTACTAGCGGAAAGAAAATTGAACCAACATGGTACGGAATACGGATTGCAAAATTTTACTTATAGCCTATATAGGTGCTAAGATTTAGCCGTATGCTGATTATGTGAAAAGTGCTTAATCTTTTTACAAAAAAAAAAAAGTGCTTAATCTTTCAACCTTTCAATCTCTTCGCCAAGGGTAGTAACAAATAAGTTATTCAAGATAATTAATTATAATTGTTCCAAAATACTGGTTTTACATGTCTTGAACATTGAATATAATCAACAGTTCCAAGAAACTGATTTGTGGACTTACATTAATCTCTTTTTCTGTGTGTTGATATTGGAACTTTTATAAGAGATGGAAAAAACAAAGAACATCAATATTTGCATTATTGGTTGGAATGGGCCTGAAATCATATCAGTGGGTTAAGTCGTAAAACTTTGAATAAGCAAGCTTAGGTCCAATACAAGCCATCGGGATCTTTTTACAAAATGGTCAAGTATTTTTTTCCACTGGAGAGATCCAATCCAAATTTTCAAGTGTATTTTTGTAAATCATAATACACGTGGGGGAAAACACTGCAGACGAAGTATATTTGTATTTTATGTTTTTCTTATAACAAACCCCAAAAAATTTGGGGGAAATAATGAAACATTATCGAAATAATGATCCAAAAAAATGGGGAAAAAATTACAAAATTAAAAAAAAAAAACCAATAAAGATATCCAAATTTGATAGGGCCGTCTTCCAAATCCCAGAGTTAAAAAAAAATTCCAGATTCTCTGTGAGAGCGAATCATGAAACTCAAAAATTCCAAAGATACACGGAGCCATCGTAATTATCTTCTCCGTGACAATAATCCCGTGTGGGTGAAACCTGCTCCCTGAAACGATCGCCGGAATACTCGTCGGAGAAATCATCAAACCCGGGGAATAACCCGAAATCCGAAGCGAAGTTACCCGAACCAACCGTCGGAAGCATACTCAAGAACTCCGAATCAATGTCCATCGTCATCATCATCGACGACGACGCCGCCGAGGTTGAAGGAGACTCCTGCTGTATCGTCTCCATCTCGTATCCGCCTCGACCACTCGAATCCTTCTCCATCGCGACATTTTCCTCCGAGTTAGCGAACCTCGCAGCCGCTTCCCGGATCTCCGATCGGGTCAGTTTTCTTCCGCCGGGGATCGCCGGAGGATTATCTGGGAAGTTGAACTTCGCGCCGCTGCCTCGGAGGCAAAAAAGAGCAGCGTCGAAGGCACGCGCCGCCTTCTCAGGAGTGTCGTAAGAGCCCAACCAAATGCGTTCTCTGCTGTTGGGAAGCCTGATCTCTGAAACCCACTTCCCCCATTTCCTCTTCCTCACGCCTTTGTACTTTGACTGCATCGACGCCGACGATCCCTCCTCCATCACCAACCAAATAACCAACCGGTTTGGTTCGTTTCGGTACGGTACGATTCTGTTTACGGTTTAGCTCTGTTCTTCAGTGTTTAGTCTTCAAGTTAGCTTTGGATTGATTTTGAATTGGATGATAGAATTTGCCGCTTTGGGTTTTGTATATATATGACCAAAACGAGCGAGGAAGTGAAAAAAAAAAGAGTGAAGTGTGAGTTTTTGACTTTTTCTGGCGCGTGAAGAAGAAAGAAGGTCAAACTCAATGTCAAAGGGACCGCGTTTGTACTTAAGACGCCACAAAGTGTCAGGGGAACTGACACGTGGCGGAAGTATGAGCAAGCTAGTCATATATTGTGTGGTGTGACACACGGGTAAAACTCAGAACTGACACACACTCTCTTTGCTTCTATTGTCTTGTTTTCCACGTGATTAATTCCTTTTTTTTTCTTTTCTTCTTCTCTTCTCATTCAAATGTTTGAATATATATTTCGCTGAGTTTGGTTGGATTTTCCCAGATTCTTGGGCACTGAAGAGAGGAACAAAGATTGTAATTACTGAAATATGATTGTTTTAGTTACATTACATTCTGGTATCTGTTTAGGGACACTCGTGACAGACTGACGTGTCCTCTTTTTGTTGTTGTTCACATGGTTATATAGAAATTATGGAAACAAGAAAATGCAACAACATCAAGTTAGAATGAAAAATTAAATCACTGTCCTATAAAAACGTATATATACCTTGCAGTATCTTCTTCTTCTTCTTCTCAGTTTGTTGTTTGCAGTACACGAAAAAAAACGCTGTACTTTTAAGTTGATTTTAGTGTATTTGCATCTTTTGTCTTCTATCTGTTGAATGAAGCTGCAGCGGAAGTGTCTTCATAGTGTACTTTCCAGGCATTTCCGCTGTCTGTTTCGCTGCAGGCTTGGTTTGTTGTTGGGATAGCTGCAAGATCTCCGTCTAAGCTCATTTGTTGGACTTCTGCTGATGATAGTATCTTTATGTTTTGTACGCAGTTCACAAACTCCCTGAAGGAAAAAAACAAAAAAAACAGACAAGAATGATCAAATCTTCTTGACTGATTCGGTGGGATTATTAAGAGCTTATGTTGTTGTTAGCCTGGAAACTTACTCCCAAGGATCATCACCAACGAGCAATATATCGTTTTCGTGATCAGTGTATACGAGTTTCCAATCAGAGGTTTGTGGATCTTCGAGCTGTCCTTCTATGCCAAACATTCTTGCCAAGTCATGCCTGAGTTCATCGTAGCCGCTATAACGCGTAACATCTATTGATCTTCCTACTGACCCTCGTTTTTGAACCTTCAAAGATTTTTTTTGTTTAATAATAAAATTCTTGCGTTAAAAGATAAAGTTGCAATAAGATGAGAGCCTTGATCTGTTTTTGAGGGAGAGGTAGATATCTAACCTTTGTATATGTTCGCATTCGTTGAGTCTGATTGGGCCAGAGTCCACCACCATTCATGATACCTGAATCATTGATGCCACCGATCTCATTTGAACCTCCGGACTTGAAAGGAATGCTGGGAATCCCAAACGACTGAGAACTGATGGCAGCACTTGAAAGCTCGGTCTCGATGTCTCTTGGCGCGTTGCCATAGTTTGGAACCAAGTTATGGAAGTCCTTTTGAGAATAGAGAGCATCAGAAGTTACGGCTTCGAGGTTGCCGGCGAAAGCCAAGTTGTTTCTCGGATGATGAGACTGGCCGTCTCCATCGAAACCGAATGATGGCAACGGGAAAGTCTGTTGCTGCTGCTGCTGTGCAGTGCCAACAACATCAGGGCCATACATCGTTCCCGCTGTGGATACATCGATCTGATCCGTTACCGCTCCTTTAAACTTGAACTGTTCAGCAGCACTCTTAAGATTCACCATGCCTCCTCCTTGGTTGTTCCGGCTGTCGGTTTTCGTGTAAAGCTCTTGCGCTGGATTGCTTGCACGCTCGAATACCGAGTCGGATACTGCTTCTCCTTGTTGTTGGCTTCTGCTCAGGAAATTCGTCGGTGAAACATTGTCATGTCCTGTGTTATTGGCGGAAGGCGAGGTTGAACAAGAAGGAGGTTCTCCGTCTGTGTGACCAGAATGTGATCTCCCGGAGGCTACTAGTGGTTTATTATTATTATTATTCATCTGTCCTTGTTGCTGAGGACTCACCTGAATCTGTGGTGGCTGCATGAAAGTGGAAGCTGAGAAGCTGTTGTTACCATGTGCCAAGGGCTGTTGATTCTGAGACGACAGAAGTTGCTGCAACTGATGGCTTTGTGTCTGCTGCAACGCTGATAACTGTGGCTGTAAGGACGAAGTTACTGGAGGAATTGACTGCTGCTGCTGCTGTAACTTCTGCAGTAGCTGCAACTGAAGTTGTTGTGAGGGACTTGGTTTTGATGGTTGCTGTTGCATCTGGAGTTGCTGGGGGTTTTGGGACAGAGTTTGCTGTAGTGAATGAAGAGACGACTGCTCTTGCTGGTTTCTCAATAGTTGGCTACTGTTGTGCAGTTCCAGTTGCTGCTGAAACTGCAGTTCTTGCGCAAACGGAGTCATTTGAGACAAGCTCTTATTCCCGGCGGGAACTATGTTCTGGTGGCTCATCTTAGCACCATTAGAGTGCATCATCGACTGCTGCGGAATCTGAGCCTGAGAAAATCCAGCAGACTGATTATGACAAGAGACCTGGTTAGAAACAACACCATTGTTCACAGAGCCTGTGTTATAAACCCCTTGCTGCTGCTGCTGCTGCTGAAGATGATGATGTTGCTGCATCTGTTGATGTGACATTTGTGCTTGCTGCTGCATCTGATGCTGCTGTTGAGATTTGACCATGGCCGGTTGTGCTTGCATCTGTTGGCCCATGTGGTTAACCGAGTTCGGTTTGTTGAACTGGGAGTTGGCGGGAGAGAGGTTTGGGGATTGGAAGTTCAACAGCTTTGGAGGGTCGTTGGAAGCGAAGTTGTTCGGTAGGTTGTAAGACGAGAGCGCGGAGGGAAGCTGAGTAGCAGCAGCGCCAGAGGACAATGGACTGTTCTGCTGCATACTCATCCACTGAACCAGGCTCAAACCTGGAAACATCGAACTCTGTGCGTCTTTCATTCCAAACTCTTCTCCCATCCAAGGCATCGCTCTTTTGAAAGCGTTTTCTATGTCCAGCTCATCATCTGCGACAGAAGCCTCCAAAGGTTTAGTGTGTCCGGAAACTCACTCAAAGAATAGATGAAAAGACACAAACTTTTACCTACCTGGCATCCCCGGTTGCCTCGGGTACTTCGGTCTGAAAAACGGAGGAGGGCATATGTAGAAAGGAGTTATGACCGGTTCGATTTCCCATATGGATACTCGGCTTGGCCTATCTCCGGCTGTTGATTCATCCCATCCTACCTGTTTAAAACCATGAACAAAAAAAAGATTTCAGAAGAAATGATCATCATCATCATCATAAAACAGTTTTGAGTTTATAAAAAAGTACACATTACCTGAAGATTACGCCATTGCGAGCCTTTCCATCTAACAGGGTCAAGATCACTAATACCGGTGACTGTACCCATGTATCTACGAACCCCACAGTCCTCGGTCTCAAACATCATCCGGAATCTCATCCCGAGAGATACTTGAGCGTACAACGCTTTGTTGTATTTGGCTAGTGGGACTACAAACTCTGAAGGGCTTGCCCTTGGATTGAAGAAGATGGTGAAAGGGCTACTATTGGCGTTTGCATGAGCTGCAGCTGCAAGAATCCCGATGTGCATACTGTCGCTGGATATGACCGACGAGGAAAGAGTCGGTGTTTGTCTATTTGCACGTCTTATACCCAACATCAGCTGTGATTTCTCGTCTCTGCAGAACAGTGATTAAAAACCCAAAGTGCCATTTATGAGAAGAGGGAAATTCCATTTCTGCTTTTAGTGGTGTGATGATCTAAGTGTGACTCATACATACCTTACGAACAAAACCGAATCACCGGCGAATAGTCTCTTTGTGCTAACGAAAACGCTCCAACCTGTGGTAAGCAAGTGTCTTTTTGGTTGGCCTGAGAACAGATTCCAGCAAAAAAAGAAAACAAATCAGGCTGATGTTCTCAATCTTTTGGGAACCAATCTTTGAGATTGATTTAGACCTCTGTAGATATGTCTGAAAGTCCATGTGGTATCATGTAAATCTTTTGCTACAATCTCTTGTGCAGGGGGTTGCATCGAGAAGTCCTGTTTTAGGCAGAAGAGACTCATAAAAAAAAATGAAGCAGAAGAAACAAATAGTTTGGGAGTAGCTTTGATGAGAGACATACAAGAGGAGGGAATATTTTCTCGGCTGCACGCCGTGGTACAGAGAATCCACCGTGAGTGCTCGTGTCGCTCGCTGTAAGAGTCTTGCAGAAAAACTCAGTAGGCTGTCTGTTTAGCTTCAGACCCATATCAGAAGCTAGCAATGCTTCTCTGTCGTACTGATACACATTTTAGATGATCAAGCAGATTAAAAAAAAAAAAAGCTCCCAAAAATCACAAAGCTACAAATCATGGAGAGTGGAGGAGATTCAGACCTTATTCACAGGTTGAAGAGTCATTTGTGCATAGACTTCATCGGTCTCGGTATCAGCCTGATTCACAATTTCACAAAAAAAATCATGATTAGTTCTTCTTCTTTCTTCTCTACTTCTGTCTTTTTGATGGGGACAAAAGAGGCTTACATGTAATGTAACACTGTGAAGCAAGCAAATCAGCTTAGAAGGAAGATTTGGGTAATTTGGTATAAAATCGGTTTGCTTCTGCATCGATGCTGCAACCTGAAAAGAGTCCATTGATCCCATTATTACTTAGATTGATTGCTATTATAAGGGTCAAAAATAGCGGTTTTGGTTTGCGTTTGGAACCTACTTGCTCACTATGTCCTTGAGGGAAGTAAACCACAAGACTTCCTACAGGAGGCAGTGAAACCAAAGGCCCTGCACAAGCGTGCCATAGCTGGGAATTGATTGCTTTCTTCTCTCCTGTTCATCACAACAACAACAAAGAAGAATGAACAATTTAAATCTGTAAAATGAAGAAATCTTGCGGATTTTAATGAAAAGACTGAAATTTATTAATAAAAAGTTGCGGCATTTATGTGACAACCACTCCATAAAATACACTGAAGAAACAAACTCGATTTGTGGCTTTGTGCTGACTCCATGTTGAAATAGAATAATAGAAACCAATTTTCAATCAAGAAAATCACGAAACATGAAATGCAGAAACTGTGATGAATTCCAAACCCAGGAAGCTTGAGAAAGAGATTTTTTTAACTTAAATCTTGAAAGGAAGAACATAGAAAAGCTCGTACCTTCGTTGGAACTGGGATGAAATCCATTTGATGGAGCCTTCATGGTTTCCAGAAGGAAAAAAAAAAAAGAGAAAAACTTAATTTTCTTTTCTTTTTTTTTTTTGGTTAAAATGAAACAGAGTTCTTCAACAAAAACCAACGAATCTCTGTATTGCTCTACTCTAAAAGGGTAAAAAGATATGAGCACGGGAAACAAAATAATGATTTTGAAATAGAAACCATTCTGCTAAGAGAAAAGAAACAAACGCTTTCTTATAAGTTCATACGAAGATTTAAAACTTCAGAGCATCAGAACAAAATTTAAGCTCTTAAAAGCTTTGAAACTTTTCTTTTTGGTTGTGTTTTTTTTGTGTGCAGATTCTCAATTTTATTTTTCTTATGTTTTTGTATTTTTTTTTTTGTCGATTTGAGATTTAAGCCGATTGGGATCGGATACATGCGGAAAGATGAAATCTTTTCTTATGCCCTCTGACGTGGCAACCCACTTGATGTCTTCTTTTTGTCGGTCCCACCTTTTATTTATTTACTAGTCTTTACAGTTTTTCTTTTTAATTTTATCTTTTCTCAGATTGCAATTTATATATGTTGTTGGGGAATGGGGATAGATGATAGTCCACGGTTTTTAAATTCTGTTACTTTTCCCTCCTTTTTTATATAACTGTATTTTTTTTTTACTCGATTGATATGAAATTTTCTTATGAAGCTTTTTGTATTTTTTTTTTTTTTACTCGATTGATATGAAATTTTCTTATGAAGCTTTTTGTATTTTTTTGTCGGTTTCGAATAAAAACATGAAAAATTTCTGCTTTCATGCAATTAGATATATTTTTTTAGTGTAATACTCTCTCCGTTTCATAATAAGTGTCATTTGAAGAAAATGTATCTGCATTATAACTGGATGTATCTGAATGTGTTTTGAGTTTAATACATCCAAATACATTGCAGATACATTTTCTCCAAATGACACTTATTATGAAACAGAATGAGTATTATTAGTAAGTAGAAATGTAGTATAACACGATTTTTTCTAAAAATATTATTAAAATTCAAAAAGAAAAAATAACAGAATTTATTAAGAAAATTAAGGATTAAGTTCAGAGGATTTAGAAATGCAGATTGAGAAAAGGTTACCTCGATAAGATAAGGTCACCAAAAAAGATGTCTCATTTTTATTCATATAGAGATTAAGAAAGAGTTGCCTCAATAAGATAAAATATTATTTTATTTCTTTTAAACAAACAAGATCAGTAATCTCGTTGCATATTTGTTATTAGTCATAAATTGAAATGTGTATTATTGGTCCAAATTGAGACATGTCTGTATAATGCGAGAAAATAAGTCATGAACAAAAACATTGGAATTAATTATTTTAATCTATTAATAAAATAGCATTTTAATTTCTTAATTATGATTATAATAATATTCTTTTTGATACGCAATGGAGCACCCACTAGCCGCAAAAGGAGGAGAACTTCACATGTTTACAGAGCTACGGACATCATTATACTCCAATTAAAGCTAAGCTTCATGTGTAATAATTAATTTTCAGGGAAATTATTAATCTTCTGGTTTTTGTTAGTATAAAGTGTTTTTAAAATTTATGTTAAAGTGCTTTACAATTAACCTGGACAAGATCGTACAGAGTAGTTTCCTTACTTTCAGCTCTCTACTAACTACGTATAAATATTTAATGTAGTAAAGTCTTTTCGTTCTAATAACTCTTCTGTTTCAAAAACATTAATGTTTAAAATTTTCACACATCTTAAAAAAAATTGTAAATGACTCTCTTAATCTTATTTTTATTAACTTAAAATTTTATTGAAATGGAAAAATTAAATAAAAATAGTAATAACTACACCTAGAACAAAATTAAAAACATCAAACTATTTGAAACAAAACAAAATTCTTAAACATTAATAATTTAGAAACAGAAGGATTATGATTAAACTTTTGTTTTTGGAAAGCATGTAATTTAATTTTGCTCTTTTTGATTTTGATTATATTGTATTTATTCTCAGTATATATGTATGTATATTGTAGACTTGTAGTGGGGGAGGGAGGTTTCGACCTAATTATTTATTTGTATGCAGTACTGTGACTTTAAGGTATTTTATTCTTAGAGAAACGGGAATTTAATTTGGAACATTTAAATATGTTTCGTGAACAACTCTGACTCTTTCTAAAGTAGATATTCTTTACTGATTTTATGTCAATACTTTGAAGATGATTGCTCAATGTATACAATCAATAGGTTTTGAAATTTTCTTAAAACTTATCATATATATTCGAATATAATTTACCAAAAAAAAAAACAAAGTATCTCTTAACTAACGTTTTGATCAGAACATAAGAAAATAAAGACATTAAACCATTTGAAGCTTAAAATACAAATATACTCTCTTTTTAAAAAAAAAAAAAAATACAAATATACTCTCAAGTGGTCATCTTATCATGGCAATTGCTAGCAGTTGAAGAGGTGGAAATATCTGAGAACCTTTAAATTCAAACGAACACAAAAACTTCCAGAAAATGAAATGTAAAGTTGGATAAGTCATAAGTTTAAACATTTAGAGGATCAAACATTTAAAAGATATGGTAGCAAAAAAGTAAATCTCAACAAGAATGAAAGTAGGCATGCTTTAGTTTTTTTTTCCTTTTGGGTCAATATTTGCTGCGCGTGGAGGTATATGTACGTACAACAATTGATGTGTTTAGAAACCACTCCTCATCAGAACGAATTAACCATCTTAATAACACACTCAATCATTGTTTTGATCCAATTCTCAATATATATAACCTTTTTCACTTCGCACTTTTGACTTTTGCTTCTCTATAATATTATTAATATATGCATTCTGCAAACTTATTCTTTCCTCAAATCGAAAGTGACGTATATTTCATTTCTCGTACTCATGCACCGTATAACTATACCTTTATTTTTCTTTTCTTGAGAGTTCCCAAATTCTCCCAGCATTAATGTATAATTACAAGAAGAGTCAATAAATATATAGTATACTTTTATATATTAAAAAACCAAAATGCATGTGCACGTGAGTATTGGTGAGCATGCACGTGAGGTGTGGCAGACGATGTCGGAAGAGACAGGCTCAAGACTCCGACCGAGTCTTTCGGTTTAGCCAAAATGGTTTTGCTTTTGAGTGAGTGTGTGCCTCTGTGTCTCTTCTCCTCTTCGGAACCGTACTCTCTCTCTCGTTTGCTCTACTATTTCCCAACCAACAATGTTTTATTTTTTGTTAACCGGATTTTAGATTATCTTAAAAATTTGTTTGCTCACCATATTAAATGTTTTCAGACTTTTAGTGAATAATCACTGGTTAGACTGTTTTATAAAAAAAACATGACTTAGTTAGAACTTTTAGACTAGTACTTTATTTTTTATTTAACATTTTCTTATGGTAATTAATTTTAGACAATTGATGTAGCTGTTACCCAACTTCAGTTTCCCTTTATAATTCACATTTTCATATTTACTTTTATTTGACATGATTTTTAAGCTATGTGATTTGTAAACAACCTAATTTATGCTCTAGCTAGAGAAAACAAAAAATACGTTTTAATTACTACTCTGTCACCACAGCTTGGTTTTGCATTTGTTTATTTCTCCAATCCAATTATTAACACATATACGGATCCCCATGAATCTAACCCGTGTATTAATAAATAATTTTTTTAAAAAAAAATCTGACCCATATCGACTCATTAGTATATTTAACTGGCTAGGCACATTAATTTTTAGTTTATTTTTATTATAACGCCAAATTTCCGTAGCATACATAATAGCAGTGATTATATATTTATTTGTGTAGTTACATGAAGGTTCCTTTCTTAATTTATAACTTGTAATTAGTGAATAAACGAAAACTAAATCAAATGTGAAATTTATTTAAGAAAAAGTCATAAAAATTAAACAATTAGTAACTAAAAAATCATAAACTTGAAAATGCAGTGTTACGGAGTAGTATAAAAGTTACTTATTTCTTTAACAAAAAAAAAGTTACTTATTTAACTATGTAACACAATAGCAGTGATTATGTAGGAGTATATATTTGTTGAGGGAGCATTGACTGTAATTAAAAAGCATCATTAAATAATATTAAAACGTAAAATGAAGATCAACATTTTAAAAGGAACCAAAATCTTTAGTCCTCTTATCGTAATTTTATAGTTTTGTTTTTTTTTTACTTAACATCTTAATTTTATACTCCTAATTTTTGCAACTATGTTATCAAGATGATCCTTTGTATTGTCGGATCAAATACACTTATACACATATGTTAACTATTATGTTGGCTAAGAAGTTGACGATTCCTCGTGTGAATCGACCTCAGTTCGTATATTTTTGTACTGCGAAATTAATATGTCGACGCTACAAATTGTAAAAAAAAAACTTAACTATTTCACATATCTCAAAATATTAGTTTATACTTTAACTGTCCGGCCCAATAATTCGGTTAGACAAAACACATAGATAAGTTTACAATCTTCTTACATTACTTCGACGAGTTTACACTGATATGGTCAGATAGTTATAGTAGACTCATTGCCACATTAATTAAATTACATACTTGTGGGGTATAATTCGTTTCTTACATCTTATATACTACAAGGATGCAATTATAGGAAGCGCGCGAGACATATCATGTCAAAAACACTGTACATGACGCTATAAAAATCAACATCAATACACATTTCCCATTCAAATGCTGCCAAGTGAAATTACTTTTGTCCACAAATGCTATATAAACATATAAATACATGGGCTAAATATTATTTATAGTCATTTTTTTCCATATATGTATGCATGGGTGTGTAGGCTATCACTGTTAAATTATTTGAACAATTATTTTGTGTAATATTCGAGAATATTGTTTGTTATATTATTTAAAGAAAAAACATGTGGCTGCTGGTAATGAGTATTACATAATGAGGGATAAAAATTATAGAGATTGGTCAAACCTAGACAGCTTCTACATCTCTAGAGACAGCTGCACATGTATGTCACTGGTTGATGCCATACACATATATACGCTTCCATTTACATCTATATAAGTATGTTTATCAAACTCTTTTGTTATTGTAGTAGATACGTAATTCAAAAACCTATTAACATTTTTTTTCACTGCTTCGTTTATTATATTACCATGGTCCATGATCATGGTGTAACTCCTTGTTTCGTGTGTTATGTGTAACTCCTTGTTTCGTGTGTTATGTATAAAATATTGCTCTTTTATTTAATTTCAGATATTTCTGGCCTCTCCAAATTTTGTTCTTCCTATTATGACATCGGCGGAACCAAGAAATCGCCTGTTAATCTCTTTGTTACTATATTTTTGGGTTGTAAATTTTGTTTTATCATGAGTCATAATAATCTCAAAATCATGCGAATATCTTTTAAATAAACCTATGAGCCATGTTTCTTA